TCTCCAGGGTCTCCAGCCAGGCCAGGCCCGACCACACCGCGCCCAGCAGGGTTGAACTAAAACAACAACAACAAAAAAGGTTTGTTGTTCCGCCTGTCCGTTTACGACTTGCTCGCACAGCTGTTTGCGCGCAATTCACAACTCCTTTTGGAATTTAATTTCTTTAACGAAGATATATTACACACACATACACACACACAAAAGCAATATGGCGGGGTCCAAGGACACCTAAAAAACGGGTCATTACATTGCAAAGGAAGGAAGTGAAGGCTCTAATAGTTGCATTCGGACAGGACGCCATACTATCCATAAATAATAGAAATAAACAATTTTGAAATCAAATAAATCGTTGCTACGGCAGCTATATACAAGACCCTTTAATCAAGGGCGTACGCAGAGCCAAAATTTCAAAATTGTAATTAATTTTAATTGCATGTGATCAACAAAAAGACTTCAAACAAATTCAACTCAGTTCCATTTTAAGGCCATAATAATGTGTCGACTGGAAATGGCGAAATTTATTTTATTTTTTCTTCGTGCACCCTTGCCTTTAATGTAAAATTTCCCCAAGATATTTTCAAGAGCCATTTTTACAGCGATCAGTCGTATAATGAGGCTATATTTAATTTATAATAAACTTGATCTGCTTATGAATAAAACAAGTCTGCATAACAAGTTCCGTGCCCCTAGCTCTTGTAGTTCTAAAGTCGACCTGCCTCTATTGATTCATTTGTAACTATCTGCCACGCCTCTTTCTGCCTGTTACATATGTACATTTATCGAGCAGGTACATAAAATAATGAGACTATATTTATCTTGATCTGCTTATGAATAAAACAAGTCTACTTGTACATGCCAAGTTTGGTGTTTCTAGCTCTTGTAGATATCGATTCATTTGTAACTATCTGCCACGCCTCTTTCTGCCTATAAACATACATTTTTCTGGGATAACCCTCAATGCTACTGGTAATATTTTTGTACGTTACATTTTTAACATTCATTAACATTAATTTAAAGTAAACTTGCTCCAAAGTAACTTAAAATATTTTCTAATAGATAGAATTTAGTTCGCTATCCATATAGCCACATACAGCGTATCACTGCAAGTATTTATGGCTTATAGTATTTGTGCCTAGTATATATCTCTTTTACCATTTCGGTGTGCGAATATATTTACGACATCCCATTATGATAACTCAAATATTAGCCGATGATTTAATTGAATGTCGAGCTATTCTTTCCATTGCCTAGCAACTAGTAGCACCTTCGACATCGTCGACTAGACTGAGACTGGGACTGGGAGTGGGACTGGGATTGGGTGCAGTGCAGCATTTATTTGCTTTTGATAAATTGCCACTTAAGTGAATTGAAAATGCCCGCTACTGGCCTGGCCAGTTCATGGACATAGACATAGACATGGACATTTGTCAAAGGAGCAGCCATCGCCACCGCCTCAGACCCCGTGCGGTGGCAAAGTTAGAATATCAGCGTCATAAGCCAACGAATTTTTGTCTCTATCTCATGTGGTGGCCCACACCCAGGAAGGTGGGCAAAGCAAATAAAAAATGAAGACCAAAAGCATAAATGAAAGCATACAAGTATATACGAGTTTAGCAGAAGAGAGGGGCGCTAAAAAAAAAAGAGCCAGAGGGGCGGGGCAAAGGCAACTTCAAAGGCCGCAGACGCGACGCTTATTAACTGTTCGGCATTTTGGAATGCAAAGATATTTTTTGAAGTACGCTCTACTTTATCCAGCTACCAAGTTTTTAAGCTTAAACAAAAAATAATTACGAAATTAAATTAAATTCTAACGTCGCAACGGCGCTGATATCGGCCTAAATGTATACACATACATACATATATGCTCATATATGTATATTTGGCAATGAATCGTAACGAAATTTGAATATGAATGCGAATATATTGCATATTTCAAGCCTATTAAAAAACGAGACAAATTCCACAACTTTTCAGCACTGAAGCCGCATTACTCTGTCAAGCCTTGAATCGTTCATTACTTAACTCAAGTTGCTCTTTTTGTTGTTCTTTTGTAACTAACTTAGATTTAAAATGAATATGTTACATTAATGTATATTTTGAACAATTATATATACATATACCATAGTACCTACATACAAGTATATGTTAAAGTTTTAACAAATTAATAATCCTATATATCATTTTATTAGTATTTACTCTTTATGCCAAATCTCTAAAAAAAAAAGTGACGGCTTTTGTTTCTAATTTTTTATTTATACACATAAATTATGTTACTTAGTTTTTATTCATATACTTAAATGTATATCTTAGAAGAAGTCTACAAGAAGTTTTCATATAGTTGACATTTAATATTTGTTTTTTTGGAACCACATCATTATCTTATTTTATTTTTTATTTTTTTCTGAAATACTGTGCTCAGACTTGAGCTACTTTTTTTTGGTTTATAAACAAAGTTTGTATGTTTCAAATAAAACTGCAAAATATTGGGTCGGGGAAAATGATTTTATTTGTTTTTGATTTTTTTACGTTTTTGGCTTTTCGAGAATAGCTTCAAAGTTCTGCAAACGTTTCGCATATGAAAACTCGATCCATACAACAAGCTTCTTTTTAAGTCCAGCTTTTTGTAAGTGCTTTTAAACTTAACTCTGTTTAGTTTTCAATAATGTCTAGCTATACGAGTACAAGTCCACAAGAATGTCTAATTAAAGAGAAATGTGCTTTTGTCTTCAAAAAGACGTAACTACTTAGAAGAGAATGTCTCTGATAGATCTCCAATTGTAGCCGCATTGTGTCTTCTATCTACATTAATATGAACTTAAAACGGTTCGATATAGTATTTTTAAAATTTTATTTAATTTTTGAAATCTTCCCAAGACTATTTTGTTTGATATTTTTATTTTATTTAATGGCACACTTTTCATTTTATCCTCAAACGAATCTTAATTTAAGCAAATGTCGACTTTAAATTGATGAGCAATTAATCATTTTTAAGCAGTCTTCAGTTTCGAGTAATCGAAGCATCTTACACACAAACCAAAGTGTATATAGTAGATGTTTTTATTATTATTGTTCAAATGCACGTTTTGCGACATGGATGATTGACTATTTCCGCCACAATAGTAATGGGGATACAGTAGATGTGTTTTGTTTTTTCGTAACACTGCCACAGCTCACTAACAAGCTTTGCAGTAAGCCAACAATTGATCAAGTTCAGTAGTGTATAACACGTTATGAGACACATGCAATGAACGGGTTTTAGACAAGCCGCTTGAACAATCGAGGCCAGTTCGAAAGAGACAAAACCAAAGTACAGAAAAAAAAACTACAACAAAAACAAAAACAGAAGACAAGAGTCTGGGCGCCAGCTTGAAGGCTACACACTGACCGCATTCAAAAAATTTGGAATGATTTATCATTCGCAAAATCACACATCGGATACTGCAATTAACCGGAGTTGTTGTAGCACAGAAAACATTAATTTGCCAAACATAGAAGGGGTGTCGAATCGTAATGCAAGTATTTTCTAGTCTTGCGCTTCACTCACACATTATATGTATCGTTCCGTTCGAACTGCGAGCAATAAAGCTTCTCTTGTCATTCTATTTTTATCTATATAGTACAAGTATATACATACAAACGATCTTTTAAGCTCCACCGATCCCTCTTATTTGTTGCGCCAATGCATAAGTAATCAAGTTTAAAATACAACAAAAATAAAAACATACTGCAAATGAGTAACAAAAAAATACCAATGGAAATTAATTAATGATCAACACTTATAAATAAATATGTTCATAGCCAGGTAGCAGTCGAGTCGAAGAGTTAATGACCTGCAAAGTTAATTAATCTATTAATATTAATTTTTAATTATTTGTATTATCTTATGGGGAGTGAAGAAAATTGGATTTAAATACCTTTTAGAAATGTTTTAAGAATTTTCAGCTATCTTTTCCAACACTGGCTGCACATATTCCCAAAAAGAAAATATCTTATAGGAAAAAAGGCAACATACAACTTGTTTCAAATATTTACTTTTTTATTTATGGTGTTTCATTAAAAATATACTTATGACGATGATCCTATTTAAACTTAATAATATTTAAAATATGTTAATTATTTTAATATTTCGTTTAATAAGTCAACTTCTTTTATTGAACTAGAAAGAATTGTATTATTTTAGAATTTACTTTTTCTAATATGTATAGTTTTAATAATTTGTTCGAAACTATTTTTTAAGAAAAGAAATTGAAACAAGAGATAAAAATGTTAATATGAAGTCTCTTTGGTATCAAATTGAACATTTTGTTTGTAAAACTAACAGCAATAATACAGTTTTAATATTTCTTTGTTTACATTGATAAAAAGATACGTGAAATCTAACACCGCATTGCATTTGTTTGTAAAATTCTCTTACATTGCATCTTTGAATATTTATTAATATTCTAATATTCAATGTTTACACATTGGTATAGCCTGAATTGCCAAACTGATCAAATATTTCTCAATGTTTTTTATTATTATTATTATTACGAAATTAGTGAAATCTGTGATTATTTACACCTCTTCGATAGAAATTTGTTAAATACATACTCGTATAATTTAATTAAATTTAATTGAATATTCCCGATCTTTACGTTGAATATGAAATTCCTAGATAATTCTACTCACAGTACATATTTGGTATTACTAGTCGGAGAACAGGTTTCATATTGTATTATTCACTTACTAATAGAACTACGGAAATGTAATATTTATTTAATATATAAAAGATTCATAATAAAATGACAATATTAGACAATAAATAGAAATACTTAATTTTTGTGTATGGAAGCAGATTTCTCACGAGTCGAATATAATTAGTTTTGTAGCGCACAGATCAAGTCGTTAGAGTCGACTACATTTCAAAGCATTTGTAATGCAAAATTAGGCAACACTTCGGCTGTACGGCTAAAGCAGTTTCTGCTTGAAATCATTTGTAACTGACCGTCAAAGATCAAACCATGTGGACCGCAGCGGTTTTAACTTTTGTCGCATTGATGCTGAGCCCGCCCGAAAGGGTGGGAGGCCGTGTTTCATCTAGCCTGCGCCTACAACTGCCACATGGAGGTTGGCTGGTCGGTCGTCATCTGAGTTCGCATAACGGACGGCATATGCGCGCCTTTATGGGCGTGCCCTATGCCCTGCCACCGGTGGGGGAGCTGCGCTTTAAGTCGCCAGTTCCGCAGCCGGGCTGGGAAGGTGAACGTCTGGCTGTGAAGGATGCGGCGATTTGCATGCAACGCGATCCCTTCCGACGCGACATGCTCATCGAGGGCTCCGAGGATTGCCTCTACCTGAATGTCTACACACCCGAGGTGCGTTTAGTTAGCTTTATGGGGTCACCATATAATTGTGAACATTCGTTTGCAGATCGAACGCCTCAATGGTGCTTCGCTACCTGTCATGGTTTGGTTTCATGGCGGTGGTTGGGAGTGTGGCTCAGGCATAAGCGGCTTCTATGGACCCGACTTTCTGCTCGATCACGATATAGTACTCGTGTCGGCCAACTTCCGCCTAGGTCCGCTTGGATTCCTTAGCACAGAGACTTTGGACTGTCCCGGCAACAATGGCCTCAAGGATCAGCTGGAAGTACTTCGTTGGGTGCAGAACAACATTGCCATTTTCGGCGGCAGCCCCTCCAATGTAACAGTGTTTGGTGAGAGCGCGGGAGGTGCCAGTGTTACGTACCATATGCTATCGGATAAATCTCGTGGACTTATGCAACGCGGCATCGCCCAATCGGGCACATACTTCAATCCCTGGGCACAGCCAGCCCACAAGGGTGTGGCCGCACGCCGGGCGGAGAAGCTAACCCAACTAGTGGGCTGTGACCAGGCAGGGGAGGATTGGACCAGCAAGATTGAGTGTTTGCGCAAACGCAGTGCGCAGGATATTGTCGCCACAGTTTATGATATGTTTGTAAGTTCTCCTTTATATTCTTCATATTTACCTTAATATCCTATATATACCATCTCAATTGGGACATAGCGGATTATGTTTGTGAAAGCTTCGATAGCGACACGTTTGAAAATTAATAATTAATCGACCCCATAAATGATTAGCAATACGGGACAAATCGGCATAGCCTTGTCCGTCTGTCTTTTTCTATGCAAACTGATCTCCTGTTATTCATGATAATGTGTAATAACTAGACGGATCGACTACTATATCCTAGCTGTCATAGAAATTGAAATCCGGTTTTGCAAAAACTTTGTTTCTTAAGATATCTTCAGCAAAATTAATTAACGATGGTTTTATATAATGTTACCAAACGGGCTTAAGCTGAAACCAAATCAAAATTATTTTACAGATCAATTTACATGCAATATGGAAAAATATTAAAAAGAAATCACACTCGAACCGTAAGTTATGGATGTACCCCTTCGGTAATCAAATTTTGTGAAATCAAAATATAATATTACCAGACGTATATGTCCTATAGCCTTCTGTGATATTAATAATTAATTTTTGGAAATATCAGCCATTTAGATAAAATTATATAAAAACACCGTTTAGGATTGCACTGCCACTCATTATCTTTCCTAAGATTTCTCAATTTTCTCCAATTGAAAAATGTTCTGCAAAAGTACACCAATACTCAAAAGAACGTAGAATATGTATTATTTACGACATCAAAAGGCCAGGCTTACAATAAATTTAAGGCACAAAATTCAATTTGCTTTCCCTTGTTCTCAATTAACTCCAGTCAAATGTTATTGCTTTAAATATTGCTCAGCAAGTATAGTTAATCAAATATTAGAAATAAATTCCTAGCTTCAAACGTTTTTAGACAAAACCATTTATATATTTAAAAAATATTTTAATATTATATAGGTATGGGACTTTGATCCAATGATACCCTTCCCGCCTGTTGTGGAACCCGAACACAGCGAGGCCTTTCTTTCGGTGGCGCCACGCAAAGCTTCTACGCCACATGGATTCGACTTGCCACTGCTCATTGGCGCCACAGCCGAGGAGGGCATTTTAAAGACAGCAGCGCTACTCAATCTTCCCCACTTGCTGGACGATTTTAAGACCAACTTTGGCAAGGTGTTGCCCATTGTGCTGAACTATGATCATCATGCAGGTGAACTGCAGCAGAAAATAACCGAAAGCATCGAGCAATTCTATTTCAAGTCAGGCCACGACTACAACAGAACCAATCATCAAAATCTCACCAACGTAGGTTGGCGTATTAATGTCAGCAGAAAATCTTATGAAAAACATGTTTACTCTTTTCAGCTCATATCTGATGGCTGGTTTATTGCCGGCATTGATGAATATTTACGGCTACGTATGGCGGCAGGCAAAGCGCCCACATATGTCTACCTGTTTGACCACAAGGGAGCCGCTAGCTTTTCGGAAATCTTCAAGGGTGGCCACGATGACTACTACGGTGCGTGCCATGCTGAGGAGCTGCAGTATCTGTTTCCCATAGGACGGGAACTATTTGTCAGTGCTGTTCCAACGCAACAGGATCTGGAGTTGCGGCAGCTGATGCTGAATATGTGGATCAATTTTGCACGAACAGGGTAGGGAACACAATTATACATCTGCAAGCCAAATTTGTAAATATTGTTTTTATATCTTAGAAACCCAAATATCGCAAAAAACTCCAGCGACTTACCCACTTGGCAGCCGGCCACTAGTTATCCTGTGGAGTATATGCGGATAGGCACTAAACGAGACGCGCATGAGGAGCGACATCCACTGCTGCGGTGGGAAGCTGCGCTGCTGCAGCAGCGCGCAAACTTCTGGCACAATCTTAAGCCCCATTTGCCTGCGGGTCAGTGCCCACATAAAGGCACCCACAATGAGCTATAAAACGCTTAATCATGACCTCCAAAAATTAAGTAACAACAATTTGTTTTATTGAAGTTGCAATCATATTTGTATTATATTATAACACATATTATTTTGTTGCTGGGCAAAAAATGTTCGCTCAAACCGATTTATGAGTACAACGGCTTCTTTTTATTTACATGGCGCTAGAGGTGGGAGCTGCACAACGATTTATGAAAAAACCAGTGATGCGCAACTTTGCCATTTGTTACAAATTTGTTATTAAAATTGCGTTTGCATTTCGATTTAAAAACAATCGCTGTCTTACTCAAGAATATTAACGTTAAAGACAAATGAGTGTTCAAATATATAGTTACATTGATATAAGGAAGAAAATAAGTTTGTTCCTTGAAAATTAAATTAGTTTTTTAGACCCTCCTTTATGTATTTTGACGCTTTCATATTTTCTTGAAGCTTTTAATTGACTTATACGTTTGCCAAATCGTTTGTAAAGTAACAAAAATATTATTTGAGTAATATTTTGTAATAAATGCATTCTCGATTTGAATGTATTTACTATTTTTCTTAATTTAAATATTTTGTATTATTTATTCATACATACCTATATATGTATACAAATTGGGAACAAGCTCCTAAATATTTTTACAGAACACCTAAGTGTTAATTACGCTCAGCCCCAAAGCTATTGATTGTTGTCAAGGTGCCGATAATGGAGGCGATAACGGACAACTCAAATTTGCCACTCAGGTGCATATGTATGTATTGTATTGTATGCTTACGCTCATACATGTCTATATGTACATATTAATATCTGAAAAAAAATTGTATATTTATTCTCGTTGATTTTTTGCAGGCAACTGTTTTTATTTTGCAGATAAAGTAACAACAAAAGCATGATAATAGAGCTGCCAGAGTTATCGTTTGCTGCAACCCAGCATGGCAACCCTGTTGGTTGGCTTCATTTTTTTCTAGCTGGCAGACATATGTACATATGTGCAGCACAAAAACAAACACACAATAAAGATATAATAAGTATTAGTACTAATGCTACAATTTATATAAATAAACATTCAAAGTGTATTGCTAACGTTTCAAATTACGACACGCTTACGTCCATTTTTGTTTGCTTTCGTATTGTGGACGTTGCAAAACGAATTACACGAAAAAATTTAAGTGGTCAAATGGCTGGCTCGGCGCTGCGTCGTCTAATGGCGGAGTATAAACGTAAGACGAGTACTTTTTCTGCTGACTTGACTGGCTTTGGGTGCATATATAGTAAACAGAAACACTTGCAAAGTCCAACCTGTGCCTTCTACAACTACTCATCATGACAATGTGTGCATTAATTAACATCATAAATATTTATTTGTGTTACGTTGTTCTTGTTGTTGTCATTGTTGTCCTATAGAGTTGACACTGGATCCACCAGAGGGCATTGTGGCTGGCCCCATCAGTGAGGATAATTTCTTTGAATGGGAAGCGCTTATCGCGTAAGTATAACCAAACCATTGCTTATCTTTTGCATCTACATATACTCGTATATACATATGTTTGTATGTTGGCGCATACGCATATATACAAATATATTTATATACATATAAATATTTATATGTGTTGTATGTTCCATTTACAGTGGACCCGAGGGCACCTGTTTTGAAGGTGGCGTATTTCCAGCACGCCTCGTCTTTCCACCTGACTACCCCTTAAGTCCGCCAAAAATGAAGTTCATTTGTGATATGTTTCATCCGAACATTTTTGCTGATGGACGCGTTTGCATATCAATATTACATGCACCAGGAGATGATCCCATGGGCTATGAACTATCGGCAGAACGTTGGAGTCCCGTACAAAGCGTTGAAAAGATTTTGCTGAGCGTTGTAAGCATGTTAGCAGGTACATATGTGCTGTGAAGCACTGGAGCATTTTTATTACTGAACTTTCTCCCATTACAGAACCCAATGACGAATCTGGCGCTAATGTAGACGCTGCAATAATGTGGCGTGAACGAAGGGAGGAATTCAATCAGATCGCCCGACGTTTAGTACGCAAAACACTCGGGTTACCAACATAAGTGCGAATGAGAAACTTATATCCACAGTTATCAACAACAAAACCAACAACCTACTAGCCTGGTCCCCCGGAACGCTACGTCATTTGTGTTCGACAATGTCGTGTATTAATTATAAATCTTAATTCAGCTATCAAGTCCACTCTGAGAACATTACAAACAGCTCGTTAAAATTATCCTAGCGGCCGAATATTGTTCACTTATATACTTTACATAATTTTTTTTATTTTTTTTGTTTTATAATTTGTTTAAAACATTTTCTCTTTGTTATTTTCAAGGTCCAGCTTATATTGAATTCTTTACACATTGATATCAATTATTTATATAACCGGAAACTTTCCCTATTTGAACACTGTTACGTCTTGTTATTTGTAAAAGTTATATGCGAAGTTAGTCGATATGCTTAGCAATAAACTCTAAGTTCAAAGTTAAGCAATTTATCCGTGCAATACTCAAATCAAGACTCTAGAGGCAGAGAAATTCGCTCAAGTTGGTTTGCCAATAACGTACATAACTTTTAAGCCAATAACAATAAAAAAAAGACACTGGGATGAACGTAATAAGTAGCAGTAATTTGTGTTATTGTTCGAGACATTTCAGTTAGATTATTTATGCCAATCGACTCGAAGCGCAAAGAGAAATGTTTGATTTTGGTAAAAAAAAAAGTTGAAATTAAATCATTCCAATAAGCTGCAATAAGTAATTTTCATTAATACAACTAAAGTAACAAAATTCATGCGAACTGTTGTAAACTTAAGCTGGAACTAAATACGAAAAAAATAAAAAGCCAATGTCAATCAGAACAATTGCAGTTGAACTTTCGCGCTTCAAACAGCGCTATCGGACCAACTCATTAATCAACAAATTATGCAGCGCTGCCACCCTGCGTGATAACACGTACACCCACCATATGGCAGTGCTGTTATGTTATCGTAGACCGCACACACGGTCCAATCGGTTTTATTTCACCAGCCCCTCGACTAGTTGAACTAGTCGTAGCCGAAGGAATATATACAATATATCTTCGGTACGCACAAATAAAAAAGTTAAACCACGGCTCTATATGTTTATTCGTTACGTGGGTAGAGGACGCTAAAAACACCTCAAGGTATGTTAATGTGTTCTGCATAACAACAAATTTCAAACAGAATCTACGTGAAAGTGCTAATTTTAATGTTAATTGAAGCAATGAATCGGACCAAGTGGTGTACAAACGAAATTAAACGGTGCTACTAAATAAATGGAATAAAGAGAAGCACTAGTAGAGAAACATGACGCATATTCGTGCGCCGACATATATGCTTTCAGTGGTGTTCATATGTGTGTAGGTGTGATTCGTATTTTGTCGGTGGCTGTGTTAGCCATTATAACGATGGCCTAATGTTGTGATAAGCGCTGCGATGGCCTGTGTGATGAAAGGTCATGTTATTACAGCAATTCGGCAGGGATACACTGTGTAACGCATGCCACACACACATACGCACGTACACACATTGCAATTAGACTGCTGCTCTCTGATTGACCTGCCAACAGGAACGAGTGCTGCCAACTTGCTTGTATGCGTTTGCTAACAATGTTTTTTGTGCAACAAAAGTGAAATTTTAAAAGCTTATCATTAAACAAGTAGATACGAATACAGGCATGTACATAGTCAACATTCAAATTAACATTTGTTCTACATTATAAAGCTCATGGTACATTATAAAACAGATGCAACTACAGGTGGGTGCGCGGGTGGTTGTTGTGTGTGTGTGTGCTGTTTTGAGCCGTTGAGGCAACTGCGCACGTGACGTCATGGCCTAATCGGTGTTATTTGGGTAGGAGGGAAACTGTATACACACATTCATACATACATCTGTATGTATTTCCGTTAGGTGTGTGCGAGCTGAAATATTCCAACACTTCACTGCAAACTGAGCAGTATCAGCAGCACCAACAACAATTGCATTAATTTGCACATTCAAGTCTGAGTCGGAGTTCTCTGTGCATTGCAAGACTGTTATTAAAACGTGGGAAATCTCCGCTCACGTATGTACACAGCAGCTCGGAAGATTTTTATCGTATTTATTTTTTTTGTTTTCAATAATTATAACACGCCATGATGAGTAAATACATTAATGTGCATTTCATATTCCCTTCATTAGCACAAGCAAGCTACAGTGGCGCAGACAAGATGCTATCGCTGCAGAATCAACGGCAACCGAAGACAACCCCCCTTGTCGATGATTATCTAATCTCTGATACGGTCCTCGGTCTGGGCATCAACGGAAAGGTGGTGGAGTGCACCCATAAACGCACCAAGCAAAAATATGCGCTCAAAGTACTTCTGGATAATGAGAAGGCGCGTCGAGAGGTCGATCTGCATTGGCGGGTCAGCGGATGCAAGCATATTGTGAACATTACCGATGTATACGAGAATACATATAGTGGACGCAAGTGCCTGCTTGTTGTCATGGAATGGTCTGTACTCTATTAATACAACAAAATTACATATATATATATATATATATATATATATATATATATATATATATATATATATATATAAATATGTAAAGCTGATATGATAGCTAAAGCTGATATGATAGATACAGATACCCAAACATCTAAGTTGGTACAGTTTGTTCGAAAAATTACGATATGGGAAATATATGTATGTTTAAAAAAAGAGGCAAAATCTTAGGCATAGTAATATAAAAACAATTAGCGAAGCTGAAGTCGGGTGTCCCGACTTTAAAATACTCTGTATATATGTGTAGAATAATTATGCGTGTATGTGTGTGTCTGTCTCGTGTGCCTGTAACAACAACAACAGCTGCGAGTACTGCTTGGTCATATATACATACATGGCTATAACTTCCTGTTAAATCGGCATATAATTATGTACTTGGCATACGGATCATAATCACTAACGGGATATATTTTCCGAATTTCAAAATTTAGTATGACTGTGAGGACTATGATAGTTACAGATACCGAATCAGTGTCCGGATTTCTTAAACACATTTAAGTTCACTTCAATCATGAATATCATAGTAATAAATCAAACTTTGTAAAGGTGGCTGAGGACTTTTAAATGTGTAAATATCTACACACATCTAAGTTGCTAAACTGATGAATATGATACTTGTATGTTATCAACATATTTATTATATATATTATTATTAGTTACAAAATTCTGAGCTTCATAGTTTTGTGTTTATTTTTGCAGCATGGCCGGTGGGGAGCTTTTCCAACGCATACAGGATAAAGCTGACAGTGCATTCACGGAACGAGAGGCTGCCCAAATAATGCACGAAATATGTGTGGCTATACATTATCTGCACAGTCGAGACATAGCACATCGCGACCTTAAGCCTGAGAACTTGCTATATACTACAAATCAGCCGAATGCGATTCTTAAGTTGACGGACTTTGGATTTGCCAAAGAGACACTATCCAATGACACTCTTCAAACGCCTTGCTACACCCCCTATTATGTGGGTAGGTATAGTATATATTTCGTGCCTTCTATTTCCACTATTGAGGGGTATTCAAAATTGGCTAAAATTATCCGAAGTCTATAGCGACAAACCAACAGGAACTCTTGAGAGTTTGAGTTGTACTTAAAAGTGGGCTGCAAATTCTTTAAGAGACAATAATATTCTTTTTATACTCTGTAGTTGAAGAGCGTTTATCTGTCCGTCTGTATGAACACAAAGATATATTCATAATACAAGTAGAGGTAAAAAAAATTACACTGTTATGACTCTGATTATCAATTCAATATACGTTATTTTTAAATTGAAAATATTATGTAGGACATCATTTAATGATATTGTATTTTGTTTTACAGCGCCCGAAGTTCTGGGACCTGAAAAATATGACAAGAGTTGTGACATCTGGTCTCTGGGTGTGGTCATGTACATCATAATGTGCGGCTTTCCGCCGTTCTATAGCTTCAACGGACTGGCCATATCGCCCGGCATGAAGAAACGCATACGCACCGGCCAATATGATTTTCCCGATCCGGAGTGGACGAACGTTAGTCAGGCAGCAAAAGATCTGATCAAGGGCATGCTGAATGTGGACCCAAGCAAGCGTTTGCGTATCGAGGAGGTGATGCGCAATAAGTGGATAGCACAGTACAATGCCGTGCCGCAGACTCCGCTCTGCACCGGACGAATGTTGAAGGAGGGCGAAGAGACCTGGCCGGAGGTGCAGGAGGAAATGACACGTTCGCTGGCGACCATGCGTGTGGACTACGATCAGGTAAGCTGCGACGACTACGCAGCATTATTGCGAAATTGTGCATAACTTTTTTATGCTAAATGGTTGGATTTTACAGATGCAAATCAAGGCATTGGACAAGTCCAATAATCCCTTGCTGACGAAGCGCAGGAAAAAGACTCAGGGGATCATTTGTAAGAAATGAGAGCGGCGAAGAGACAACAACAACAACACCAATACTGCTGGCCTCAATGTAACAAAAACTAAACGTGAACAACAATTGTAAATCCAATACACACACACACTTCTAAAGACACTTAGTTCCCAGCGCAGTCAAAGTTGCGCAGCTTTGCCAATGCTTAACTATTCTACATATATATGTATATACATATTATATATATATATATTGATCAGCAGTTAGAGTCTTTTTTTAAATGTTTTTATGCTGTTTTATTTTCATGTGTATTGGCTCGCGTACGAAAAATGTTTTTCTTTCGTATGCATCAATTATTTATAGTCTAAAAAGTTATCCTTAAATAGTGAAGTTCGTTCTGTACAATAAACGAAGGAAGAAAATGTGTAAACGGATCAAGCTAATAAGTCCTGGCTGCATCCGAAAGTGTCGTAGGAACTTCTAAGCTAATGTTAACAACATTTTAGTTTATAATTGTAATTTCGTATTTGTATGTCAAACCTTAGATGAAATTAAGACGGTTAGTGGACGTGTCAATTGTTTAGTGCTAAAGTCAATAAGCGACAACAAAAGTTGCAGTCCAATATTGGTTTATAATATTGAACTGCCTCTATTTTGGCAAACTATGTGTGCATAACTATACCATTTAACCTTAACAATAAAGTATTTATAGTCTTTTAACGAGCAGGAAGAACACTGTATGATATATTTCAATGCTGAAGGATGTAAGTATTATGGCACGAATCGTGAAACGTGCATAATAGCTGCACTAGTTCTAATTTAAACATAGACTTTGGAACGTACTTTATTAAAATTAACTCTAAAGCTGAATCTAAAGTTAGTAAATTCTATAAATTCTGTTAAGCTCGTGTTAGAAAGAGACAAAAGATATCATTTTCGTGCGTTGTATGTTTGCTTTCATTATTAAATTTTGAATTCACAGAATATTCCAAAACTAATAGATCATTTATATTGGTTTGTAAAAAAAACAACTGACCAAATGCCTAAATTATAATCTTTATGATTTAAAAGCCTGTTCCAGTTTATGCATTCGGTTAAATTTGTTGAAATCGGTTCTGCTGACTTTTCATCACATCGCAAGTTTCTTTCAAAATCGGTGGAATAGAATTCGTTAAACCTTAACGATTCAACGATTTTATGAAAATAATAAACAAACGCCTGAGGTAACATTTTTCTCAATGGTAAGCTTTTAGTGTTAATAAGTGATGCGAATCCAGAAAATTCAACCAAGTCGATTCGAAAATGTAGAACTTATATTTTGTTTATTTATTTCCACTATTTCTGAAATTTAAACAATTCCACCCTTTATTACTTTCGTTTTAAAACGTTTTCGTTTTTTAAATTATATTAACAGCACCAGTTGTTGCAGTTCTCCAGTCCAATTCTCAATTCCAAATAAGTTTATAAAACTGATTAACTGGTTTTTACTAATTTTGACGTTGATCGGCACTGCAACAATATATATCCGAATAGTTCACAATTTCCAATTAAGTGTTTGCTTGATCTAATTAAATTTAAAAAATTAGATGAAGTATAGGGTTCGATTAGGACATAATTAAAACACTTAAAACCTATTCTCAAAAAACACAAAGCCCCAACGGTTTGTCCACAAATTCCAGAGAGATTAGGTTTATAATGTTGGCTAACTTTAAATTAATTTTACATTGTGTGCCCATTAGTGTACAGTATATGTAAAACCACATTTTTCCCATAATTATCTTCCGAAATAAGTTATTGTTTATGGCAACTTAAGATGCTTGATTCTTCAAACAATTTCAAATAGGAGAGGGTGTTCTGAAAGTGTAATTGAAACGGTTGTTGTGGAATTTTGGTGCATTCTCATTTATTTAATATAACAATACGCCTTCAAATATCTCACATTTTGATTTCATGCATATACATATAATATTAATAGTTTATAGGCTGGATTGCAAATAACAGTTTGCTAACGAATTATCAGTTCTTACTACGATCTAGCACTAATTATACATTGTACGATGCTGTATGTATTCGCATGTATATACATACATGTGCATGTGTGTGTAGGTGCAGGTGTGTGTGTGTATGTGTGGCTCGTTTTGGTAAATTGTACATTTAGTTGCTCACTCATGAATACATAAATATATAACTACATATTTAATTATATATGTATAACAGCTACTTTCGTAAACTTCAATATATTCATATTAATATAAACATCATTGTAATTATGTATGTGTGTGTTGGTGTGGGTGCGTGTGTGTGTGTGTATGTAAGTATGTATGTACATTTGTTACTTGTTTTCAACAGTATTTATTCATATATTTTTATAACGCACATTACGTTTCCTCTTTGCATATACATTTGTTTGTTTATTTTGTTGGGTTGGTTTTTATAAAACGGGAGACAGAAAAAGACGCTTAGAAAAATACCTATTTACATAGTATTTATGTATGTTTCTAAGTATACTTAAAGTATTTTATGGCAGATAACGAGATTCTCCATTACATTTCTGTATTCTCATCCTGTTTTGACATCTAAAGCTGAAGTTGAACTTTGAATTCCTGAATTTCCTGCATATGTATTTTTATTTGTATTTTTTTGGGGGAGAGCGTTCCGAAACTGTTTTCCCTTTATTACAATTATTATTATTTTTTTATAATATGTACTTTTCACTTTAAGTGATGGAGTATTTTGTGTTTCGCATTATAAAATTTGTAACGTATAGAAAAAGGCAGCGTATTTGTTTTTGTAAATATTAAGAAATGTTCATCTGTAAAAAGCTAGTGAGTTCGGAGCTGGTCACATATATCATATATACATATCATATATATTTGAAAAATAGTTGCTACTTAATACTCTGTTTTATTCATAGCACTATATAAAGCCTGCTAGTTTAGATCAAAATGAGGATTCGCAGATATTTGAAGATTCGCATTTATGAACTGGTGGAACTCAAAATAATGGCACATTTAATTTAATGTCCACGTTTCAGATTCACTGAAGTTAAATGGGCTTTTAGAAACTTAAATGTTCACAGATATTTCAATTTTCGCATTTAAGATTGAGTGGAATTAATTAAATTAGCAAATTTAAGACTTGGTGTAATAAAAATTAATTAATTTACTCACTGAATTCACAAATATTGTGAATTCCGCAATTAATATTTGGTGATTAATTAATTCATTGATTTACACATTTGATGAATTCAGCATTTAATATTTGGTGGAATTAAAAGTGCTTAGTTAATTGAATATACACTCATATGCTTAATTCCGCTTTAGTATTTGTTGAAATTAAAAGTAATTAATCATTTAAGTTCATAAATATTCTGATTTCCACATTTAATATTTGATGGAATAAAAAGTAATTAATTCTTTGAATTCATGCAAATTCTAAATTCCGCATATTATGTATGGAAAACTTTTACGTTTTTTCTACAATTATCTTCCGAAATACGTGTTTCTTTAAGGTAGCAGCTAAAACCCCACAATAACCTTAGTTATTTAAACAAAACGTGTTCGTTTAGAATGAGAAAAAGTACTCTCGCACAAAATCTCAAGAAAAAAAACTAATTTCTTTTCGCTCTCCCCCGAGTAGTTTTGAACTGCTGTCCGTTTCGGTTCTGTCTGTCTGTCATGTGCGTTATTTGTCTGAAGGTACTTTAGTTTCTTTCTTTTCTCCTGTTCTACTTCTTTTTCTTTTGCAATGCTTTGCTCTTTAGAGAAAACTATCGCAGCTATTCTCTGCCTCACTATTGGAGCACTCAATGGCTGGCAGAGAGCCGCCTCTTCTATATGCCAACTGTCTCTGATAGGCGTGTCGCTGATACTGATACTGGAGAGATTGGGAATAGGCTGTTTGGGACGTACTGCCCCCACTGCTTATGTTACTGCTACAGCTCATATGGCTGGCTCGACGTCTGGTTGCCGAACTCATTCCGCTCGGCGTTGATGCACCGGATCCGGCGGGACCAGCGACTGCATTGAGACGCGGAAAATATTTGTACAAGTCCAGAAGATTGTTGAGTCGTATGTGCGGTTTATACTCGACATCGTCCAAGTTTTGTGGTGCACTGCTCAGCGGTGTCCAGAACGTCAGGCCTAGCTGGGCCAGATGTCCGCCCTGTAAGTGCGGAAATATATACGAATATTATTATTGGTGTCAATTATTTATGCATACAAACATACATACATATGTACATATGTAAATGCAAAACCGAGTACGTGTGGAATGGGGTTTTATTTCGAGGCAAACAACATTTCCGGTTATTTAAATTTAAACACACTTCAGTTTCCCTTTGCACACAAAGTACTTTAAAAAGCAGAACTTGTTAAGCTCGACTATCGAATCGGGTATATCCTATAGTGAAAGCAATTTCTGGCACTTTCCATTGCTGAATTTCTCTCCTTTCTCATTGCTAATTTTTGTAAGAAATTCCAAAAAATAAAATAAACTCGTCGTTTCTCGGACCTAGGAGAATCTGGATGCCAACTTTGGTTATTCCAGCTTTTATAGTTTCTGAGACAGACGGACGAACGGACGGGCATGTCTAGATCGATTCGTCTAGTCCCGCTGATTAAGAATATATATACTTTATGGGGTCGGAGATGCTACCTTCTGCCTGTTACATACTTTGCACAAACCTAATATACAATTTTTACCCGACGGGTACAGGGTATAAAAACATTCAAATAATTTCCTATTTCTTTTCGTCCCGGATTTTATTTATTATAATAAATATGTTCATTAATTTTTTTAGCCCTCCTATGCGCTTCTCATACGAAGCAGCTAAGCAATTAATTCATTAACTTTTTGTTATATTTCGATCACCACCCTCCTTTGCGCTTCTCATACGGAACAACTAAGCTATGTCGACTTAGCCAACATCAGAAAAAAAAACACACAATTTCAAAAGCCGTTATTAGCAGACGAATGTTGATTCATCGAAACGTTATCACCCTACGCGTACTAACAGCCACTCAAGCGATTTCTCCCCCGGTATTTAATAATGCAACAGCTGTGTTGACTCACCTTAATGTCGGTCTCCAATTTATCGCCAATCATTGCGCACGTTTGTGGCTTAACGCCGAGGAAATTGCACGCCGCGTAGAATATCTCCGGATGGGGCTTCTCCCATGGCAGATCCGAAGAGACGAGCACGCAATCGAAATATTCGCGCACATGGAGACGATGCACCTTCTCCCACTGGGCATTCGATGGACCGTTGGTGATGAGCGCCAACGCGTATCCGGCACGTCGCATACGTTGCAGCAGCTGGACATAGTCGGGGGGGACGGCCAGATAGCGATAGCGCAGCTTTAGCCACTTGGTATATACCTGCTCGGCGAGGTGCTTGTGTTTGGGCTGCAAGGATTCGCGCCACAGATGTGTGCGCCAGCAGTCGAGCGAGGTTTGAGAGCTGTCCGGGCAGCGACGGAACGATTTTAAAAAGGTCTGAGTGGCCAGTGTGGCGTCATCTTTGGTAAAGTTATACTGCGCCTCCAGCACATCGGTTAGCTAATTCATAAAAAATACAAATAAACAGAACGATTAGAACGTTTAAGTTGGGCGAGCCCGACCCTTGCATACCCTATACCCGCCCAATCCAAACATTCATTCATCAATATTTTTATAAACACAATCGTTTCACTAGTAAGAATTATTTTTTTCCTTATTTAAAATAGTGGCTATATATGATTTGTAATAAACTTGATATGTGCACTGATAAGGCAAGTCCACATACCAAGTTTGGTGTCTGTAGCTCCTATAGTTCAAAATTTATTGAAGTTCATACAGACGAACAAATGGCTTAATAAACTGACAAAAGGATGGACATGTCTATGCTGTCTTGTCATCAGTTTAGCATGATCTTATATGTCCTATATGTTTGTACCCAAAACGTAGGGTCTGCCATCTTCGGGTATAGGGTAAACGTTTTCACATTTTATTTTTGGCTACAAACAACTTTGACCTTTGGTGCATTGATCTAATAATGCGCTAAATACACGCAAGCATATACATATAGGCGCGCCGCTTTTCCTATCTCCGGATACACTCAGGTAGACTATACTAAGTACTCGTATATATAGACACAAACACATGTATGTATATCTGTATGTATAGGCAGGCAGGCGCAGGCATACGTAACGCAACACGCGTTGCAGTGGAAATTTTTTACAAATTCTAATCGCGCGCACTTTCACACTGTCCCTTACCGCTCGCCCTCTGCTAACCCATGAATGTACATAAAGATGTATGTATGCATGTGTGTGTGTGTGTGTATGTTACACTCCACACCTACCACCTGCACAATCAACCCCACAACGAACCCACCTTACGTATCGCCTTGGAGTCACCGCTCCTGGTTGGTATCAACGTATTATCGAAGTCAAAATAAAACGCGTTGATTTTTGCACAAATTCCATCGAGTTGAGTTGTATGCTTTATGCTTGATGTTGTTGCTGATGCTGCTGCTTGTGTTGTTGTTGTTGCTGCTGCTGTCGTCGTCAACACAAATCCAAATCTACTTGATGCCATGAGTGTTATTCCCAAGAAATATTAAAACCTTTAGCATACAGCACAAAATGTTTTACAGTTCAGACAATTCGAAAGTAGAGTTGTTGCGCGCGTTTTTATTCGGTTCGTAACGTTAAAACTGCAACTAAATCTAACGAAATTAGCGCTAAGGTGAAATAAAGGGAACAGGTAAATGTCTAACCAAGGCAAGAGCAAAGCAATGACTGACTGAATGAAAGTACACGCGCATACAGTCCATTAGATAAGTTTGTGCACCTACGACCTTTTGCGATGGGGACAAAAACAACCCCGTGTTTGTTTTTCTGTAAACCCGCGTCGCAGTTCCATTCTGGCACGTCCAAATTGTTTCCAACAGATAAAAATTGTATTCAAAATTAACGTTGTGTTCACACGCTTGTTAATGGCAATTCATAAACAAATACCAATGCGGTAAACAATTTTTATCGCAGCAGTGTAAAGCTACCTGCTATTTGTATGGTTATTTATTGGCAGCACTGCTGTATGGCTATTTATGGGCAGCACTGTCGATAGCTGTAAGTGTTGCCGAACGCAGTGATGACGTATATACAAACTATCGCAATTGCATTGGTAGCACTTTTGTACAATATGTCAGAGCAATTGCGCGAAATTTAAATAAATGAATGGTGCAAGTATGAACATTGACGACGGTTTTAATGAACTTTGTACGATTTCATTTATAAATAATTAATTTTAATTACTTTAAGCCTGTCGCGCTTTCTTTCGTTCTTGGTAACGCGCCACGGCCGCATCGAAAACTTCACCCACGGTACGCTTCTTCCAGATATAGCTAAGATCGATACGCTCTCTGGGTGGTGTTGGCACGGGTTGTACTTCTGATGGCTTTTCCATGTCTGCTGCACTCTTTTCGCAGAGTGACTTTGCTTTCGGTTCATTGACAGCTTTGCTTTCGGTCGATATTTCTGGTTGTTCTATCTTGGGTTTTGATTCTACGATTTTGGTTTTAGTCTCTAATTCTTTAACAGGCCTATTGACAGACTTTTCATCATCATCGTCGCTGGAGTCGTCAATGCTGAAATCTGAGTCGGCGTCTATGTTGTTGGTCAAATGTGCCTTCACAGTGCTGCTGCTTGGTTTGACCTCCTCCTCTTCTACAGTCTTGTCCTTGTCTCGCTCTTCATCGGAATGCCGACGTCTATAACTTCGCTGTTTGATGCCAATCTTTGTAGGCGGCTCTGTTGCTTGTTTCTCCGCCTTGATTGGCTTGTAGGCCACATCGTCGGCTGTTGGTGCTGTTTTCGGCTTCAGTTTGTCTTGGTCTGTGCCCAATTTCTGTTCATATAGATGCCTGTAGAAGCCATCGAGATCCTTTTGCTTGGTGACATCGCCAATTGCTTCCAGATACTCGTCTCTCTGTTCCTGCTCTTGCAACAGCCGTATAGACTCGAGTTTCTTGCGATATGTTGCTGTCACATACGTGTCCTTGTCCTGGAACTTCTCCCCCTCGGCTTCGCGCTCTTTCTGCACTTGTCGTTCGATGCGCAGTTCATTCTCCAGCTTGCGCCGCTCAGCATGCTCCATCAGCCGGCCAATGTATTTGGGTTTACGCGGCTCTTGACTTTTCGTCTGTTTGGCCTCCTCGCGCTTGTTGTCCATCTCATCGTAGAGCTCGTCATATTGAAAGATGGTGGGATCCTCGGCCAGTGCCTTCTCCTGCATTCGTCGTGCCACTCTTCGCTCCATTAGACTGGGCCCACTAGTAGTGCCTGCCTTGGCACGCATTTGGGGTGCATCATTGTCGCTCTCCGAGCTGGTGTTCTCATCGAATATAGATGGCTTTGTTGCGGGCGGTGGTGCAGCAGTTTTCTTCTGCTGCCCAGGCACTATTAGACCATATCTGAATAAAATATGAAAAATATGCATTAATATATACATAATTATTCATTTGATAATATGCATATCACTTACTGCTTCGACATTGTTTATTCTCTTCTTCTTTTTACTTGCAAATGTCATTCGCTGTGGTGTGAGAGCTGCCACACAACTCAAAAAAGTGGGCTTGTCATTGGTGCAACCCTGTGTTCTCACTTCTGACAGCTGTCAAATGCTTCAAGATGGACTTCCTCTCTCTTTTCCGATACGTTCGCGGTCGTGTAAATTTGTGTTGAAAAATCACAAAATTAAATCTTAGGTAATCCGCGTCGATTTACTGTAATATACTCGCTATAAACATGTAGAAAGTTTCACAAATGCCGTTGCATTCATCTACACTAAAGATTTTGTGCGAACGCGTTGCAAAATATGTGAATATGCGTTTTTTTTTTGTGTGGGCAAAAGTGGTTTAAAAGTGCGAAACAAATTGCTTACCGGCACCTTCAGCACCATAGGAAGCAAGACAATGCATAAATTCCAACAGTCTGCATTCCCACTTAGTGCTTGATGTTTATTGTTTGTTAAAATTTTTTTCTGTGAGGCATTTCAAATGCCGCAAACTCCTGTAGTGTTTTTTTTTCTCTTTGGCCGCATCAGCTGTGTTGTTGTCTGTCCGCTGCCGGCGCAACAATCCAAAGGCCATCAAAGGAGCTCAAATGAATATGCGTCATTGATTGACTGAGTGATTTAAAGTGCCCGCCACTTTAAATTCTGCAACTCGTCCTTTTCGTCGTTGTTGTTGTTTACATGACTGCAATGGGGCTACTACGTACATACATATAGTATGTGTATACACATACATATGTACACATTCGTATTGTATTCACATATTTCGCAAAACGCACGTGCAGTTTATTTGTTATATGAATTTCTTGTACATTTTTTTCCATGTTTTTGTTGGTGTTCTGGAAATGTAACTAATATATTGCTTTCTCTTTCCCCCCCCCACTCCACACATTACAGCCATGGTGCGTATGAACGTATTGGCCGATGCCTTGAAATGTATCAACAATGCTGAGAAGCGTGGCAAGCGTCAGGTCCTGCTTCGTCCCTGCTCGAAAGTCATCATCAAATTCCTGACTGTGATGATGAAGCACGGCTATATTGGTGAATTCGAGATTGTCGATGATCATCGTTCGGGCAAAATTGTTGTCAACCTCACCGGACGCCTCAACAAATGTGGCGTCATCTCGCCACGCTTCGATGTGCCCATCAACGACATTGAGAAATGGACCAACAATCTGTTGCCCTCACGTCAGTTCGGCTATGTTGTGTTGACCACATCCGGCGGCATTATGGATCACGAGGAGGCCAGGAGAAAGCATCTGGGAGGCAAGATCCTTGGATTCTTCTTCTAAATAAGTGTGTGTGGAGTTCAAAAATGTTAAAATAATGGTTTTATTTCTCCGACGCCCACAAAACGACTTATATGCGAACACTCTCATATATGTTGAAATTAAGGTTAAAAACAAATTTGCATTCAGCACAACATCCAGTTAAATGAATGTTAACAACAAAACGCGAAATAAAATGATTTCTACATAATAATTTTAATACAGATTGTTTTTTTTTTGTTCCCCAGCCCTAAAATAAACTGTAAGCGAAAAACGTGACGAAGTGACAGTAAATTGTTAACATAAAACCGTGTTGTGTGAATTTCCAGAAAATTAGAACTATTAGAGCTCTGGGGAAGAGCCCGGGCTTATCGCCAGGATCGAAGACGCACTAGAAAACCCAAAAACTGTAGTTTGCGAAACACCACGTGCGGATTTTAGTAGCTACAACACCTGAATGTAGTGTATGCCCAACAAGAATTGTAATTCCTATAAAATCAAACAATGTATCTTCATGTCCTAGTTTAGTTTTCGGATGTACTTCAAGCGCTATAATAAAATATAAAACATTGCAAATAGCAGGGTAATCGTGTATCATAGCTTTCCAGTAGACAGGCAAATATTTGCACAACAAATTTGTCGAATTTTACTGGAATAATATATTTGTAATTCAATCAATATCAATAATTCAATCCTAACATAGATTTCTGTCAAAAGCAAGCTCCGGCCTCTGGAGATTAATATTGCAAAACGAAATTATGAAATGATGTTGTTTGCAAACCATTTGCCTGAGTCTTTGGTTAATTGATTCATAACTTTACCTTTTAGGCAAACCACAGAAATATTGGTTCCATTACAAATACATGTTTAAAATGAATTCCCTTCACTGTCTCTTATAGAAAAAGAGTTTTCTTGAAAAAGATAATGATCAACTTATTTTTAATCTGAAGAACTTATGTACTTTATATTTAAGCTACCTATTTATACATTATACCTCTAACGAAAAATATCTATTAATGGATGACGAATGGTCCCAGACGAGTCCGAAATTTCATTTTTGTAAACCTGTTACGATAGGTACCAAATGGTCCGATTCCTAACTTCTTCGCTTTTCTATTTTTATATTTACTAGGGTTTTTGGTCTTAATTTGTATTCCTCAAGGCAAATGGCAAATACTCTTTCGTTTAATGAGCAGAATGTGCGAAAGTATGCCCTGTAATTGAAGCTGAACCATGTCATTTGTTTAGACGTCCACAGTAAGTAATTTAATAGTTGGATTTCTGTACTATTTACCAGAACATACAGAATTTTTGTACTCGTTTCGATTAAGAAAAATAGGATAAAGTTTAAGTTCTCTTAGGCCGCCAATTTGGATTTAGTTGTGTTAAGGAACCCGATCAAAATCGGTGCATTAGTAAAATGAATAAGTTGTGCCTCGTTTAAATATTATGTTTAATTAAAATGAGTGTACAAAGGGGGGTGTTGTAATTGAAATTCTTTTCGGCTTATGCTGTTCATAAAATTATATTATTCTCACGGATTTTCATTTTTTAACATTCACATTATTTGTAGAAACCTAAAGTAAGGCTTTCATCATTCAATGGCATCTACAAGCTTACACATCATGCGATCCTGTTGGTAGCTTGGATCGTTTTTCGCCGCCGCATTCGATTCCAGGGGATCCGCTTCTGTTTTGACCTTGGCCGTGCCATCTTCTTCGTCGGCCAGTGTGGGAAGTGCCGCGAACGCATTATTTACTATATCTCGTACTCGCTCGAGATGTTTTTGAAAGCGAGTGGCTGTTTCGACTCGTTGCCGTTTCTGCATTTCCATCATGACGCGCAATGTTTCCCGCGCTTGATGCGGTCTGAATTCGTTGAGCAGATGATGCATATTGACAAAAAGCAGGCTGAGGTCATCAATCTGACGATTGGGAAGATTATTATTAAAGAATAGCTAAATATCACAAATTGGCAGTGTACTTACCTTTTCTGTGCGTCTAGGACTGTCGGGGTTCAATATTAGAAAATCAATGAGATCCAAAAAGTTGACTAGCAGCGAATGGTTTAACTTTTTCAGTTCCTTTCGTCGATCGAAGTGTATGGGTATGAGACGTTTTATGTTCTGCGACTCCAGGGAGCGTATCATCTCATCGTTGTTATATTGAATGCCGAACATGCTGTACACCTCATGTTGCGATGGAGGCGGTGGTGGGCGAGGCGCACGGTTTCTCCTTATATTCTCATCTGTGTAATTGCTAATGTACCGCTCTGGCGGCATCGGCAGACTCGACACTTGTGTCTCTGGTCCAGACATCTTGACGCCTTTAAATTATAGCTGCGTAAGCCCAAGGCTCTTTCCAAATTGCTGTGGGTTTGTTTTAGAGTTAATGCTTTTATTTCTTTCAATTTTGGCTGTTAAGGATGCATACGTGGACGTGGCTCGAGTGCTTTCAAATTTCCTGCTGCTTTCCTAAATGTTGAGATTTATTATTTTCACAATTGCGTGATGGTGTTTCGACGTTTTTGTTATATTTATGCAAGTGGGTATAAAATATTATTGCTTCTGCAATTGTTTTGGATTAAAGTTAGAGATGCGAATTACTTGCGTGATAGTGATTTTGTCGGTGTTATCAGCTGGGACAAATATTGTCCCAAAGTAACAGTTTTGTGGAATTTGCCAAAGTTATCGATAGCTCTAAATGTCAATCGATAAGAGTTCCATTTGAAAACTGCGTGATATGTCCAATGCTAGCTTTAATAAATATACAGTACATAGCTAAAAAAGCACATGATTAATTCTTATAAGTAATATATTTATAATGTTTAATTGCTTTCTACAACTTGTTGTTGTTTAATCACCAAAGCAAAAACCAATAAATGTTTAATAAGCTGTTTACAAGCATAATTGCCTTACTGTTATGGTTTAAAAACTGCATGCTCTCAAATGGCAGAAACCTAAATGCGTTATTAAATAAATAATAAGGTGTTAATTGCTGTTGGCCGAGTTATCAATCAGAAGTTATGATGGCACGGCACCAAGCATTTAAATTATTAATGAGTTAATACACGACCATATCTGTGCTTAACACAGGTGACAGAACCAAGTAATGGCCGTAGTAGTTAAGATAAGAGATATGCCGAATGCTTTACGTTTCGTTGATTAACTTGCTGATACGATCTTGCCCTGGAAAAGTTTGCAGTAAAATAAAGCCATAAAATGGACAAACTACATTAACCGTTCGATAAAACAAACATGTTCGTATATTATATAATTAAAAAATATAAGCGACAATTTTCTACATAAACGACTTTAAATACAATATTTATTAAAATAAGGCAAATAACAATTTACAAATATATGTTTCAGTTTGACTACAATTTATGAATCCCTTCATTATTTAGCTAAACTAATATACATATAAAAGTATCTATTAATTTCCTTTTTTTAATGGTTGTTCATCTTTTTTTTATGAATTGATTCCCAAATTAATTTATTAGTGTTGGTTCAGTACGATAAAAATTCCTTGGCATTTGCTTTTGAATACTCTTTATTTCCTCCATAGGCGATTTTGGTTTGTTCAACGAAATCGGACAGCAAAGGTTATGAGAAGAGAATACGAGAGGGCCTTTAAAGTAATTTGAATGCTTACAACTTAAAATAGATTTAAGCGTTTGTTCAATATAGCAGATAAACCTAACTATTTAGATATTTGTTTTCAGTCAGATTTCAGGCAGTCATTAAATTTCCCATACAGGGATATTTAATATAAAGCCTTACCAGTTTAAAATGAATTTTAATTATTAGCTATATACCGACTTCGCAATCAGATCAAAAGGATTTTTCGTATATTTTTTTAAAATTTTACTAAAACATACAATCTATTTGGCCTATTTCTTTTCACCAATTGAACGAATACTTTGAGCTATTTAAAATTTTTTTATTTACCACTTTTACGAATACTATTTATAATTTGAATATATATGTATACATAAAAATAATATTCATATTAAATAAATACATTTTCTTATAAAGAAATGTAGTCTTTGGCATTGTTTGTAAAGCGTTTAATTCCCCAAGAAAAACTTATTAACTTCCAATTCCTTTTGATGGAATTTTTATAGATTCTACTTTTGGCATTATCGGCTGACTGACTGGCTTTATCAGCGCCTGTCTAATCAAAGTGGGCGCGACAGACAACCTTTTCTTTAATTATGGAACCGAGACAGACATATAATACATATTTGAGTGTGCACGTTCCGGGGTCGGGTCTTCAATTATATATACTATATACTTAGTTTATTATATTTCTCCTAGTCCAAGTGTTAATTCCATGTTTCACACAATTCGTGGTTACAGTTAATTACATTTCGGAATATATAATGCGCTTTTTATGGGTCTCAATTAGCTTTATTGACAACAACAGCGTGAGATATTGATCGGCCATCCCTCTGGGAAACAACGCCTTTGTCATGTCTATGGTGCGGCAATGAAATCAGAATTCCATAAACTAAATCAATCGGAGAAATTGAAAGCAGGACTGCGGAATTTCGATTGCCATCTGACTTCTGCACGCACACTTTTTCTTTCTGTGCCCCAATTGGTGGCGAAACTTGCCTCAAAATGTACTTTCCTCCATTGAATGGCATTTGAATTGCTCTCTTTGGCCGAAGTTGGTTGCGCAAATCATTTTGCAACCACAATAACAATAATTGAAATCCCCGCCAATGATTCAGCATAATCAGAGTTTCAGAGACAGTCTCCGCCGTCATCATTTTTGACGAATAGCTTCAGCCGATCGACCCACAGAGCGTTCAACTTAGGTTCAGGTACTAGTAAAATACAAAACTAGTCACGATGCTGACCAAATAGTACGTGTATGTTCCCCCAGCTATGGCCGGCACGACAATACCCTTGGAAAGTATTTTCGCTTCTATTTATCAGTTCTTCCGTCTGAGCCAATTTTTGCAATCAAGAAAATAATAATACCGATTGACGATCTATTTTGCTTGCACATGATTTTTGTTTCATTATTGGTCCAAAGAATCTAAATCTTGTTAAAATGTATGACTTTTTGCATTTTTCACCCGGATTATTTGGGTTCTTTTTATATTTATTATGTTTTTAAGGTGTGCATAATTTTTAGATCCTAGAATATAGATAATTCTAAATTATAGCTTTTAATAATAAGTTTATAAAGTGTAAAAATGTAGGAAAATAACGTAACTTAAACTATAATAGTAATATTTAAAAAAAAAGTATATTAAAAAAATAATTTTTGGATTTTTGAAGAAAAAAAAATCTCTAAATCGCAGCTTTAGGAAATAGGTTTTCATTTAAAAATTTTACATTCAATATAAATATAATTTTATCAAAAAAAAAAAAGTAATTAAAAATATAATAATATTAATGTCTGATATAATAATAATACATATTTTTAATAAATGCATAGGAATAAGATATTTTCAAAACTAGCGACAAATATTTATAAGATAAATGCATTTACAAATTGCGTTTCTAAATATTTATGTTTATTGAATTCGGTCTTTAATAAAATAAGACACATGCATATATACATATAGAAGGTATAAATGTTAATGTAGATAATACATAATTAAATGAATGAAATAATCCGAAACGCAAGGTCAAAAGTAAAAGTACAGTTTAACAATTGAGTGTTTAACATACACTAAAAACTCTCTCGACGAACTTATAAGATGCCCTCTACAAGGGTAGTGTGCAAAACCAGCTGGTGGGCACTTTAGAAAGGGTTCTAGTAGGTTCGAAACAGACTGAGATAGCAACAGCTCAAAGCTTTTGACAACGTCATCGTGTACGTGCAAAGAGCGCCAATTCTCAAGCAGCTGTGCTGCCGACACACACACACACATACAGACTCTGCCATATGAATATTTATGTGCGTAGATGCCTACGCCAATTTACGTCGCTGATGCGCTACTTAGAGTGAGGTCCCCCAGAAGATGGTAGAATTTCCGACGCGCATCACTAAAAGAGCAGCACAAACGATGACAAATGTAATGCTCCTGTTGAACTAAGTAATTATTGTATGTACTCCGCTGTACTGACAAGCTAAGTTGGCTCGTAGAGCCACTGGCTACTAGATGCAGCCCAAAAGTGCTGCACTTCATTTATCTGTATCTCTTTCTGTTTAGAGAGCGGCGACAAGCACACGCCACTCATTAACTGTATTTTGACAGTTAGAAGGTAAAATAATTTTATAAAATAAATAATTATTTTGAACGTTGAGAAAATGTGAAAAAGAGAATATAAGAAACATCAGAAAATTATAATAAAAACCATCAGAAAAATAATGATAAGATAATAAAAAGATTTACAAATATATAGAAAAGTTAAGCGAAGAAAAATATATTTCTTTTTTAACAAGGACTGACTGGTAAAGGCTAACGACAAGCTTGAGTAAAATTTGCCTTTGTTAGGATCCACTACTGATGACAAAGGGCTGACGCGCGTTACTGCAGGGTATTTGTAAAAAGTTGCACTTGTGGCTGCCGTCGTCATGCGTAGCGCATTGCATATGGCAATACTGCTGAATGCCAGCATTAGAGGCAGCTGCTTGCACTTAACATTGCCAATTGCTAATTGGAATTGCTAAACAGGAATTGCAGCACATGTTGTGGAGCAGTGGGCCGAACACGTAACAGTAATAATAACAGCTGACGATGACGCACAACTCAATTCATTTGCCATGGGTTAGGAATTTCGCAATGGCAGCCATTTCCGCCATCTTCGCTCCTACACTACCTACAATAGAGCAAAAGTCCAGATGAGATAAACGCAACATTGAAACGCGCTTACCTCTGATAACAGCACCAAAAACAAAAAATCACTCGATTGCCAGCTGAAACTACTTAGCCAACCCACATAACCAAATGGCGCTGATAAGACGCCACATGTCTACAAAATGTGTATTACTATTCGATAGTTACTTTATTGTTTCACAAAAAAAATAGTAGTTACATATGTGTGTATGCATATCATATATGTTTGTATGTATGAATATACCAAGTAGCAGCTCTTTAGTAGCCAGTGGCCATATGTGTATGGTTGTGTGTGTGTGTGTGTGTTATTTAGTATAAGCTGCTCCAAACTTTCCGCTTAAGATAGGAAAGACAAGTACAAAAGAAACGGTCACAGTAATGACGAACTACGGGCTACGCTTTAATTGATTTCATATGTATTTGTTTGTGTGTTTTTGTGTGTGGGCCTCTTTCTGCATGTGTTGTGTGGTGTGCGTACGGTTCGAGCCCTCCAATGTGGACACAGTCAACACCCAAATAAGCTCACAATAGCCGGCATTGTTTATTTTTTGTTTTCTAAAAGCACGCACACCTACATTCTCTCCCCACTCCTCCTTTTGCCAATTATCTGGCTATTTAGGAGGTCTGGGAGAAGTACTCCTTGGACTTGGTTGGATCGGCGACCATGGTCTTCTGACCAGGCTTCCAATTAGCTGGGCACACCTCACCATACTTGTCGGTGTATTGGAAGGCCTGCACCAGACGCAGAGTCTCCTCGACGCTGCGACCGACGGGCAAATCGTTGATGGTTATCTGACGCAGATTCTGCTTGTCATCGATAATGAATAGACCGCGGAATGGTATGCCAGTGGCTTCATCGAGCACACCATAATCGCGTGCCACCTTCATCGATTTGTCGGCCAGCAGAGGAATCTCCATGTTGCCCAAACCGCCTTGTTTGCGGGGCGTATTGATCCATGCCAAGTGCGTGAATTGACTGTCAGTGGAACAGCCAATGACCTCACAGCCAATCTTGCGGAATTCGGCGGCACCCTCGGAGAAGGCGATGATCTCGGTTGGGCAGACAAATGTGAAGTCCAAAGGATAGAAGAACAACACCAAGTACTTGCCCTTGTAGTCGCTCAGCTTGATGTCCTGGAAGACGCCATTAACGACGGCGGTGCCGGCGAAATCGGGTGCGGGCTTCTGCAATTGTGGCATCTACATATTTAAATAAAGGAAAACACAAAAAAACACAACAAAGGGTTCACTACAAATTATGCAATTCATCAAAATGGTGGTCAATAAAACATGGCTGCCGCCAAAAATTCCAATTGGAAGATACAAATGCAAAGTAAAGACCCAAAAAAGTTAACTAGTTCGTTCGTTCATCTTTCATTCTTCCATTCTTTTTTTTGGGCTTTTGTACTTTGTGCGTAGCAACTACAACATTGAATAGAAAGATGCGATGTCGACGTCAACGCCAACGCCAGCGCTTGTCGTTTCGTTCTACAAACTTCTATAGAACTTTGCTAATTTGCAAAATGATGAAAAAAAGGGTGACGACGACGTCGCCGCCATGCTTTTTTCAGCCGGCTAAGATTACAACAACAAGAACAGGAAGAATTTAAGTGAATAGTGATTGGTGTTCGTGCCGATTGAATTTGTGCGCAAAAACGTTTTCGTGAAATAATCAACAGCATCATAATTATCATCTTGAACACAACTACTACAATCCAACTATCATCATTATAGCCTTACTGTTAGCTGCAATTTCTCTTTGACTTTGCTCATTATTTGCGACATGTACATTAGGTATGACAATTGTTTCCCAGGTTAGACACTCACTTTAACTTTTAATGTATTGTGTATTAAAAAAAGCAATTGTGTTATTTCCGCTTTAATCAAAGACCGCTCGACACTTCGCCAAAGAACCAACTTGTCGGGAAGACAAACCACTCGCGAATGCTTTCAGTCGGGCCACCGAAATCAATGAGAGCCGGCAGCCGCCAAAAAAGCGCTCCATGCTCGCTTCGATAGGCGATAAAACTTAGAAATGAGCGCATGCAGTATTTGTTGCTACGTTAACAGCGAGTCACGACCGCGCCTCCACATCTAAATCACATTTACAAACGATAACGGGCTTCAAATACACCACATTTAATACGCATTAAATAATAATATTTGTAATCTTCAATAATAAATACATATAAAAAGTAAAAATCTACCAAAAATAAAAATATTAAATAAAATGAAGAATAAAATCTGTTAAATTTTATATATATCTTAATTCATAACAAAAATATTGCTACTGCGATTCACTTTTTTAATCATGGGAATATATTTAATTGGATTAAATAGATTAAATTATTCTTATAATTTTTTCAAAATTCGGGCAGGATATTTTCGTAAACAGTGTGCAAGGAATTATTTTCATTTGTATTTGTATATTATTATTTGACTTCATTAGTTAGTTTGTTACGGATACAATTTTTGGTGTGAACTATGTTGGTTTTCTGTCCATCGTGCAGTAGCAGTTTAATGATCGAAGACAGCGAAGATTATACTTATCAACGTCTATCATGCTACGCATGCCCCTACATATCAGATATCAAAAAGAAGATTTCGTCGAAAATATTTCCAAAACTTAAAGAAATTGATCAAGTGCTGGGTGGCGTAGCCACGTGGGAAAACGTCGATTCTACCGACGCCGAGTGCTCGGCATGCTCACATAAGCGTGCCTATTTTATGCAAGTCCAAACGCGTTCAGCAGACGAGCCGATGACCACATTCTATAAGTGCTGCAATCATCAGTATGGACAGATATAGCGGGACTAGGAGCATCCTCCGAGCCACCTTAATGTGCAATAATAACTTCACAATGCCATGTAAACGCAAAGCAACTACAGAAATTTCGTCCCAATACGCTCAGCCACTTGACAACAAGTAAACAATCGCAATAAAACAAAATTGCAGCAACCAATAATAGAGGAAGACCCGCCTCAGATCTGCCTCCCAAGCAATAATATTTAAAATGTTTAACATTGTTCGCTTCATACTTATAATATTTTAATATATACAAGTATTTTAAAATGTATCTTCATTTCAAATGAATGTTTGAAGCAAACGCTCGATACATGTGGTTGGCTTCGTTACATTTTCAACGATTACCATGGTCAGTACGCGTTATTCGATATACACAGGGCTGGTTTGCGCGATAAAAGTAGCAATCGACGCCTTAAAGCAGTGAGAACTCAAGTTAGTTTTCCATCTTAAGTTAATTAATTTGGGCATTGAAGTGTATCTCCATAATTGTCGAACTATTAAGGTGAACTAGTGTTAGTTACTGAGTAATACAACAATTTAATGTACGTAATACGGCACCATGAAGAGACAATATAAAGTTTTGAAATGTGAAGTCAACAGCTTAAGAGGAAAAACACGCTAGCCTGCATTGTTGTTGTTGCTTTGCCTAAGTAACGTCGCACAAAGTGGTGGCTGCCGTACAACGCAAGTGGTGAAGCGAATAGCATTTGAAAATAAACGTACAATACGTAGAAAAAAAATTTATTTCTGTGAAGAAAACGCGCTTGGTGTGTACGAATGCACCTTTGTATATACAAATACATACACACATATATATGTATAGGTGTGGAGGTGCACAAAATATTTAAATGGAAGATAATGGTTATTTAAATCAAATCAATAACGGATCCAAATCGGTAGATAAAAAAACAATTGCGAAACTTCAGCTTCCGGATATACAAGTGCAGTACGGGCGTACAGAAAGTGATGCTGTGGCACCAATTTTGCGCGGTGATCGCCAGTTAGGTGGTCTGCTCACTAAATGTTTGAGTTGCCTGAAAGAGTTTCTGAGTTTAACATTCAGTGATATTTGCGCACACTACCAGTATCAGCCGCATCCGGCAACTAGTCACAAGTGCTTGTATTGTCGTGGAAACGTTCATTTTTATCAACAAGAGGATAAAAATCCAGAACCCTATCACTACTGTTCCCCACCTAAGCAAACTAAAACAAAAAACAAGTAATCGCATTATCAGCATAAGCAGGAAATATGGAAAAGGAGGCTGAAATCGAAAACGATAATGGTGAGGAGGAATACTTGGACTATGTGTCGATTGCTGAAGATTCGGAGGAATCAGAATATTCTGATCATGAAGGCGGCCTTGATGATGGTGAGACTAATGGTTCACAATCACAGCCTGCCAGTGACGGTGCTCCGATCGGAGAAGTCGATTCCGATGGCGTTGTTACGTTGAGCATAAGCGTTAGTCCTCAACATTTCCTGTCAAATGATCCGAACTATTTGGCGAACGAATCGAAATTTCCCATATCGTTAGATGTAGGCAATGTGGTCATAAAAACCGAGGACGATGGTCAACAGAATCAGCCAAAGTCGGTTGGTCACCCGAATTACGGCTTCGGAAAGCGCTGGTCTAAATCCGAAGACCTATTGCTGAAGTCCTTGGTTGAAAAATTCGGTGATCGCTGGGACATAATTGGGCCATATTTTAAGGATCGCCTCGAACAGCAGGTTCAACAGCGATGGGCGAAGGTCCTAAATCCAGAGCTTATTAAAGGACCATGGACGCGCGCGGAAGATGAGAAAGTCGTTGAACTCGTGCGTCGTTTCGGTCCCAAAAAATGGACTCTAATTGCTCGCTACTTAAACGGACGCATTGGTAAGCAATGCCGTGAACGGTGGCATAACCATCTCAATCCGAATATTAAGAAAACAGCCTGGACCGAGGAAGAGGACAAAATTATTTACCATGCGCACATAAAACTAGGAAACCAATGGGCTAAAATTGCCAAACTGCTGCCGGGTCGTACAGATAATGCCATCAAAAACCACTGGAACTCAACGATGCGTCGTAAATACGATGCCGAGCGCAGACCAATAGCGAACACTGGTGGCGATCTGAAGACTTCTCGAACGCACTTAATCACATTGATCAAATCTGGTGGCATTAATAAGCCAACCCAAACTCCACAGGCCAATGGTACTGTTGAGAATGGAGGCGTGAATGCAAGCAATGGTTCTCTATTAAAATCGAACATCGAATCAACAAATGGAAAGCAAAGCGTAAGCGATACTAACGCGGAAGGTACAAAGCGGGCTGACAATGACGCAAAGGGACCAATCACTGCACCAACCGCCCCGCGTATTGGTGTCGTCCATCCAATGCCCTCTCTGCCAATACTGCCATACCCGGATGTGAAATTATCGCGACCAACACCCAACATATTGAAGCGTTCCCGCAAACCAATGCCCAAAAGCGGTTCCAGTGAGAACAAAAATGGCGATCCAAATACAAAGTTACCGGAGTCACCAGTTGTGACACCCATAAAGCCGCTGCCCTTCTCACCCAGTCAATTCCTCAAGTCCCCCTGTTTAACTACATTTGCGGACATGAATTTGCGAGCCAGCACTCCTGTGGCGAAGACATATAATCGTGTAGGCATGGAGATTAGAAAGGATCTGGAAAATTCTTCGATCGAAACGCCACATAAAAGTAAGTAAACCAACAATCGTTAAACACTGTCCGGCTATCGATGACTAATCTATATTTGTATTTACTATTAGTTCCAGGAATTGCGGGTCCAAGAACACCGACATCTTTTAAGAAAGCTATCGCTGCCATCGGCAAGAAACGTGATGGCCGTCGCTATGAGCCCCCCAGTCCCTCCAGTCTAGTGGAGGATTTGGCCGAAATCATAAGCGAGGAGCAGTTGAACGAATCGGAAACTAATAAATCCACAGAAAACAGCAGCTCCGTTGGTTTCAGCGGCCAATCTGGTTACGAGGATTCGTGCAATGCCAGCACCGGTGTACAGTCGCCGCCTCCGAAGCGGGCCAGAAAATCATTGCTTACTAGCTGGAGCGCAAACACAATGCCATATGGAAAGAAACCGCAGCCATTCGAGGCCGAAACACCAAGCAAATTTCTTACATCTGATGGTTCGATCGCTCCGTTCTCACCAAGTAACATAATTAAGGATACATTATGCAGCGAACCAGACTTTCTGTTCGATGAGAACAAAAAGGAGAACAGCCCCTTCTACCGTAAGAGGTTCGGGATGAGTCGAGGCCAGTCCAGTCATCATCTCATCGATCCGAAATGGGCTCGAGTCGCCTGCGGCAAAACCAAAGACCAGCAGTTCATGGAGGAGCAGGCCTATGCATGTCTTAAGAACCTGGCGCTAACGCCGCGATCGTTGAACTTTGAGAAGCAGAAGTAAAACATTTAGTGTTTACGTTAGTTGTTTCTTTTTTATATACATTTTGGTTTTTAGAAAGTATTTGCATTTCGCCTAATTCCTGTATTTGTTATGAGATCACGCAGATAAATATTGTAAAATAGATTCCATCCCTACCTCCTCCTTTTACTTAATCCAGTTGCGAAGGGTTTTATTTTTGAGCCTAAATCTTTATAGTTGAATGCTAGATAGAAGGCACGCAATTTCATAATCTCTTAAGTTATGGCGTAACCAATTTATTTCATACCTCTGTATTTTTGCATCCTATACAATATTTACAAATACTATTTACATAACTCTATAATACTAATGCTAGATAGTTTAAGGGCGCTGAGGGCTGAGCTTGTGCAGAAAATGAATTATTTTATATGAATTTAAACTAAGGTTTCGATGCAACATATACAAATACTTATCCTTTGATTTACTCGATATATTTAAATATTCTATACACACTCTCTTCATAACGATATTATGAATAATGTACATAGTGTGTACGAAATCGTACATACAATATTAACATACAATACAAATACATTTTTTTTATTACTATTATTATTTGCCATTTCTGAATCCAGTTTGTAAAAATGTAAATCTGCCGAAGCTAGAAATAAAATTGAATTGGCATACTTTTTGAAACATCGATTTTTATTTACAAGTATAATGGTAAATGAAAGGAAATGGAATAGAAGGGAAACCATGTGCAGTGCATTGAAAGGGTAGGCAACAGCACAGATAAGAAAGAGAAGAACAAACGATAAACAAGAGTAGAGTAATGGAGAAAGTTAACGCAGAGGCAGCAAACTTTATTGTTCATGAATTTATTTATTTTTCGGTATTGTAAAAAATATTTGTAATAAAAACCTGCAGTTGTAGAAACAAATTAACACTTAGATGTACCTTTGCAAATGGTTGGTGGGTTTTCAAGTGAATTTTCATTCTATTATAATTTCAATGCTTGAGCTGCGGTTAACATACATACTTGTTATTGGATATGCTTACTAATTGGAAGTGTGTTATTAAATTATTTGTTGCTTAGTTCTTTCTTTTCTATTGCGGTCCATGAGTTAAATTTTATTTTCGACGATGGCCATGACGAGGTCGGGGAGGCACCAGAAAAAGTTAGGCATACGGATAACCAAGTCGCCTAAGTAACGTCGCATAAAGTGGTAGCTACAGTAAAACGCAAGCGGTGAAGCGAATATCATTTTAAAATAAACATATTTGTATATACAAACACAAACATACACAAATGGAAAAAATAGATGAAATAATTGCGAAACGAGTGGAGGGTGAAGATTTAGAAGTATGTAGTGTAGTGCCTTCCATTTTGCGCGATGATCGCCAGTTAGGTGGTCTGCTCACTAAATGTTTGAGTTGTCTGAAAGAGTTTCGGAGTTTCACATACAGTGATATTTGCGGACACTACCAGTATCGGGCCCATCCGGAAACTAGTCACAAGTGTTCGTATTGTGGTGGAGACGTTCATTTTTATCAACAAGAGGATAAAAATCCAGAACCCTATCACTACTGTTCCCCACCTAAGCAAACTAAAACCAAAAACAAGTAATCGCATTATCAGCATAAGCAGGAAATATGGAAAAGGAGGCTGAAATCGAAAACGATAATGGTGAGGAGGAATACTTGGACTATGTGTGAATGGCTGAAGATTCGGAGGAATCCGAAAACCTACAGCTGTACAATTTTCTTTATCGAATATATAATTAAATTAAAGTAAATATATTTTTTAGAAGCAATAAATTAATATTTAGACGTACCTTTGCAAATGTTTGGTGAGATTTCAAATGAGTTTGCATTCCGTTCTTGAAGAATTGTGGTTTTTGAAGATCTAATCCTAAGTGAATAGAAATGATGTTGCAATGCTTCAGGTGCGATTGAGGTGCTTGTTATTGTATATGCTTACCAATTAAAAGGGTATTATGAAATTATTTGTTGTTTAGTTTATTGTTTTCTCTTCCGGTCTACAATATTTGCCATAATACTATAAGTATATACGAGTATATGCAAAACAATATTTTTCTGAGAAGAAATGTTAGTCTTTTACCTTCATATACACATAATTTATTTTATCTTAATGTCAGAAGTATTTATAATAAATTCAAAAATGTTGAAAACTCTTAATAGGTAATAATATAATAGTCTTACTCAAAGAAAAGTAATATCTTCTTCGGAAGAACGAGGCGGTTCTTCCATTTAGAACAACAATAATGTTTTTAAATTTAAAAATATAGATAAAAAACACTTTTAAATTTAGTTAAATCTAATTCATTCTTCAAACAAAAGATTCATACCTCATATACATAGACATAAAATTTATATAAAGTGGTTTAACTTTAGTACACTTATTTAAAAATGGTGAAATTGAAAGAGATTTCCAGTTTCTTATAATCCAAGCTAGTTCTGACTTATAATAAAAGGTTTAATGATAACCTTCGATTAACTTTATTTAAAAGCTGTCAACCATTTGTGGAAATACATCATTTTAAAGCACAAAGCGGAAATAATGATCGCCCGATAATCTCAGCCATTGTTTAGTTGACGTCATCTGCAAATTCATAGCGGAAATAATACGACAATGTATTGAGAGAAATATATTATGGTAGCTATTAGTTTTAACTTGCGCATTACCTCAGAACCGACAGTTCTTATTACTTTGCCTACCATGAAATAAATTGAAAGCTAAATATTCAAAATCTTATAGCATTCCTTAATATACTTATTGGACAAGAAATATAATACACAACGCGCGTACACATCAGGTATTTACTGCTCTTATAAAATAGCAAAAAAATAGATTTTGAAATTATAAATAAATTGAAGAACATTAGTTTCTGAATTGTAGGCGAACATTTTTAGAAATTAGGATGATTTCGATATATAAACAAGAAAAAAATGCTTCAAATGATATTTATAAAAACATTAAGGATTAGAGCGATAAATTATAAATGAATGAAAAATATTTTTTAGAATGTTATTTTTTCAATTAAATATTATTTCTTCAGCTCTTAATGGAAAAAAATACTTCCTAATTTAAGAAAAATATATATTTTTTATATTAGCCAGTTGGCCAATTTAGTTTTAGGGCTTACCAAAACCTAGGAAATGTATTTTTCTGAGTGTAGACAGACCAACGCTCTCAACTGTTGAATTCATCTTATAATTCAGATGGCGTTATTATTCTGTTGACTCGATATTTTAACAAGTTTTTGTTTTGTCATGCCAATTACCCTTATGTGGAGGGATTTTTGTGAATTGACATCAAAGGTTCATTATAGGAATTTACCATGCAATTCTACGAATTCTATAAAAATACTTTTGCACTCTTCAGTGCGGTTATCTTTTTGAAAATGCCAAAGAAAATATGCAGCCAATCCCTAGATTTTTTTGCATCAACTTCCCTCTTTACAAAAATAGCATAGCGACCTAGTAGGGAGAGATATACGAGTATAGAGAGAGAAAAGCAGAGAGAAGAGCTGAGGCCGGTTCTACGATGATGACGACGATACGATGTCAAATGCATATGCAGATGCATATTTCTGTTTTTATTTTCAGCATTCGCGATAGATATTCTTTCGGTGAGCAGATCAGTTTTTTCAAAATTTTAGAACGAATCAAACGAAAGCACGAGCAGGTATGTACAAACAAACAAACACAAATACTCGTACATACCCACATATGTACTATATGTAAGGCCACTTATTATAGAAGATAACGACTCCAGACTCCAGTTGGCACAGACACACGCACACACACACACACACATGGTATTAAGAAGCTGGGAAATGGCTTAAAATTTATCAAATGCCCTAAAACTGAACCAAAACGAGATGGTTGGAAGGGACAAAGGTCGTTGCCTCATCTGGCTGGTGGTATTTTCAATTTGCCTGCAACTGCCTCCCGAGACCCATGAGTTTAACTTTGGTTTCGGCGAAGGCGATGACGAGGTGGCAGAGGCACCCAAAACCCCTGCCCCTACCCTGGCGAGGGGCAAAAAGTTGGGCATACGACGAACCAACGAACGCAAATTCAAATTTCACAAACTAGAGCGCGTCGACTACGACGATGAGGATGCAGATCCGGAAATGGATGTGGATGATGGTAATGGAGATGATAATAATGATGATGATGGTACTGTAAATAATGCAGATAGTGAGGAGAACAATAACAACTACGAGGAGAACGATAGATCCGAGGCGGAAGTGAGAGTTGAGATCAGTCGAAGCCAAAGAAACAAGGCTAAGAAACGCAAAGAGCGTGGAAGAGATGACAAAAGCTCTCCAGACGAGCCCTCACTTATGGGCCGCTTAGTCAGCGCTTTATTCACCGGTTGGGCCAAGGAGGAGGAGGAGGAGGAGACTAAGCAGCCCAGCAATAATATTATAGACTGGTTGCAGTGGCTCATCGAACAGACTGGGAATGGTAAGGCAAAGGAACAGCAAAAACCGACTTCAGAGGAGGAAGAGGACACTAGTTTACTGTCCTACCTAAGACGTTGGCCCTTCACCAGTCTCTTTCCGATCGAACAGCTTGCGAGGCACACAAGTAAGTCCCGTCTATCGCACACCCGAACTGACGATTCCGGCGAGCGTTGTGGCTCGTCCGCCCAACAACAACAACAACAACAACTTCCCATTAGTGAAGAGTTACTGATGCATTGGTTGCCCGCATTTGTGGTGAATGCCTCGCATGTGGAGCACGAGGAGTGTCGCCAACAACTCCAGCTTCTTTATCGCCATCTGCGCGAGCACAGTTTATGGACATTGCAGAGTAAGGAGCTTTCTAAATCGTTCATTCATTCGTACTCACTATCTATCTTTCGCTCGATCTCTTTCTCTTTGTGCTGTCTGTCTTACTTTCTTCTGCTCTTCAACTCTTGCCCATGGAAGTGCTCGATGCCACAGGCAAGGTCGGTGCCGGAATTCTACGCGGCAATATCAACCAGCTTGGAGATTTTGATTTGTGCACTCAGGTGCGCGGCACCGTCAAGGCTCCGCCGAGTAAACCGAAGCGTATTCGTGGCAAATATTGTCTGGCCCATGTCGAAATAAATACTAGGGTTGCGGAACTAAAGAAACCGATGCATCTGGCCCATGGACGGGGCCTATGGTATGGTCAGTTGGATAATGTACGTAGCACTGATTGAAAGAAGTATAATGCAGCCTATACCCGTCCCCTCTCCCATAGTTTTATGACTAAAGAAACTTTATTATGATAGCTATAAGAAGATCTCTACGTTCCTACAAACGAACAAATACACGAGACGTTAATACTGTATCGCTATGTCTCGACATGCTGTCAAAAAAAAGAGAGACAGAGAGACCTTTATGTGTTTAACAAATACTTATACAAGTATATGGTTATGTAGATGTATCTTCCATTTATCAACACACAGAGCGTAAATCACTTACCGGGCTACTCCTTCCTTTAAAAGACCTTCATGGAGGACCATCTCTGACGTTTGGTTTTCTGAACTCAAACAGTTGACCTCTGTGCTGCCTCTTAGAGCTACCATAACTCTTTTGTGGTAGCGCTTAACCCTAAATCTCATGAAACCACAAGCCATACAATACACAACATAATTTTCGGATATCATTTTTTAATGGGTATACGAATATTTTTTTAGCCCCAACATATTGTGCCACGATACACAGTTGCCAATTGGGGTGTCTGCGTGCCGCACGCCTGTTCGGCTAGTGTGGTGAGCGATATGTTGCATTCGAGTCTGCATCCGTACAATGGAACTGGCGTGCGGTTCTATGTCGAAGTGGAGGACAAGGACTGCAGCACGAGGTTGAAAAGGAGTTTCATCAAAACGCTAGGCAAGAACGGCCAACTGGGAATGAGCGTGTGAGTTATGTATGTGCGATACTGGGACTTTGTCATGCTAATAAAAAAAAAACGCGTTTCCTCACAGGTCAGTTATTTTCGTATTGCTCATCATACTGTTGTCATCTCTGGTTTGGGAGAAGTGGGCGTGGTTAGTCGAGCACGTGGGAAGACTACGTAAGCGTAGCTCTGAAGAGGCACCCCCTGCTCTGCAGGAGAAGGGCGAGGACCAAGTTGTCGCTGAAACTGAACAGACCGATCAAGCAGCTGAGAAACCCGAACTACCTACGCCTGTCGCGGCCACATCAACCCAAAAGACTGCCTTGAATGTGCTGCTTGAACTGCTCCGTGCCTTTTCGCCGCTGCGCACTGCACAGGCCCTGCTCTCCCTGGAGGGTCCACACATCGAATATCCCCTCCTACATATGATCAAGGTGTCTTCCACCCTAATGCTCTACATTAGTCTCAAGTACCTCATGGCCGGACACTTGCCTCTTACCAACAGAGACAGCTTTGTGCAGACCGTCGAGAGTTACTGGAGCGTATTATTTCGTACACCCCTCCTTTATAGCGATGCACTGTTGTTGGTGAGCGGCTTTTTGGCCACCAATCAGCTCTTTCAGGAAATCGAGCAGAAGGCCCAAATACATTTGCTCAAAAATGTCCTCACAAAAGCCACACGCACACTTCCCATTATCTATGCAGTGTTGTCTGTCCAGACCTGGATTCTGCCCCATCTGGGTGCTGGCCCTCTGTGGAATGCGCTGGTGGGCGAAAATGCGCGCTTGTGCAGTAAACAGATGTGGCGGAACGCCTTCAGCATTCAAAACGTTGTGGACTTCGAAGAGGCGGTAAGAAGACAAATCAACAAGACTATAGACTATAATTTCGAAGGCAGTTAAATGAAGGAGCAGGGTGGATATCTCTTGTGTACGATTGTTGCTCTCTAAAGAAGAGCTAGACCTACGCTCACCCATAAATCACTCCCTCAATTAGGGCTGGTAAGCTACAAAGGAGACGCAACTTCTTTGGCTACCAGAGAGACTTCTCTTCATCTAAGAGTTGAGTCATAGGAATATTTGAGGTCGTTCTAGCTATAAGCTACTCAGCTCATTGAAGTCCTGGTCTGTTATTTCAAAAAGGACATTACAACTCTCATTGATTCAGTTTATGAAGTATCAAGAAGGCTTTAAACTAGGTGTTCACCCATTATCGTGACTGTATAATGTCTTTGTTGCTTCCCACTCAGTGTTCCCCCCTAACGCTACAACTGGCCGTGGACGTACAGCTCTACCTGTTAGCACCGCTCTTAGTGTGGCTCTACTCAACTGATTCGGAGGCCGGGTTTTTTGTTTATGGCGCTCTTCATGCGCTCTCCGTAGCAGCACGCTATGCGCGCACCGCTCGGGAGCATCTGTCAACAACTTTTTTTCATGGCATGCAGTAAGTTAATTCCAACATTAACCCTCCTCTACAAAGTATTAGTTAGTAATGCTTAATCTGTGTAGCGTTAGCATGTTTTATCGTACCGCCAATTTGATTTACACTTCGCCGGTGAGTCGTGCCACGCCCTACCTACTGGGCATAGGAGTCGCTTTGCTGTATCGAAGCGAAGGTGGTTCTTTCAGTTTGGCACCGCGCTTGGTTCCCGTTGGATGGGCTCTTTCAGCATTGAGCATTGGATGGTGTTTCCTCTCAGCAGCCGGAGGTATGCACAGCGATTTCGTCTATTCGACGGACGACGCTGCCGCCTATGCAGCATGGAGTCCACTGGTACTTGGACTTGTCATCTGCTGGTGTATCCTTATGGCGCCATGGCGAGCATATGTTGTGCTGCGCTATCCGAATGTGGCTCGACCACTGTTTTTCCTATCGAAAATTGCACTACCCCTACAACTGGCCACCTATGTGGTGGTGCTTTCGAATACGGCAAGTGTGAAGGAGCCGTTGAGGTTCAATTTTAGCCATTTGGTGAGTTCAAAGCGATTGATATACATGGATATATATATACAAGTATGTATGGATATTTTATTTCGTGAATAGTTTGACATTCAGGAGATTGGCTTTATCGTATGCCTTGCCATTGCCTTGGCCTTTCTGATCGATGTGCCCGCCCAGCACCTACGACGCTTCCTTGTCGAACGGATATTTGTGGAAAGTATATTGACTGTTGATCAGACGGGGGAGCAATCAGAAGCGGAACAGTCCGAAACGGTCAGTAGCAGTGAGCATTTAACTTCGGATACTCCAGAGCCACCCAATACGATTTGGGCATCTGACCCAGAGGAGGAGGAGCAAAAGTATATAGCCCGACGACGAAGTAGTGTCCCAGAACCCGACAAAACTGAAGCACAAGCGCCGGCTAGCGAGGAGGACGAGGAGGAGGAGGAGGAGGAGGAGGAGGAGGAAGAAGAATAACCCGAGTCATAGAAAATATACGGTGCAGAGAGGCACAGAAAACTCCCAAAAACCCATTCCCATACGTATATATTTCATTTACTTTTAGGTTTAACAAACAGGATTGTGCTTGGTCTTGGATAAAAGCTAAGTTAGTTTGTTTTTTCTAAGTCGAGTTATTTATACTCGTATACTATATTCAGATAGATCTATCGATCGATCGCCCATTAAAAATATTCCCCCTTTGAATTTTAATTACATATATTTGTATGTACGAATAATAAATAATAACTGATTTACAAGCATTTAAAACGCTCCACGATTTACGTTTCAATTCGTATTATTGTTTATTTTCAAAATATTTGTTGTTGATACAATTATCTTCCTTGTCGAAGTGCGATACTTTGAAATTTTTATTATAATTATGTTAAATTTAGATTCGTTCCGTTGGAATCCATTGATAAATGTTTAAGGAGGGTGAAAAGCTGAAAATCTATCGATCAGTTATGGCTTAATCGATCAATTGCTTAGCTTACAACTCTGATCACAATTACACATAAATTTAGTTAAATAAATACTAAATCGCAGATAATAAAGCTACAAATATGAAAGGGTTGATTTGTCCTTTAGTATACGCGATATATGTAGGTACAAACAAACAGAAAAAGCTCCGATACCTTAATTCTAAAATTCCTATCGAAAATTGGGCAATCACAGCGCATTTTCCACGCTACACCAACACCCAAGGAGCACAACACATCACCACTATGGTAGCTGTTCCTCCGAGGTGTTTGGCGTTGTTTCTTTACCCTGTTTGGCACAATTATGGCTTCCGTGTCCCGTCTCCCTGCCCCCGTAACTCCGCAGCAATATTCGCTCCAACGCATGTATGGGTGACTCGAATAGCAGACAGACGACGACGGCCAGCAGAAAGGTGTCCAGCATGTGACTAAAGACATCATTGGTTAGGCTTAGGTAGCCCATATAGTTGGGCTGTCGAATGCTAGCCATATGGTACAATTCCACAATTCCGTTGGACAAATAGGCGCAGTAGGTTAGCCGACTAATTGGAGCGAAAGCCCGTATGCTAAGGGCCCGCTGTAGCCAACCAGCATGTCCTGTCGTTACGGCCAACACCAACCAGCCGACGGCAAAGTTCCAGCCAAGTTTGTGGAATCCGGCGTACAGACTGCTTTCCACCACCGTATATGGCACCACATAGAAGCGCGTAACCCCATACATGGACCCGACGCCAATGAAGACCGCACTCAGCCAAATGTAGCGCACCAGCTGGGGCGACAACGTGATACGCTTCTCCTGCATTACATGCACCAAATAGCCGACCAGCAAACCGATTATATATGCCGAGGCACGCATGTGCGTCTTAATGTACGACTTGATGTAGAAATCGTTGCGTGCCAGATCGTGCACCTCACTGTGGACCAACGCAAATGGGTTAGTCTTGAAGGTGAATGTGGTTGAGTCTATGTTCTACCTACTCCGCATAGACCATTAGGGTGGGATCGAGCTGCTCCACATAGGTGACGGCAAAGGGAATAGCTGCGGTGATCACCACCAGTGCGTAGAGTAAACGTAGCCCTATAAGGCGAGATCTGTACGTTATATAGATGACGATCGGAGCCACAAAGAACAGCTGTGAGTCCACCGATAGATACCACGATTGGAACATGCACTGTAACAAAGAATTTTAAGATATAGTCTGGGACAAGGTCTCCCCCACCCCCTCCCCCTCCCCCTCCCCCACCAACTTCTATGTATGTCTTACCAGCAGATCTGTGTTGATATAATTGTTAATGTAGAGTATGTTGAGCCACCAGGATGACTGGCAACGTTGCTGTTCCAAGCTAATGCGCTGCTTCCAGATCGGACCACTGCCCACATAGGGAAACCAAGTCATATAGAAGCCTATTATAGCCATATACGCTGGCGTAAGACGTATATACCGAGCCACATAGAGCACCAGCACATTGAGCTTGCCCCGTCGACGCTCCAGCTCGATCAGCAAAATACGACAGAAGAGGAAACCGCTCAGCAGCAGGAAAGTGTCCACAAAGAGCAGTGAGTTCGTCAGAAATGAGAACGTGGGCAGACGCAATTGCTAAGCCCAAAAAGATTGATACAAAATAATGCCTTTCCTTCCCTGTACGGAAAACCGCCAACACTTACCTCGTTTATGAACTTGGAATTGTACATGGGTCCACCAAGAATGAAGGACAAGGCATGGCCGGCCAGAATTAGCAACATGGCCAATGCCTTAATGCCATTTATTGAGTTGAGGCCCAGTTGATCTTTGCTGGCTTGGAACAGCTTCTTTGTGTTCTCTATATATATAAAGCACACGGATTAGGTAAAGCAAGCAAAATTGTAAAGACACTTAGTCTTACCAATAATTGAGAATGATAACAGAGCCATTATAAGCGTTTGATTGCCCTCTTTGGCCGTCATTTTGTCATCCGTGGCTCTGAATGTCAAGAGGTAGGCGTGGTACAGGGTGCTGAGCACAGACAGCAGCACAAAGAACAGAATGATGCAGCTATAGAGGGATGGATGCATATTACAATTTCAGAGTTCAGAGAAAAGTTTGTGGTCGGACAGGCAAATAATTTGCACACAAACTTATTTATAAATATTATTTATTTAAAAGACGGTAGGTTCTGAACACTTCGAGTTCTGAAGAAAAGCTTAAGAATGATGTCTTCTTTGCAGAAAATTGTTGAACTACCTACACCCAATTCTGTTTTTACACGGTAAATTGGTTCCAGAAACAACCGTGTAAAAAAAGACATTGACCATATGCAAAAAGAGGTGATTGTTTCCTTATCTCTAAAGAAATACAAGTATATGTGCAATTTTTAATTTTCAAACCGTGTCCAAAATCGTGTAAAACAACGGAATTAGGTGTACTTCCCTTTTGAATTCAATTACAAAATGTTTGCCTGTCTGACCACGTCAAGCTGTATCACACAAAAAAGTGACCAATTACAGATAAAATAAATCAGAAATGGTATGGAAAAGCTGCGAATGTTTTTGGTAGTGGAAGAGTTTGTGTGCAAACTATTTGTCTCTCCGATCAGAGCTTGACTTACGCATAAACAAACATGGCCTTGCTCATCTGTAGACTCGTAGAGTCAGTCGTTTGGCACAAAGATGGGTCCCCAACCACCTCGTGCTGCAGCCAGTTCGACAAATGGATGTTAATGTCATCGATGCCACAGCTATCCGGTACGCATACGCCCCAAAAGCTTTCGGTGATCTGTCCTGGATCCTGATGTGGAGTTTGCTGGAATCATAATAGAAAATACCAAGTTGAATTAGAAGCTGGATATAATATCGATTTCTTCCCAAATATTCTTGAAATATGCTGATTGTTGAACCAGAAAAACTCACATCTAATCGAAAATTTGGTGCCAGCAGTAGGGGCTTACTATAATTGATGAATTGATTATTTTGATTGCATTGGTAGCTACCGCCTTTCATTAGATCGTCTCCTTGGAGTTGCGTTTTTTTGCCACAAAAGGGCAACGCACCGATTCGATTTTCCTATTACGGCATAGCAATATTGAGGGGCATTTGTAACTGTGAAAGCTATCTCGGAATTTATTGGGACTTAAGATACAGACACGGGACATCACACGTGACTTCTTCCGATTGTTGTTTGGAGTGTGTCGAGCCATTGTTAAACTAAATGCGATTTATGTATTCGATTCGCCAAAAATTTGTGCAATTTCAAAAGATTTTATAGTGCAGAAAACGCGAGGATATATACACACTTGCACGATTTGATTACAACACAAACAGGAAATATATATATGAAATATTTATCGGGAATATTTCACTACAAATTTTGTAAAATATAAAACTGATGCATACTCGATAGCTGTGTATACTACTACAAATGAACTGTATAAGTTTCAAAATTTTATTAACAACGCCCGAAGTGAATTTCGATGATGGTGTGATTTCAAATTGTTTCTTTAGATTTTTCAATCTCAACAAACAATCTTAAGAGAAATCATTAATTCATGTTGGGACCTTAAAAGTGTATTTGTGAAAGACTTGTTGCTGATCAGCACTATGCTCTCTGTTTCTCTGTTTATAAGTATCAGATCGATTTAGACATATCCGACTGTCTGTCCCTCTGTATCAGCCCCGGGAACTTTTGAACTATAAGAAATAGAAGAAGCAAGTTTGCTAAAAACCATGTAGCATCATTATTTTATATACAAGTACATAGCTATATCTTAGTACTACAAACTTTTCTGTTTGTTTCGTTATCGTAACAAAATTTTAATTTCTGAGTTCCTTATAGGGCCTTTCCATAACGCAACAAATCAATAAAATCGGTTAACCATATACTATAGCTGCCATAGGAAGTTTATTTGTGCTTAAGTCTGATTTCTCATCATTTCTTAAGCTCCCTCCCTCAAACAATTATGCTAATGAAATTTTATTTTTATTGTTTGGCCGGCTCGAGGTCAGAGTGAGAAAAACCAATTTATTTAATTTTCTTTTCTTTTTCCGATATATTTCGGTTACGCCACGGTAACCGTCTTCAGGGCAACTACAAAACATATAACATAATTAACATATTAAAACTATAACACAAAAATTTTTATATAATTACTTATTTAAGCAAGTCTGCTCTGTTTGACTTGGAGTTACTAACTAACAGGTGTCTGTAAATATGCGCGCAATTTTCGGTGTCTGCTTTGTAGTTAATTCTGTATTTGTTAGGTGTGTTGATAATGTGTAGCGTTTCGAGAGTGAATCGCTTACTGTAGTGTCGTTCTTGTTGAAGTACTTTCGTTTCTTCAAAGTTGGGGGTGTGTCCAGTCTCTATGCAGTGGGTTGTTAGAGCAGTTTTTTGTGTCAATGTTTGATGCCTTAGTTTGTAGTCTGACTTGTGTTGTGATATCCGTGTTTTTAGTTTCGACTTAGTGGTTCCAATGTAAAATCTCCTACATGGGTTGTCGCTGTCTCCGTCACATGGAATTTTATAGACTACGTTATTCAGGTCCATTTCTGCAATTTTTGCCTTAGTCCTATTAAAAATGTTCCTAAGTGTATTCTCCGGTCTGTGCGCAATTTGTATATCCTCTTTTTGATAGCAGTCTGACTGGGTGAAGCGTTCTGAGAACCCAGATACGTATGTCAGAGATTTGTAGATTTTTGGTGCTCTTGGTTCTTTTTTCTTTGGGTTCTTATGGTTCTTGATTAGGGAATACGTCAATTTGATAGGGAAGTCGTTTTGTGTCAGTATCCGTTTAATTTCTTCCTCTATTTGTTTATGGTAAAATTTGTCACTTGTCTCGAACATCCGTCTTATACAGTTCTTGGCTGTATTTATTATCATATTTTTCGGATGTTTCGAGTGATAGTTAATCAGCCTACCCGATGCCGTCGGTTTCTGGTACCATTTTGTTTTTAGCGTATTCCCACATCTATTTATAGTCAAATCCAAATAATTAAGTTTCTCGTCATTTTCTGTCTCTAATGTAAATTGGATGTCTTTGTGGTATATGTTGAGGGCGTCTAATGTCTTTTGCACCTGTTCCTTGTCAATAATTGCGAACAAGTCGTCAACATATTTGGTCAGGAGTCTTGGTCTATGGATCAATTTCGATGTTGTGTTTTCCAGAAGCTCCTCCATGACTATGTCCGCTATTACAGGGGACGCCGGGGATCCCATCGGTAGTCCCTTAAGTTGTATATACATTCTGTCCGTATACTTAAAATACCTTGTTTCACGGATGCAGAAATGTACGATGTCCATAAACATTCTCTTTGGGATTTTAGTGAAGCTTTCTATCCTGGTCCAGTTTTTACTGATGACATCCATCGCTAAGTCGATTGGGATGCTCGGGAACAGAGACACCACGTCGAACGAAACTAAAATCTCATCGTCTACTATATAAGTGTTGTTGACCTTGTCTTTAAACTCTGAGGAATTTTTAACGTTATATGGTGAGGTATTGGTCAGGTTCTTTAATATCCCAGCGATGTATCTACTAAGTTCGTGACAAGGGGAACCGACTGACGAACAAATCGGTCTCAGGGGTGTTCCTTTTTTGTGTATTTTCGGTAGTCCATAGATCCTGGGTGGTAGTGCAGTGCTTGTAACTAATTTATTCCTTTCAGTCTTTGTGATTATGTTCAATTGGAGTAGTTTGTCAACAAAGTTGTTGTTTTTATTCTGTAGCCTTATTTTTATTGAAATTTTTCGAACAAACTGTTTTCGAATAATTTTATAGGCTGGCGGCTCTGGAATTTGGGATTCTTGGTAACTATGTATAACAATAAATTGGGCAATTGGACACAGACTGTTCTGGAAAGCCAAGTGCTAAGAGCTTGGGTGGGTTATGTATTTGTAGAGCTGCTTAAAAGTCAGGTAACATCGGAAGAATATGCGCGTTTAGAACCGTTTGTTTTGCTGCATACAAATGGACATAAAGCAGGCAACGGTCGTGCTTCCATCCACACACCCACACATACTAAGTATATTTAAATCCATATAGCCATAAATCAAAAAACGAAACAAGTAAGCAAAGAACGTCGCAAACATAATCATAAAAGTAAAAGTAAAGGTAATTGATAGATGTTGCATCATTATAGTCATCTATAGAGACAGAACGCTTACAAAACAGTTGACATTTAATTGTCTCCAAGGGGTTTTTGACTTCTACATATGCATAAGTATTACGTATCTGAATTCATTAGTAATTGCGCATGGATTACTTGTTTGGACTTCCCTCTTTCATTTTGGAAAGCTGCCACAACGACATTGTGCTGAATTTCTAATGAAAGCTGAGAATTCTTTGAAGGTTCCTGCCCATTTCTGCATATTAGTCGATCAAGCATAATCCGTCGAATTCTTTTTAGAAGTGGCATTATTTTGCATAATTCGTTGCATTTTTTATTAGTTATAAGCTGCCGATATCGGAAAAAGAGTTTCCACATGATCTCTCTTAAAGATATTCAGGTGTGGAGCAGACCTATACATATGTATATTGCATGTATGTATGTAAATTTATAAAAATTAAATTATATTTTGAAATTTAATTGTGAAATCTCTGATAAATTAAATGAAAATATTGTGGGCGCCCTCCTCTGCGATTCTCATACCAAGTACTTAAGCGCTGGCAAATCGAGAATTAAATTGTGAAATTTCTGAAAAATTAAATAATATTATTTTTAAAATAATTTGTGAAATTTCTGATAAATTCAATTAAATTGTGAAATTTCTGAAAAAATAAATTATAATATTTCTGAAGAATATTGTGGAATTAAATTGTGAAATTTCTGATAAATGGGCGCCCTCCTCTGCGATTCTCATACCAAGTACCTAAGCGCTGGCAAATCGAGAATTAAAGTGTGAAATTTCTGAAGAATATTGTGGAATTAAATTGTGAATTTTCTGATAAATGGGCGCCCTCCTCTGCGATTCTCAAACCAAGTACCTAAGCGCTGGCAAATCGAGAATTAAAGTGTGAAATTTCTGAAGAATATTGTGGAATTAAATTGTGAAATTTCTGATAAATGGGCGCCCTCCTCTGCGATTCTCATACCAAGTACCTAAGCGCTGGTAAATCGAGAATTAAATTGTGAAATTTCTGAAGAATATTGTGGAATTAAATTGTGAAATTTCTGATAAATGGGCGCCCTCCTCTGCGATTCTCATACCAAGTACCTAAGCGCTGGCAAATCGAGAATTAAAGTGTGAAATTTCTGAAGAATATTGTGGAATTAAATTGTGAAATTTCTGATAAATGGGCGCCCTCCTCTGCGATTCTCATACCAAGTACCTAAGCGCTGGCAAATCGAGAATTAAAGTGTGAAATTTCTGAAGAATATTGTGGAATTAAATTGTGAAATTTCTGATAAATTTAATCAAACATCATCATGTGTATGTATATTTATGTTGCAAGATTAAAAGCTCTAAAATTTTTTATATAATAATATTTGTTGAACTTATGCAACATTTTTTTTTTTAAATCATGCTTTATGCGATGAATACGAACCAAGTTTTAATCAGGATTGAACTCACATTGTGGGATTCCTGTTAGCTCGTTAAGCTATGCTTGCTATTATTATGAGCTGAAATTTCAGCATACCAATGATTTTCGGTTTTTGCTTTAATGATGTTTTCTTCCCAGACTCTGTTACATTTTAAATACAAAGTCACTTTAATTCACTATAACCATTTCAAAATCAGTCGTCGTATTAAAGAAGTAAGTCTCGTTTTCTCACTTGAATACTTGTACAATCAAAAGACACAGTTTTGAAATGAAAAGTTTCAAATACATACTTATAATTATAGCATCTTATGCAGTTTGACCTCAGAGATGCGCTTTGGCAACGAGCGATAAAGAGTTTTAATATACGAGTAATCGTACTCGTAATTTGGGGAAACTTCTGACGCAAACAGCTCCATTATTTTGTGTTTCTTTTGATTATCTATTTATGTATCTTTTTATGTATGTACGAGTATATAGTATAGTTGTATTTACCTGCGTGGCACGTGAATTGATGTCGTGGACATTCAAGCCATTTATGTAGACACTGACCAGACAGTATTGGGCACGCACCGATGGTACATCAGTATTGTCGGAGTACCGTTGTCGGTCAACGAACTTATGCTGATTGAGGCACTGGTCGTAGTGTCCGAACTGATGTAATACCGCGCTTTCAATTCCAACCGCTGATTTAACAGTTGCATCATACACTAAGAAAAAAGGTCAAAGTATATCAAATAATAAGCATATATGTTTGTTGGTTTCCGCTGGAGGTAACTCTATATTGAAAATATGTAGAATTTGACAATCTGAGAGTATGTGTTCGAGCAAAGCTTCCCTCTACTTAAATATCAATATAATTCTATCTTTTTAAAGGCATTGTCCGATGAAAGCTCAAGGAATATACGAACTAAAAAGCTGGAATGATTGAAACAAGCATAATCTTGAAATATAAACATGTTGAATGGTATCCGAACATTAGAGAGAATATGAAAATATTAAAAAAAAATTGTACATATGCTAATACTACCTACTTATACTTACTACCTACTTACTAATACTACCTACCTACTTCTAAAAATACACTTAAGAAAATATCACTTGTACATCCAGCTGCAAAGACAACGCAGAAAGGAATTGAATGATTTTATAGAATAAAGTCTACAGCAGTTAAAATTTTGAGCTTTTTGAATGCACGAAATTCTTTAACTAAGTTCTTTAACTAAAATAAACTTGATTGGTACCATCGTTCCTATGCCAGCTTTATAATATAGTGCACCGATTTTGATGAAACTTTTCCGGCAATATCGTCATAAACAAAAAGGTTCTTCCAGTAAGAGTAATTTTTCTACGGATCGTGTACAAAATAATGAAACCATACAAAGTTTGTAATAAACTTAATCTGCGTATGGATTGTGCAAAAGTTAGCATGGTTCATACAGACAGACGGGTGGAAAGACTCACGGATTAGGCTCGTTATATAGTACATAGAATATATACATGTAGTATGTATAACTGTGACTTCTTTTGCTTATTACACTTCGAAGTGTACTCTATCACCACTCGTCTGCAAAGTAGTATAATAAGTTAAACGGAAAACTACAAATAATCGACTACAACATGATATTAGGAAATGGATATATGCGTTCGTTATGTTTGAGGGTCGTCGGCTCACCAGCCAATTCAGAAGGCATGCCAAACATATCGCAACTAGCTATTCCATTCAGCCAAACATACTCTGACTATACCATATGTACATACATCTATATGTAAGTATATAGTAGTATGTGTGTAAGTCTGTTCAAGTGACTGGCGATCCACTTACAATCCTAACGGTAGCCACAGTAGTAAGTCGGTCGTACGTATCTTATATTTACGCACACATACTAATTATGCGTATATATGTATGTACTATGTGTGTACTGTATGTAAGCATGTACATACATATGTACACATGTATATAGTTTCGAAATGATAAAAACGCAGTGCTGGTGAGTGAAACTCGTTTTAGCCGAGTTCGTTCCATGTTCCTCGTTGCTGCGATTATTGTAACTGCGATTACAAAAAAGACAAAACTAGTATTTGCTTTAAGTTTCGATTGCACTTCCAAGTCGTTTTGTCGGTTATACTTAGTTGTTATTGTTTTTATTTTTTTTCCTTGACGTGCTGCAAGTACACTGGGAGAAAAGTTGTCAAGAACTTATAATTTGCGTTTTCAAAATGAAAGGAGAAAAATTGATCTTAAATCCACAAACTGGTAACTGTCAATTATAGGAAATGCATGTTCACTGAACCAAAAGTCCTGCAGAATTGGTTGGTCGTATTTTAATTCGAATTAAATTACTGATGTTAAAGATACCGCAATAATTTACTATGTATTAGATGTACCGTACAGATTTTTATGAAACCCCAGAATCAGTTGAGAAACGTAGTAAAAAACAATTGTCCCCATTAAAAGTTATTTTTAAATTTTCATAAATTTCGTTACCATATAGGAATAAACAAAAAATGACATCTAATGATAAGACTTTATAAAGAATATAATTAACCGGACTTGTGTATGGATAAGAATAGTCTACATGTCAAATTTCGTGTCTCTAGCTGTTATAATTCAAAAGATTTCGTGGTTCATACAGACAGATGTGAAGACATGTGTGGCTTTTCCGGTGGAATTGCATTAATTCTAGCATGTTTTTTAAAGTGTAGTTTCAAGATACAATGTTATATGTTTTAAATAAATGAATCTTTTATATTTTATGTTTTAAAGTGCCACACCTATTTAAAGATAGCACTCAGGTGCCATAATTCTTAGTTAATATGCTGGTGATGTCATGCTGGATTTTTGTGAAGCATCCGATTACTGTGTGGTATAGGATTTCTGGGAAACCAAACATTGAAGCAAATACACAATTTCTGCTGGGTTGCTATTTGCAAAAATGTTAATGAGAGTCTGTTTAAGTTGCAATCGAATATAAATTCAACTTTTCGTCCTGCAAGTCATGAAGCAATTAAAATTACTGACAACGGGAGTCAACGAAAAGAACTACAAACTAGTTCTGTTTCCGCAAATGTAATTGTAACTGTCTAACCTGATGATAATAAACTGCAAAACAACAACATGTCGGTAGATGCTGTGACTTACTTGCATTTCGATTTTACATCTGGACAGGTGATTAGTGCATACCATATTAGCATATCGAGAAGAGATTCACCTTGAAACATCCAGATATTGACAAGTATTCGAATGCGGAAAGGGGGGGTATGAACTTACTATAGAAGGAGCATCACAACAAGCTCTTAAAGTTGAAATAACAAACAAAAGCTGAACTGTGTATACCCACCCATTGAAGCCGTACTACATACATACATACATATGTACATACATATATATGTACATCTATATACATTTAGACGAGTATAAACAAACATTTCTCTGTAGCTAGACATACATAGTTTGCTGCAGGCGTTGTTTACTTACTTACCACTCAGTTCACTCTTACTACTTAAATACTATATGTATGTATATAGTATATGTATATTCCAATAATATACGTGGATTTGCAGTTTCAAGACCTGTTTTGCTGACAAATCTTGACCATACTCATTTAGTCTACTTGATCGATGCGATCGGCTGCTTGTCAGCTGCTCCAATCAAATTCTTAAGTTCGTATTCCTATTCTGTTATGAGGTAATCAATGATAAAAATGCAATTTCCATTTGATTCTCTTTTTCTTTTCTCAGCTGTTCCAATAGAACGCGTAAGTACATTTTATTTGCCATTACTTAAACAGTTGCGGGAATTCCCCTTTTCAGTGTTTTCCTTAAAGATATTAATTTAAGTAAGCAACTTCTTGATAACTTATTATGCCTATTTCCTTCTATCAACTAATCAATTATGGGGTAATATTGGGGTATTGTTGAAAAGCAAAATATAGTAACCAGCCTTAGAAACTGTATTTTTTATTTCCATTACTCTTCAGCTGCTTGTCAATATATCGGATAAGTAACTGTTCTGCTTTTTTCTAATAGTTGATTATAAGTAGGACCTAACTTTACGAGCAATTATTTGCAATTTTTTTATTTTTTAATTAGTTGCTTCATTCAATGAAAATATTTAAAGTGGAATGTTTTGTTTTAGTGGAAAGTTGGGTTTTATTCTGATTTTAAAAAAAGGATAAATCATAAATTGCAGTAGCTCCCCCTTACGATTATTGTAAATTATTTTAAAAAGCAAAATAAATAGCTGGGATAACCCTTTTAGGCCATTTTACCAATTTTCATTTACAAGTTCGTAAACTGTTCGGCGAAAAATCAAAAATCATCCATATACAGACTACTTCGCGCTTTTCCGCTAGCTTCTAGTTTTCTGTAACTCCAATAACATTATTAGGAAAAGCATTCATCAATCATAAAGCAATAAAAAAAGCATTTGAGATTCTTTCGATACCAATTTCCGATTATTCTGATCATTTAGAAAATCAAAACAATAGTGATAAGGAATTGATTTAAGTTTAAATGAATCTAAAATTAAGTTGCCGGCATGTTAATTCTTTTGTTAATGTTCAAATTAAAGATAAAAGAGACAATCAAAACAACCATTGACAAAATGTGAATACATACAAGTATAGTATGTATGTATCTTCAAAGATCGTCCAGCAATGTCATGAAATGCATTGAATTGAGAAATCGATCAGCCTGCAGCGCATTTAATTGTTGAACTTGTTATGACTTGGCTAAGGTGCGTTCTCATTGGCTTTTATTATTGACTTTTTATCGACTTGCATAATTTGTCTGCCGAATGGTTGTCAATGTAGTATACATACGTACCGACCCCATGAAAAACTGCTGCCACTATACCGAGCTTTAGTTACGCTTGTCACGTCAAGTCGGCTGCATATTGCAAATCGTTTCACATTCGACCAACATTTAAGTAACGACTATATGCGTTGAGGTAGGCTCGATGACGATGATGATGATGATAGTAATGGCGGATGGTAATGGATGATGCATTGCATAAAAGTGCGAGCACGCCAATCCCCCAAACATATTCTTTTACATATAGTATGAGGCGAAATCCGATCGTTTCCTGCCTACACTTCAGTAACAATGCCTTAAAAATATGCTCAGCGTTTTCTTTATATACTTAATATACCGATGAACTTGTTAAGTGCTTTAAATCATTTTTAAAAATTAAATTTATATAATAATTAAATAATAATAAATTAAAAGCTCACTACACTTTCGTTGCCACTCCGTTCGAAATCTAAATCTCTGCTAGAGATGGGCATGGGCCGTGTTTTAGCTCGTGCTTATTCGGATTCCAGTTTCGTGCAGTGCAAGAAAAACACGATAAATAACAAGAAAGGAATGCTAAAGTCGAGCCGGCTCAACTCTTAAATACCCTGTACCACCCCACAAAAAAAAGAAATTAAATTAATTAATTAATTTCTGAGCTCCTTGCGTTCATACAGACAGACGGGCATGGCTATATCGACTCGGCTTGTCATGCTGATCAAGAATATATATACTTTATGGGGTCTGCCACGCCTCCTTCTGTGTGTTCCATGTACACTCGCACAAATCTAATATACCCTTGTACCCTTTGGGTACAGGGTATAAAAATTTAAGAAGTCTCCGAATTTTTTGCACATACTATATACTTGTATTTTGAAAATGTCTATGTATTTGTATTTTATTTAAATAACAAAAATTGCATTTATTTATTTCTTGTGCTTTATAAAAGTATTACTTAGAGTATTACTTAGTTTAAGCCATAAATAAAGGAAATAAATTATTGTATTATAATTTCTTATTGTGACAATAGTTTTTATAAATAAGCAATAAAGAATTGATAGAATCTGAAAGAATTCATGCAAGTTCTACAAATTCGAATGAAAATTATACTATAATCATTCGATTTATTGTTAATTTTTTATGTGCTCGTTGTGCCAAAAATTTCGGCATGTGTGCGCATTTCAAAATTTCATGTCTCCAAATTTCACGCCTATCTCTAATAGGAAGTCAAATAAATAAATAGAGGTTTAGTGAATTTTGTAGATTTTTATCACCCCATTTGTTCGATGCCCCCAGAGATATTGGTTGGACTTAGACGATCCAAATGAAAGTACTATATTGTATCACATATCGATGATGAAAGCGGCTACTAATAACAAATTCAAATAAAATATTAAACAACGCAGTCTCCAAACTTTAAACCAAAGTTTTATAGTCTGGTACTATAGTACTACCCAGAACAAAGACTTGATATCATTACGTTTCTTCTACACTAATACTAAAATAAAATTCCCGCTACAAGCAACTTGTTAGGGATTCACTTTTTAAGCCTGGAATGCTTTCCGGATCATTTCAAACGAGTTTAAGCTTTAAAGCTGGTACGAAGTGCAATTATAAATTCTACCCCTTTTCAGGGCAATTATGTAGCCTTAGAACTGTATTAATTATTGAAGTTTCTTTGTTCTTACAATAAAATCGCAGCACACATGTACATGCATATATGTATGTGTGTATGTATGTATGTATGTTTGTAAATTACACCAATTGTGGTGCTAAAAGGCCAAATAAAGAAACAAGTGAAGTACGCTTAATACACACACACGCTGATTGGCAATACCCCGCCCCCCAGTTAGTTGCTTTATGGCGAAATGAGATCGCTTTACAAGTATGTGCGCTTTGCAGTGAAAGTCAAGTGGGGGCGTTTGTGCTTTGGGCGTTGGGCGTTGGGATGGGGATTCTACCAAATAGACAGTTCACTGGTTGTTGCACTTCGGTTCGTATTGATATTGACATTGAGCCCGACTAGTTAAATAGAAACTAAAAACTAAAGAAAAAAAAACATTTCACATGAATCACAAACACAAATATTGCACAGAGACAGATGGCGACAACAAAGTCAAAATACAAAGCTCGACCAACAACAACAACAATAACAATTAACATGCGACTGCGAGCCCATTTTCTCCTCAAGCTAAACTAAACTAAACTTCCGTTTCAACCTTTAGCCGGGCTTACAAAAAAACAAAGAGTTATAAAACTGACTATGACTACAATCTGCTCCTACGGGACGAGGCACGTTTTCGAGCCCATGACCAGTACCCCTTCAAATGCCCATCAAAGTGCTAAAAAGTCACGTTGGGTGGGTGTGGTTGTGGTGGTTGTGGCTGTGGCGGTTAGGTGTGCCAACACAAGAGCTGGTCTTGTAATCGTTAAAATGATTTTGGGCGGCATATAGTACGCCTCTGCATTTTCTATTCAAATGTATGCACATAATTAAGATTTTAATTTTCGTTGCTACGCACAATTATAAATCATTTATCACTTACAATGGATATGGCTGAAGGAATGCACCGCAATTAACATATATCGACAGATGCTAATTGAAAATTCTGTATCTCTATATCTACTATGGTTACCTAGTATCTATGTACATACATAGTATTTACATGCATATCTCTCAATACTTACGCGCTGTGGCCCACGGATTGGCGTTTATAATGCCCCTAAGGGTGGCATTCAGATCGCGACGACAATTCTCGTTCTTCACCAACTTGATGCTTTCGGCATAGAGCTCGAGTTCGGTTTTTGTAAATGGATAGCCCCTCTTCTCAGCCACCAATTGGGGGTTTTTGTGCAGATCTGCACTGAAATTTTCATTTTTATCGCTTCGCCACTCCACAATATTGAACGTTTTCATGTCACTCGGAATTTGTGGTTGGGCTAGCGAACCCAGACCGCCAGCGAATAGCATTATTAGCCATGGCCGAACATTCATTTTCCGTTCTCCAAACGTTGGCAGTGGGAAATAATAACTAACAACAACAACAACAACAAAAAAAAACAGAAGAAAACCAATTTCGCACTGCAAATCTGAATTCTATTTACAAATAACTGCGCGCGAATTAAAAACAAACACAAACAACAAATACGGCATTCGAATATTAAACACTTCTGATTCCTGTGCTTAGGCGTTTATATTATTCAATATTATTATTAATATTTATTTCTTTTCTTTTAGCCAGCACATTCGTCCGCCTCGCAGTTTCAAAACGAACTGACAGCGCGCATGCGAGACCAAAACTTTTCAAAGCCTGCGCAACATCAACAGCCACCGCCTAACAGTAACAGCCATCATAACAGCGGCTCTGTTAATCGCTAACAGCACTGCTGTGCAGCTGCACGCTGCGCCGCACTGTTAACACAAATAATATGCATCTGAAATAATTAAACGACGCATTTTGTTTTTAAACAAGAATGGAATGATAGAGTCGAGCACGTCCGACTCATAAACTTCCGGAAACCACATTTTTCTTTTAGTTTTTATAAAATTTTGAAATTGCAGTTATTTAAGTCACCTTGACGTTTTGCTCCACAAGCCAAATCGAATCACCTAACGTAAAGGTTATTATCTTTTCAAAAAAAAGTTGAATTCTTTTGAAATTGAGAATATGTATAATCTGATCGACTCCAAGCGAAGAGACGGAGTTTTTCAGCAGCAAGAAGCAGAGTTATTGCAAGATGGGAATTTTGAAAATAAGAGCCCCGGTGCAGTAATCTTTTTAATATTTTAAAAGCTCTCATTCATTCAAATGTGTACTATGTATTTGAGAAATTAGAAGACCATTTGGTAATATGTATATATATTTTGTAATTTTTTCAAATAGTTTATTACTTTCAAATACAACATTGTTAAACGACATTTTATTTTTTGGGTTTCTTCTTTTTCGAATCTCGTTACTGTTTATAATTATTTAATTTATTGTATTTTATATTGTAAATTAGCATTTCATTAATGTGTAAAGAATTCTCTTAGTATAAATCGCATTTTTCTCATCGTTTTATATACATATACATGTACAACATACATACATACATATCTGTATATATATGTATATATATTCATTTATACATGTGTAGCAAATAAATGCCATATATTTCATTATATTTATATATATTAATCATAAATACTAGTTGCGAAATATCTCGTGTAACACTATATCGCTTTTTACTCTCGACGCCCGACTCCTGTCTGGTTTGGTAGGTATTTATAGGTATTTATGTATTTGATTCTGTGATCCGTACCTAAATCGAATTGAATTGAATTAATCTATGCATGTATTTCGGTAATGCGTATATAAATAATTGTTAAATCCATAGAAATGTTGTTAAATGTTATTTAACTGAATAAATAAACACAGGCCTACATACATATACGAGTACATACCTGCTACCCAAATTGTTTTCATATTTGTTAAATACAAGTATATGTATATATGTTTTCAGTTGTTGTGGTTGTTGTTGAAGTTGTTGCTGTTATTGTTGGGTTCGAGTTTAAAAACTACGAATACAATATAGTCGATACGGCTCGACTATGGAATAACTTTTACCCAGTCCACCCATTTAAATAACACTAAGCCTACCAAACTGAAAATCTAGTTCTTTAAAAAAATAAATAAATACTATTAAAATATTCGATATAAATAAAATAAATAAATTCAATAATTTAAAAAAAAAAAGCAGAAACTTCTATTCTATTTTATTTTTTGCCATATGTTAAAGTCCTTCTTTCTCTCTACCGGCATTAATGAGGATTGGAGGAGGGGTATATCCATATTTACCCAAGGAATGTGAGTGTTGACAATTTTCTTTATTAAATCTAAGTTTGAGTGACTTTTCCATACCCAGTAACTTAATCAAAAAAAAAAAATAATAATAATAATAATAATTATTATACCATAAAGAAAATGTAATTTCTTTTTATGGGGCCAACCTGCTTAGTCGATTATGGACTTGGTGGGACATAATGTTTTTAGCTCCGAAACATTAGTTATCCCCATCATAATGATTAAATCAGATTGCGAACCGAAAATGTATATAGAAGTAAAAATATGAGAGGTTTTGTGAGTGTATAGTTGGAGGATATACCTATAAGATATACCCATTTCCTATACGAGAACTGCCTACCTGTTAATATAAACTTAAGACAGCTTTCAATTCTGGCTATACAGGAAATTAGTGGAAAAGAGAAATAAGAAATGTATTGAATATTTATTTAGAAAAACTATGGACAACAATACCTATTAATTCCAATTTCTTGTATTTTGAAAGGTAAGTTCTAGTTCTTATATTAATGAGAATTGTCTTGCCTACCCTCATAACATACGCATGAAAGAAATTTTTTTTCTGGCGATACAAGGCAACAGAATTAAATTTATTGGAATTCCAAATATTTAAATTTCTAGACCAGTATTTTGTTATATCTTCAAAAACTTGTTAAGAGAAGGCCAATATATTTTTCATATAAGAACTCCGCTAAATCTAATTTAAGACAAACTTCTATTCTGTCGACGTTCATTAAGTTCCTAAAAAATATGTAAAATATAGACATCGCTATCTATTTATTCAAATTTTTAGAGTATTACTTGGGTGCAACTTATAAAACTTTTTAAGAGAAGTTTAAACTCTGAGAACTCTATTTCTCTTCCGTTTTGTTGACTTCTCCTTATTTTCTGACAATATTCTAGAACATGAAATTTATTGAAAAAACTGGGAAGTTTACATTTTAAAAATATTTAAAGGGAAATAAGAAAATGTTGCACACAAGTTATATATGTAACAAATAAATAGATTTTAATTTATCTAATATTGGAATTAGAAATTGTTCTACACATTTTTAAAAAGCGTTTTAAAGACCATATTTTATAATACTATCAAAACTGAAGTTTATTTTTCCAACAAATCTAATTAGCAGATCAGCTCGAATATAATTCTAACTTTGGTTGTGGTTTCTAGAAGAGTTTTCGATCATTTGTTTGTTTCTTTCCTCTCGGTAATTTTCATATTTACAATAATCTTTGCATATAATGATCCACAAGTTGAAAAGTTCTGAGAAGAATTTATACTTATTTTAAGTAATGATACTTTATTTTACGGAGCTATGACCCATGTGTCTATGAATGGCGAGCACATATTGTGAAATTCTGCCCTATGACTGGTTGAACAAATTATCTTTGAAAATTCTACTTAAACATGGTCTCTATAGCTGAACTCTATCATATATTTTGTGTACTATATATACTTAGATGTGTTTGATCTGTTTTCTGTCAGCAATTAAAAAAACTGGTGGAGCTATTATGTCACTGCTATAAGCCTTTTCGAGAATTCATTTAGCTTTTTAGAATCTACTTAAATCTTCTTTAAGATTTACGAAATATAATATTTTTTATGGTGTAGACCAACAATTTTTGAAAATTTCCTGCCATTGAAGTATGTAACATAATAGAGTTGATTTTTTGCTCTCTCTACTCTTTGATGTCTTAATACTTAGTTACTAGATATGTGTATATTAGTGCCAATGCAGCGAAATTTGGTCTGTAGAATGGGAACAGTTGTTGCATAACGTTTTACATTTAGGAACCACACTATGAAGCTAGGGAACTGATTGTGAGAAATATTTAAAGAAGACTTGAAGAGGAAGAAGAAAAACTCTTTTCTAATCCATTATAATTAATACGAAAAGAGATGTTTTTATAGTTTCCATAAGGGAATATAAGTGTTTCTGACAGAAGAATTTTTAACTGTCCGAGCTATTTGAGTCAAGGTTCTACTTGTACATATTTTTTGTAATTGAAACTTTAATTTGAAGAAAACTATTAAAAACTGCGGTATGTTTTCAGCCAAAATTAGTCGAACTTGTTTATAATCTATCTGTATATAGAATACTATATGCTGATGTTTGCATTGAAAGCTACGAATTTGAAATCTGAAGATATATTTTGACAAATTTTCCGAGTAAAAGAGAAACATTTACTTTTCTGTTTTTATAAAATGTTATAAAACAATCATTATGATGGGGATAAAATGAAACAAAAAACCTAATATTATACACATGTATATCACAAGAACTGTAATTCTCATCAATATTTGGGAATTCACACAGACAGACAGAAAGACAAATAGACAGGCGGACGGTGGTGGCCTCCTCATTGCGATCGTTAAATAAATATATATTTGTACAAACATAGTAATAGATATATGTAATTATTCAAATATGCGTTGATACATATTTAGAATTGTACGGGCGTTGTTGAAACCGTAATAGTCCTAAATAGTTTGCCAGAAGCGAGTGTCAAATCCCAGCAACTCGATCCTATGCCCATTTATAATATAAATTTATGATTTTCATTTAACTGAGTGGGTTTTGTTTGTTTGTGTTTAAGGTTAATTTTATGTTATACAAAAAAATTGTTTGTGCGATCAATTTTGTCGTTCAGTGATATTACAATTATATAGCCTCTCTTTTCTTTAAACCGAAATCGCTCATATTTTCAAATTGGATATAAATTACTTATTTGTTAGGCATTTGTTATTATTTCATTTCGTTTTTGTGTTTTTGTTTAACACCATTTTTGTACATAGGTATGTGTGTTGCAAGACATTCTTTCTGGTACTTTCGCGTGTTTTTGGCGCCCAAATCACGTACACAGCAGAATTCAAAATTGGAATCTGTTTATGGCCAAGTTTTGAATCAGCATTTTCTCTACTCTTTGGCATCGCACTGCGCTCAAAGAATTCAAATCATTTTAAACAAATTGTAGACATAAAGTTGAAAATAATGAAAAAGTATTTCCTGTTTACAGAAAAATTAAAGGAAACTACGAGTAAACATTTAAAAATAAGTTAAATGGATAGATAGTTGATAACAAATTGAAACTGAAGTTAAGAAGATTCTGTAGTTAATAGCTTGATAAGAAATAAGACTTTAAAATGTTAGCATATGACTGATTCGGACTAGACATTGAATTTGAAAATCGACACACTTTATGTGTACATACAAATAGCTGTGCCAAGCCAAAGAGTAGATTCTAATCTGAATATTTTGAATATCAGACCCGGCATTTTTATACCATTGGAGATTGTACAACTGCAGCATTTTTGAAGTTATTTTACGTAGTCTGGGTGTGCTGCCAAAAACACAGACAGCTGAGGTTCACAAAACTCAATCTCATTGTCTGTTGATTGATGATGTTGTTGTGCTATTAATTGTTGTTGAGTTTGTTTTGAAAATGAAAATATGCATACATCGTTCGGTTTATTTTGGAATAAAAAATTCCAAATTTATTGACCTACTTTGGCGACCAAATGCTTTCGTGTTCTCCTATTTATTTATTATTCTTTTATTTATATATGTATAATACTTATTTTGTTTTCGATGGTCAAACGAACGAAAGAGCGAGCAACTGGGACTGAGCAGGTGCCTTAAAACTTGTTTATTTTTTGTTTGTTTTTCTTTCTTTTTTGTTTTATTATTAATATTATTATTATGTTTTACCTTTTGTCCGTTTGTCCAAAGTTCTTTTCTTACATAAATTATTTAATTTATTTGTTATCTAACACATTTTTTTTCGGTTTTTTTTTGTAGATTTTTGTTGTATTTTTTAGATTTTATTTCATTTCTAGTTGTTTGTGTTGTTTTTGTTTTTTGTTTTTTTTTTGTTCAGAAAGGCATGCTAAAATAAAGCCCCTCATCAGGGGCCACTCGCAAACTCTATAAAAACCTGGGTGGTCCGGAATTATATGCCCCAGCTGATGGAGGCGCTGGCGAGTGCTGCCCCTGACGGAGTACATCGAATGGCGAATTGGAACGCTGCATGAATCGATGATAATTGCTTTGCGGCAATTGATGCTGGAAGGATGCAATACATGAATATTTTGCTTTTAATAATAAATATCTATAGACAGTGCGTTTTATATTTATAATTATTGCTAGGCTACTCGTATACATTGCCGAAATAATCACATAAAGCAAAAGTTTCGCCCAATTTCGGAATATAAAATCGATATCTACTGCTTGTTTATCGGTTTCAAGCAATTTTTTGATATCATTCATCAAAAACGATCAAGCACTAGATAAGGATACCAAATTTTTAATTTCCCCCCAGATAGTAATAACATATTGCCTAGTATTTAGACATCTTTCATCTTTAACAGATTATGGATTCCGAAAGAGATTACAACATTTGGTTGAAGCAACTAAGATTCTAGAAGATTTTAATTGTCATATTGACTGTTATGTAATCATTCTTCATAATTTCAAACGATTGCTATTGATCGATGCAACTAAGATTCTACAAAAATATTGGTGTCTTATAAATATGAAACGCATTGCTGAGTATATTGGAGGAAATTCAATTGAAATTACCTGTAAACTGCGCAATGTCATAGCACCGGGAGCAGCACCCATCATATGAGGGCTGGGCCCATCGCCCAAATCGAGTTGCAAGCTTTCAGGCATATCGCCATTGCTGCCATCAGCTCCAACATTGTTGCCACCACCACCTCCATCTCCGGGGCCGCCGTGTCCACCATGGCCGGGGGCCAGATGGAGTTGTCCCAAAGAAGCCGTTGCCATGGCCACATCGGGCATCATATCAGAGAGATGACCATTCGCGCTATTGCCTTGTTCGACGCCACAAGCACCACCCTCGGCTCCCATATCGAGGCCGAGAGCACTGCCGTGCGGGAAACGAAAATCGCCTTCAGTGATAAGCGCCGGCAGATCGTTACGATGATGCACAGAGGCAGAAAGACGGGCAAAGGTCGACTGGGGACCAGTGTTTGAGTTGGAGCCCAAGAGGCTGGTAATTCCGAGCAGGCCGTCTGGATTTTGGCGCGGAAATGTGAGATTCCGACTGTAGCATGGCTGTACGCCATCCGCGCCGCATGTGGAAGACGCCGCTGACGAACACATGGATGAAGTCGACAAGAATGAGGAACCGGCAGTTGTGCGACATGGAACTGAACCGGTGGCTGCCGGCGACGGCGGTGGACTCTGATCCTCATCCTCAAGAACGCAGTCTTCCGTTTGCGTTGTCGAGACCATTCCACCACAGTCCTCCGCTCCGCTGCCCACCACACGTTGATTGGTCAATAATGAGCTCTCGAGCAGATCTGACACCTCATCTGGCAGATTAAACTCCCTTACCACCCGCAGCCGTATCTGACGATCAATCTCATGCTTCGAGGAGAGCGGCAATAACAGAGCTCGTTGACACATCGGCGATTGACGCAGTTTGTGCTCGCGTTTGCGCATCGCTAGCAGCGTTTGGCTATCGGGCGGCGGTATGGCCACAGCGGCAGCCAACATATCCACATTATCGTCGCCGACGCCGCAACTAACGCCAGCGCCGAGGCCACTATTTGCTGTGGCATTCATACGCGACACCATATAGAGGGTATCGGGTATATCGGGCAGGTGGCGGGAGCGACGCATGCGCATCAATTCTACCTGATGATGGGATGAGGCCATGCGATCCTTGAGAAGCGCCTTTATCTCCTCAAAGTATGGCATGAAGAGGCGGGGCCTGACAAACAGTCCTTGATTCTTTCCGCCCCGTATCCATGCATTGACACGCAGATTTTCCCTCTCATCGCCAATCATATGCGATGGCGGTGTGCTAACCAACCCGCGGCGTATAGCCTGGACGAGCACCTCGTTATGTGGCGGCAGTACGTGATCCATGCGGACCAATGGCAGCAGCTCCGATAGTATTTCACGCAACTCCACGTCACTGAGGTCGCGTTTCTTAACGCCTTTCCGCGCCACCGAATGGGCCGTGTGCGATAACAGATTCGGCTCTCGATCTTCCATGCGTCGAATGAGTTCTTGCTCCCCCCATTTAAGCACAGCCTGTAATACTTCCAGTTCGGATGCTTGCAGAAAATTGCTCTGCAGGACATGCAGCAGCTGTGCTTTATCCAGCTGGTGGAGCACCGGTGATGCGCTGACGGCGGCAAACTCCTCGCGTAAATATTGACACGCCTGCCGGAAGACCCAGGCGGAACCATGAGGCTGACAGCCCCACCTTAGCACCGTTGGCAACGTCTCGAGGGAGAGCCACTCTAGTATGAGGTCCTCACAGCCCTGTGCGAGTATGTCCAGCTCGAGAAAGCGTCCAATCTGATACAGTTCCATGGCCTCCTCGAGGGGCGTGGGTCGCGCCCGTCCCGTGTTTGTGAGCGCATGTACCTCGCCGAGCGAACCGGCCGAACTGCCTGAGCCGGCGCCACGTAATATGAGCGTTAAATCGACAGTATCCAAATAAATGGCATGCAGCAGGACACGTGCATATCTCTTCGGTATGACCGTCTCGTCCAGCACAATGCGTGTGGGTACGTGAAGGGAGCGCTCCACATACTCGTCAATGTTGCGCGTACGACGCGCGATGAGATTGCGGAAAAAGGGGGAGCGTGCACTTAATATGGCTTTGTGGCATGGCAGTTCAAGTTTCGGCCGAAAGCCGTACTCTGAGCTGCCAGAGTCCGGACGCAGGTAGTCGTTGCTGCATTCTGCCGTAAACACTAATGCGGCATCCGCATAATCGCCCGTTTCGAGCAAATAGCGTAGATCGTCCTCGAGCGGATTTGGCGAGCCAAAATCATCCCCAAGCTGACGCAACAGATTAATATCTATGGTTGGATCGTGGGGACAGAGATCGCCCGTATATAAGAAACGCAATAGCGATGAGAACAATTGAACATCTATAGGCGACGTTGGCAGCTCCAAGCAAATTCGTGCCCCGAAGCCGGGACATCCAGCAAGCAGATCACGAAAATATGTACAGCGTGAGGATAGAATGGAACGATGCACCGGAAATATTGAGCCGCGAAAGACGAGGTCACAGTCACTGCACATGTTCAGATCGTAGAGTGCGGCGAGATCCTGTTTATATGTGGTAGCCGGCGGGCGGGCTAATTCCGCTTGTACCTAAAAAATAGCAAATAATATATATCATATATTATGCATTATTTTCTAATTGAATTGTATGCTTACCGACAAATCCCTTAGCGCTGACAAGGCTTCGTACTCCTCACAAAGTGCCGCCAATTCGAGAGGCGCCCAGTCGGATACAAAGTCCCGCAGGACACGCGCATGATCACAGGCCTTTGATGAACGTCGCCGACGTATAAATTTTCGCTTGAGCGTTGCAAAACCGGTCACGCGTTTACGTCGCTGTTCCCGATGGTAGTGTGCTCCACCATAGATGGCAGCGGACCCACCAACAACGCCACCAGAACCACCAACACCACCGCCAGGGCCACCGCCACTGCCTGTCGCGCCCGCTGTCGTCATACCAGAGGCGCTCATTGGTAGCAATAAGGATAAGTTCCCATTAGTGTTGCCGCTGCTAGAGCCACCGCCACTGGCTGCTGTGGTCATCGGGTAACCCCCGCTTGAGGTGTTTGCCCCCATTTTAACTGTAGTTCGACGAGTTAGCCACCTAGTTGATTTATTTAGCTGGCGTTTAGCTGCCCACACCCCAATGGGACTCACGACCCTTGCCACATTTTCTATGAAGCGCGCTATCAGCTTGCTATAATACTATAACGTTACGGCTCTTGAACAGAGTCGCTGCGACCGACCTAGTTTCCCTCCGATTTGTGTCCACGTCTTAAGGTTTTATTTATTGGTAACATTGTATGCTGCAAATACATAAAGATGTGGGGAGAGAAATGAATATAACATTATTTTCAAAAGATTTAAATGTGTAAATATTTTGGTCTGATGTTTAATAGTAAAAATTGCAAAATTGTTTTCTCAAGCAATGTATGTATGGAAAATCGTTTCTTTTGCAAGAAAACCCTCCAAATCCCCATTTGGTATCTGACAGATCACTGCAACCAGAGATACCCTCTCTGACCAGCTTAAGTCCGAATCCACTACTATAGCTGGCATTAAAAACGTTTGGAGTATTGAAAAGTGTATTATATTAACTGACGGTACACTATATTACTCCCATAAGAAAGATCTGGTTTACAAGTGCTAGTAGGATATTAGAGTAAACGTAAAATATGTTAAGATATTAGAACCAAATTAGTTATTGGCAAGTTTTAACAATTAATATTGCAAAGTTAAAGGATACATTTTAACAAAGTGTTTGAAACTTTTCGGATTATCTAAATACATATATATGTATATAACAATTGCTTTGTTGTTTAAGGCTAACTGGTCGTAATCAGTATTGAATAGAGCGCTGTTGTTTTTTACATTATAAGGTATTATTTGTATTAACAGATTCTTATGTTAAAAACTCGAGAATTTTTAAACAGATTGCTGATTTGAATTGAATAAAATTTCTGTACGAAAAAAGTTTAAGCGAGTCGAAACTTATATCATATTACTGTCATTTGAGCTATGTGTCTGTTGAAATTGAAACTTTAAGTATGTTTAACTATTCGATTTTAGAAAATGTTATTCTATGCTTTCCATTTAATAAGCTTAGCCCATTTGCTTACCTTAAAAGTAAAACTCTTATACATACTTCTGTATTTATTTGCATACACACTTATGAAATTGAAAATGTGAATGCAAATGCGTATTAAATAACAAGAGCCAAAAAGAAAATCCAAGAACAATGCCGAAGCCAGCTTAGAGTGGGTTTTGGGTGCTGCAACAACCTTGACCCACATTCATGGCGATTAATAACAGCGCCCGTTGCTTTTTCAAGCTGCTTACTCTATTTTCTGTATCTTTTCCTTTTGTCTTCGCCCATTCAAATATGGTTGGATTTCCTTTAAATAAAAAACTTATTCCCCTTCAACTTACATACATAAGTATATGCAAAACTATTCCAACATACTTATGTCGGTATGTCTGTATGTGTGTGTATGTGTGGGTGTATATAAAAGCACACAAAATTTAACACACCCACATAACCCACATGTTCTAATAAAGAATAAAATAAGGTCACCTGTTAATATTAAAAAAAATATATGTATATAATTTGACGAAAAAAAAAAATCACACTTATATTTCAAAAAAGCAATCATTGTATATATACATACATATTTAAAATAATATTATAAGGATTTTAAAGTAACAGGACTTCACGCTGTGTATATTTGTATGTGTACATGCACTTGTATGTATGTGCTTTTGTGTGCGTGTGTACATATGGAGGATGTATTGCATTTATTTTAAAAGTTGAGTAGTAAATTATTTTAATTTAATGAGCACAATTGGGTATTTTGTTTATAAATAAATACAACGTTATACATATGCCCAAAACTAGGAACGGATTGTTCTTTTCTAGTCCCGCTGTTTATATATTTATACATTTGCACAGAAGTTTATCATAAACACACACACATTGCATTTTTATAACTAGCAACGTAGCACATAATTAGCATATTCATTTAAATGCATGTATGTATAGGCGTTAATTAGGTTTTATGCAGGATGTTGCATTAAAAAAGAAAAATTTCGCTTAGCTTTTGAAATGTCTTTTGCTTTGCCAAACACATATTGTACATATGTATGTATGTATGTACATACACAAAACCACAGAGCAGTGAAATCTTCTCGTTGCGACGACGAAAGGAAATTTTGAAGCAATTTGTGCTTATTGCATACATAATACATATTTACGTATGTACATGCGAATATTTCGTTTTCCTCACTTTACATATGCATTTTCAGTTTTGGTTTTTTTTATTCATTATTACGGAGAATTTGACGTGGTGTCGCCCGCAACACCTTGTTTCGTTTTTTTTTTACCAGTCAATAAACATTTTTCCGCTGCTAACCAACCTCTTTCGACACACACATATGCGAACACATACACACGCACAACGATTGCACATACATACATACGTATGTATACATGCATGCACACAGATTTTTTTTAAGGCAGAGACACTTATCAATATTGTTAATTCATTTATATCTTACGCATTGCACACAACTTTGCGAATTCGTTATAAATTTTTTAGCTTAAAATCTCATTTTCTTTTGAGAAAATATCATTAATAATTTTCACTTCAGCCTTTTTCGCTTCTTTTCAGAGAGCGTTGCCACCTCACTGACAACAATTTCACACAGAATATCGATGCTGCAAGAAATGCAGAGGCGTTAATCACGATTCATGCCCATCGCTAGCACAAGCAAGCCGCGCGAATTGGCTTTTTATGCACCTGCACTTGTTTTGTTTGAAAATCCTAATAAGTTATGCGGACGCCACGCGTTATACATATGTAAAATAGTCTAATTGTGTAGTGATCAAGCTTGCCAGCGAATAATGATATTCAAGTATTACTTGAAGAAATTTATTGAATATCTAGCCCAAGGGCGATGTTGCCAAAAAAAAAACGATCCAATAAGACTAGCATTTCTATAAGCTTACATTCTGAATTTTTAAGGATCCACTCACAATTTATCCATGTTTCATTTCTTTTACCCCTTTCACCAATTTCATGGCTTTTCCTTTACTGTTTAAACCTTGTTTGCGTATAAATGCCAATGTAAACAATGTTTTGAGTACATACTTAGTGCACACTGACTACTTATTGACATTGCTGACAGAGGCATACAGAGACCGCAAATTTAATGTGTGGCATCCCCAATCGGGAGATTTGAAATAAGTGGTAACTACGCCATTGCACGCGGTGTTTATTTACATTTTTTGAGTGCAAACAATGTAAATAAAGTTCGCTTTGATATTTCGCTATGAGAACAAATCAAGCATTGTTTACCGACGCTTTGGGCTTACAGGTCGCGCCGGATAGCTCAATTCTGGTTGGTGGGTGCTGGTATTTAAAGATGTATTTATAAAGGAATTTCTAAAATGTATTTTCGGGTAGGTGTTGGTAACCAAGCATTCCTGCGCACAAGTACGGCTCAAATACAACTACCATTGGAAACACGATATAGGAAGGTGCAGGGCTTTGCATTGGGCTCCGATCGCGGTCCATACCGACTGATATTACTCTACACTGACAATGAATATTTTCTTTTTCGCTATGCAAGTGATCAGCAGCAGAAAGACCCATTTAAATTACTTTATGAGGCCGAAACAAAAGATTGGATAAATGCCGCCAGCTTTCTTGAAGATAGTGATGATGAAGATACTGAGCAGTTTGTTTTGCATATGGCGCACAGCACTTTATTGCGCATAAAATGCCAGAGCCAGTTGAAATCTGAGCTTAGTGTTAATATTGTCGAACTGATCTGCTGTACAGATTATTCCATGCTCTATCACACTCATTTGCATGGAGGCAAGTTTGAAGAACTACTCGTTATGAGTGGAAATGGATTCGGCGAATTACTAATTTGGCAACCGAGCGCCGGCGTGTCTCAGAAAGCAAGCATTAAACGATGTCCCCTGTTGCTGCGAATGGAGGCACACAATGGTGTTATCTTCTCGATTGCCTATCATCCAAAGACAAATCTGCTGGTCACAACATCCGACGATCGTTCCGTAAAGTTCTGGCACCTGCAGAAACCTGACAACTCGAAAACAGATTGCCAGAAGGTGCAAGTTAGGCCGATTTTGAGTTGCTTTGGCCATGAAGCGCGCGTCATGTGCGCCATTATTGTGGAATATGGTAAGATGGAACACTTTGTTGTTCGAACATTGCATGACTATCCCTTTTCCATTGCAGATGGTAGAATGTATATCATAAGTGGTGGGGAAGACTCGTTCATATGCGTTTGGAATCGGCAAGGGGAGTTGGTGCGGAAGAGGCGTCACCAATTTGGCGCCTCAATATGGAGACTAGCCTACGATCCCAATACAACAACGCTTTACAGCAGCGGTTCTACGGGAAATGTGCTATCTTATAATCTTCACCAGCTTCTGTCACAACAACAAAAAGAACTTACTGAGTTGGCTGCGTTATCTAATAATTGCAATTATGAGTTTGTGAGCAAAGTGAAGTTTTTGAACCACCATATCATAATTGCTTTGTGCAACAAGAGCCGCTTATACTATACGGAAATGAGCAGTTCGATAGCAACACAAAGCTGGCATTTAGTTCAAGCTTTTCCCACTTACAAGTGCACCGTATTAGCCACTCAGGATGGACTCATTGCGTGCTGTGGACTTGGTCGGGTTACATTAATGCGCTTTGATAGCACTTCCCATGATTTCCAGCAGCTGTACGATGGCAGTCCAATTAAAGGCGTAATACGCGCCTTTCACTTTCTCAGCAAGGAGCTGTTTCTTATATCCGACGAGGAGGGAACATGCATGATCTTAAAGGGTCCACAATTGGAGGTTGAGGCACGCATAAGTTTACCTAGCTGTCGGGAGCCTTGGCCTACGGCTGCCCTGCTCTTATCGCCCAATTGTGTGCTACTAAGTACACGTAATGGACACGTAATACTCTACGCACGCGATGATGCTTCCAGCTTTGAATTGAAAGCGACGCTGAAGCGTTTGCATGGCAATATGGGTGCGACAATGTTAGAACAGATCAGCAGCAATGCAGCAGAGTCGTATATATTGAGCGCTGGGCATGAGTCTACCATAAAATATTTAGTTTTACGTTGGTCCGACTACAGTTTGGCGGCTTGTCGTCGCGAGAACGTGCCGCTGGCGTGGGTAGAGGCGTCACCAACACAAGATTTGCTGCTCGGCTTCAACGATAATCACATTATTGTTTGGTCGAAAGAGCACGATGTGCTCGCACAGTTACCCTGTGGTGGTGGACATCGCTATTGGGACTATCAGATTCATCGGGACGTGCTGCAAATAGTGTTTGTGAAGACGAAAAAGGTATTCCACTATCGCCTATCGCTACAACACAAAAGTCCGGCGCTGCAATTACGCAATCGTTGGCATACGCGTGGCTGCAACACTATGCAGCTGCTGGAAAGGCACAGCACGGGGCAGACATTTGTCGTATCGGCTGGCGACGATAATATAATAAAAGTAAGCAGCTTTGTCGATGGCACCCTGCAGCTTTGTACGGAGCTACACACCCACATCTCGAGTGTGCGTCATCTTACGTTGCACCAACTGGTACCGGATACATGGCTCATATTCTCAGTCGGCGGTCGGGCCCAGCTTTGCATAAATAAAATCAAACTCGAAGGCCACTCAGATTGCCACGCGACAGAGCTTTCCACGCACACAGTGCGAACAGACATTGCCGAGAATAAAATAATGCTGGAAGCGCGTCTAATGGCTGTCGATGTTCTGCGTCGTAATACAGCTGAGGACTTCTCCGTGTATATTGCCAGCGCTGATGGTAAAATTCGTTTACACTTTTGGCAACTTCAGCAACCCGACAAGCTTAACTTTCTCTACCTGATCGATCTGCAGCGTTGTCCTCTGCAGCTACGCTGTCTGGCCACAACCAATCTGCTGCTCGTCACCACTACAAACGGACATATTGTCTGCTTTGACCCGGAACTACGCACCAAACGATTTGAGGCTCAGTTGCACTCGGCCGGTGTGAATGCGTTGGACGCCTTTGTCGATGGCCAACTCCTTCACATACTCTCCGGCGGCGATGATGAAGATGTTGTGTACACTACCATCGAATTGCATGGAATGACTGTCCTGAAACGTTCATCCTTCACCGGTCTTCACGATGCTCAGGTGAATGCCTTGACAATACAGCCCTGGCGAAGCCCCAACGATGGCGAACTCTATGCCTACACCTGCGGCATCGACAAGCAAATCTACCGGCTGAGTCTGACCACACAGCAGTACACCAGCATTGGATATACGTGCATTGCCGATATAAAGGGTATGCTGCTCGATGCGAAGCAACGGGTCTACTTTTACGGCTGTGGACTACAGGTTCTATCCTTAGAGCCTAAATAGTTGGTTTGTTCTATTACAGATAGTTAGACATCCGACCAAAACTGTGAGTTGATAATTCATCTTAAATAGTAATATGTGTACCCGAAAAATGAACGGGTATACTACATAGTTTGAATGTCCTCAACAGACATATCAGGATGATGAGACGTCCGTCCATCAATTCTTCTGCTGCTCTGTCTGTATGAACATCGACCCTTACTAAGACATTACAGCTTGCTATATAGAAACGATTAGTAAAATAAAGTTTTCTTTCAACAGGGACAACACATGATGTAAATAAGTCTTGCAGTGATGAGTTTTATTAGAAATTATCCTTTGTATATTTTCTATTGTAAAATTTAATGTTTTAATTATAATATTTAAATAAATTACGATTGTTTTTTGTTTCGTATTCAAAATATTAACCAGCACTGCTTGAGCCATATGGTCTAGTTATAAGTATATTAGAGGATTCGATGAATGCGACACGACCCTCTTTCTTCGACCGATAGTCTAGAATTTCCTCTTTAAACTTTTGAAAGTCGGTAATTGTGTCAATTAGGTCAATAATTTCGCTTTCGCCGACTTTATTGCCACGTCGTTGTCTAAAACGAAAGCGCCATATAGTCATTTGGGATAAGAAAGTTAGAAATATGAAATCCCATCCCCACTTACCTCAGCTCCATATCGAAGCGTTCCATAGAAAAATGTTGCATGCAATCCATCAGCTTTTTGGTGAGAAAATTCTCAAATATCAATTGATAGGACTCAAAAATCACAGTGTATTCTATTTTGTTCTCCTCCCCGTAATCAAAAATTTGCCAGTGCTGTTCGAAAAATTCCTCGTGGAGGTTCTAGAAAATCCCAAAACGTAAACATCTTCAGCTTCAATAGAATTGCCTGCACTGACCTGAAACTCTTCGCTTAGAATAATGTCTTGGATATGCCCAATCACCTCATCAAAGAATTCGCTACTCTCCGTATGGTCGACCACATCGATAAAGTCGGAACCGTCCATTATATCGCCTGAAAATTGAAATATTTTCTTTAACTGGCCAGTCCACTTCCTTCCATTTATTTCCTTCGTTTGTCATTTGTTGTATGCTTGATTTTGTTTACCGCCAACCGTTGTTATGGGCAACGGCTTTACGAGCACGGAAGGTAACACAAAATAATATATGTTTGTTACCTATTACCTCTGATAGCCCATAAAAAGTTTATGGGAAGCTGGAAAAAGTCTGTAGGTTTTTAACTTGCTCTAAAACGTTTGTTAGTCGATTGGTGGACGCTGGGAAGCTCCGAAACAAGTTACGGAATCTATTTGGTGACGACGCACAAATACGTGCCCCCAATTCTAAACAACTTCCGCAAACTGGGTTGCAGCTTTCTCTGTGTTGAGACTAGTGTTAGAACTATCGCCATATAATAATAACCTGATTACCTTTTAATCGCCAACAAAGAGATAAGTCATTTAGGTATATGGTTGGAGTACGTATATAAGTTTTATTAGGAATAGTTGTGAATAGTCTCATAAAATATTATATATAGAAGTACTTGTCCGGGTAAAGACCATTTGCTATCACTTTTCTATCCATTACACAAATACGAATCATATATATATATATATACGTATGTATGTGTATCTTTTAACAATGACCGATCTTTCTTTCAATAATAAAATATATAAATGATTATGTTGCGTTAAATTTCTCATAGAATTGTATAAATATATATGTATATGTATGTGTTTATTTTATATAAATATTCAATTTGTCTCTACACTCGGACTAGCCTTTCTATCATATCATATCTAATCACTCTAATAACAATCAGTTTCAACATTCAGCAAATTCCATTCCTTTATATAATTTTATTATAATATTATAAATAGTACATCTTTAAGATTTTAAGTGCACAGCTGTTGTTTAGGCAATTGTTGCAGACATTGAATAATATTTAACAAACAAATTTAAGTGCACACGACCTACATAGAAAACACAAAAAAAAACAAAAAAAAAAATAGATATATGTTTCACAAAATTAAAAACGAGAATTCAAGTATCACAAGTAAATGTGTTGTATCTTGTAGGGGGCGAGGGAACGTGAAGTGAGGAGGGGGGTTTATGTGCTTTGTGAGCACACAGAACGAACAGCGGGTGGGAGAAGCGTTTCTAAGCGTTCTTCATAGACGCTCCTAAAAGAACAATTTGTGTTTTTTCTTTGTCTTTTCCTTGGTTGGTTTCAGCTCCGATTCATCGGCGTCCTAGATAGAGAGAAAGAAATAGGATTTTTTTTAAATAATAAATGTTATATATTATAAATTAAACAAAATGAATTTCAGTAAACGAACTTAACGTACCTTATCAACGTCCATATTTTTCATTTTCGACAACTTTTTACTCTCCTTCTGTTGCTTCTTTTCCTTTTTGGAGAGTTTTGCGCTTCCTGTTTTTGGTTTGTCGGGTATATTGGAGGCCCCGCGCTTGGCATTGTGCAGTTCCAAGCGCTGTTTTATGCTCTGCGTGTTTAATTTAGAGAGAATTGTTACCATATATACACATTTGCATTTAAATAACTTACTAAATCCTCTTCAGCTTCGCGCAGTCGATCCATTTCAAGGCAGTCGATCACCTCATTTCGCAATTCTACGACTTCAACCAGACGTGCGATTAACGCTTCCTCTCGCGCCTTATCCGTATCCGTTTTATTGAGCTCCGGTTGGCTCATCAGTACACGTATCTCGTATTCAATATCGGCCTGTTCCTGCTCCAAACGATGTTGCCGTCGTCTATATATATGGAGATTCAATTACGATTAAAATGCTGCACATATTTATCTTAAAGTGTGGTCAAACAGGCAAATAATTTGCTGCATTTTTTAAGCATTTCATGAATATAATTTTTCAATAAAAACAACATCAAAATTCCAGTAATGTGGAATCGAAATTGGAATATGCTTTCAATTCTGAGAAACTATTGGTTATTTAGCTTGAAAAGCTTCTTATTGGACCTAGCTATCGTTTTTGGAATATGAGAGCATATACCGATTTCTATTTCGCAAAATTCAATTCCAGCTTGCTTACAGATACATTAGCTCCGCTTGACGACGAAACAATTCGTTCTTCTCGTTCACCAACTCGAAGAGTTGCAAAATTAAATCTTCCACTTCTTTAGAATTTTGACCCTGCTCGGCTGGATTGGTTGCAATTGGGCTGGGAGTGGAATCTGCGGCATCTACTGCTGTTGCTGCGGTTGTCACAATAGTGGGTCCCTCGCAGCGATCCCTAATCATCTTCTCCAAAATGACGCCCTGCTTCTCTAGACCCTGTTGCTGTACTTCTATGATTTCCAATTCGTGACGTATCTCCTGTAGCGGCAACATCTGCAGGACTTTGCGTTGCGGAATGGGCAGGGCAGGGGCTGGACCCTTGCGTCGCTTCCACTTCCCATGCGTCGACTTGTTATATATGCTGGCGGAAGTCGTACTATTGTGGCTTTCGAGTCCAAACACTTGCAATTGACGATTGCGATTTTGCGCCTCCTTGTTATCCTTCAGTTTCTCCAGCTGGCGATTGTGCTCATTCGGCTGATCCAGATGGGTGGGCGTATTAATTGTTGGGGGCATCAGTATCCGGCGATACACAATGTCCGTTTCCGCGACAGCGTTACGCTGCTTTTGCTCATCTGCGGAATTGCTCGGATTCGCCGTCTCATCGTCTGACAGCAGGCTGTGATGTAATGGAATGAGTCGTCGCGTACTTTGTTGGCCCGTATCGGGCTTACCCTCCAACAAGGCTTTCTCTTCATCTGGCATTTTAGCCGAATCCAAGTCGCCCTGCAGAGGGTAACTAAGCAAGTTTTTTGAATCGTTTCCGTTAATGTTTTCCTGCTGCTGTGATTCTACATGCGGAGGATTCCGCACCTCCAGTCTGGCCGGTTTCGGAGGCGTTGGTGCCGGACGTTTTTTGCGACTCGACTTCGGCGAACTTACAACTGAATGAGATTTCAATTCACTATCGCCACTGTTGAGGCTCGAATTGCTGCGATTCACATTCTCCTCAGACGATGGGAACAGCTCCTTGAGCGCACCAGGCGGCACCGGAGCGCGTCTCGACTTACGCGAGCGGACAGTACCACCAGCCGAAGATGACAGCGAATTGTTTGATCCCCGCCCATCTGCGTCACGCTGTATCTGTTGTTGAGGGCTGACCGGCGAGAAAAGCGAGCTGTTGCTATCATAATGGCTTCCCATATCCCGCACATTACTGCGTTGACTGAGTCGTGGTGTCGGCTCCGGTGTGGGTGTTTGCGATTGTGAACTGTAAATGGAAATTATTAATAAGTGAATTAGAAATGAGCCAAGAAGTTATCTTCTTCCCTTGCGCCAAAGCTATATAACCATCACTATAAAAACCACTATGTCCATACTGTTTATTTACTTACATTGTCGTTCTCGGCGTTGGCAAAGGTATTTTCTTGGTCGCCGGCAGTGTTAGGCTGGAACGTCTCGAAGATCCCAATCCAGCTGTTTGACCATCGGCATCATTCTCATGCTCACTTCGCAGGATGCGTGGCGGCGGCGGTCGTGGTGGTGGTACCTTAATGGAGCCTGACGATTGACGACCTTTGCTGCCAGCCTTCTCCAACTCCACCTCGTCGTCCTCGCTGTCAAATGGATTCAGGCTGTCCGGTGATGTAATGCCCGGGTGTTGGGCTTGTGCTGGGGCGGGTGGTGGCGCGAGTGCTGATTGTGGTTCATCATCGCTGTCATCCGAAGCGAAGGGATTTAGATATTCCGGATAGCGGTTTTCCACCGAAGTCGTTGGCGATAGAGGCACACTATCGCTATGATGTTCGACTTCCTCGGATTCCTTTACGATTTTCTCTTTCCGCTCTGCTGGGCTTGTGGACTCCTCTAAAGTCTCGTCTTCTATTTTAATGGGAATATTTGAAGGCGTACGTCTTTCTTCTACGTCGTCTGCGGCTATTTCTAATTTTTCCTGCATGTTTACGTTATTGGGTTCTTCTGACGGCGTCCTGGACGGCATAACGACTTCCTGCTCCACAACCGCTTGTTCAGGTGGAGGAGGTGGCAACTGCTCCTTTTCACGTGATTCTTGTTGTGCTTCCAGCACACCCAGCTGATCACTGACATCGTCCAAAAGCTGCTTTGTGACTTCTACATTCTCTGTAACCGTATCCGCATCCGCTTCCTTCAGTTGTTCCTCGCACTTTGTTGCTAACACCGATGGCTTATCGTGTTGTTCGCTGATGTTTTCTTTATCTTCTTCAGACACTTCAAGGCTGATTTTCGTTTCAGTTCTAAACCGTCCCGAAGACGGTGTCGAGGGAATCTCCTTCTTCTCCACTTCGTCACTTATGGGAATTCCCGTGTCTGGTACATCATGTTTTGTGTCTTCGACAGGTTTGTCATCGACAATGCCATGCAGGAAACTGCCCAAAGCTGCATTCCCCTTATAGACAGTTGTGGGTGGCTGATAGGATCGCGCCTCGTTGATGTGCTGACGTTTCTCCTCGTCGCTGACGCTCTTCTGCAGCACCTTGTGGCCATTATTATGGACGGCGCTCTGCTCAAAGAAGGCCAAACGTTCGGATAGAGAGTTGCGAACGGGTTTCCCATGGGCACCAGCACTAGTGGTTGGTGCCGTGTCTGTGTCTTCGCGAATTTCAATTTCGTCCTCCTCGTCAGGACAGGTTTCGCAGCAATACTCATTGTTCACCTCTGTCTCGTAGAAGCTGCCCGGCGACAATTGTGAGCCGCAGCGAGCACATTTCAGACAGGTGCGATGGTAGACCTGCTTGCCAATAAGCAGGCGTTCGGCCAGAAACACCGGCAGCTGACACTTCTGGCAGGGATCACGTCGTGGCACGCCCACAACGTGCGCCATCTGAAAGTGTAGAAGATGAACGATTAGTGGGGGCGATCGTAGGAAAGCGGGGACTAGCAGGGCAAATAGTTGACAGAGCGTTATCAGACTAATATAATAGTGTTTAGATGAATGTATATATTTAGGTGGATCTCTACCGCTGCCGCTACTGCTGCTGGCTGGCTGGCTGGCTGGGTGGATGGATGGGCTGTTGATCGGCTTGGAAGTTGCGATGTAAAGCTGCGAGTTTCAGCCTCAAAGCGCTAATGAACGAACGGTAAGTGAGCGAACTGAACAATAGGCGTGACAATAAAGCAAAATCGAAACTGTGTGAGGGTTCTTTATGCAATATATGTATACAAGTATGTACTCGTAGTATGTAGGTATAAGACTATGTGTATGAATGTGAATGTATTTATGTAGGTATGTGGGTCCCCTATGATGATTGTGTGCTTAAGCGGGAAACGATTATTCATCGATGTGTGATTTATTTGTGCTTTATAACGTTCATTCCTGAAGAGTTCATGCGTTAACGTTAACATTGTTCGCATTGCCTTTCGTTGTTGCTTTTGCCGTTCATACTTAGTATGAATTGTTGTTGTTGTTGTTGCTGTGTAGTGTTGTGAGAGTTTTCCGTCGATACGTATTTTGGGGTGACCGGAGTGGGTAACTGCGCTTACCTGTCTCAGGTCTCAGTCAAGCACGTTTCAATATATTCTTTATTTATGGTTCGATGGTTGGTAGGATGGATTCCAGATTGGTTTGCTTCTCATCATAAGTACGTATGTTGTACATATATTCATATATATATATGTACATACATATATTTGGTTGATTATCGTTTTGTCGATGAGATTTTGTTTGTTCGGTTAGATTTGGTTTTTGATTTTATTGATAAAAGTACTGTAACTATTAACATGTAACTATAGCACTGGCTGTCAGGGCCTTAAGCTATATATATATTAACATATTTTTCATATAGCAATAACAATATGGTTTAATAATAAATGTTGTAAAAGAAAAAAGAATTTTAAAATTAAAAAAAAAAACATTAATTATGTATAAAATGCACTCTGATGGAGTACCCAACACAATTTGAAAATATTGTAGCACTACAAATCATGTTTCCATTATTGATATTATATATATATATTTTTTTGTATATATAATCTTGCAAAGCTAGCAGTTGATGTAACATATATGTATGTATTTTTCGAGTTGATGACTGCCTTATCTTTCTGGTACGTGAATATGTATGTTGTTGTTATTAAATATTGTTTTGATTGCGTCGATCCTTATGCTAATCTTGTTGATCATCCACTTTTGTTCTTCGCTTTATTTGCCGTTTAGAGATTTTTGGTTTAAATGTTTCTTACGAAATTTTGTTCTTAAAATTGCAGGTTTTTTTTTTTTTGTTTTTTTGTTTTGTATTTTTCAATTGTTGGCTTTAGCAAAATATCTCTGGCTTGTATTGGCCCACAATATCCAGACTTTTATCATCCTGTATTTGTACATAGAGAAAGAGAAGACAGAAGAAAAAGCGTGTAGAAATCAAATGAGCAACGGACACAAACGAATTGTATATTTCAAAAGATTAAGAAAAAAAAAGAACAACAACTTAAGGGGGAATTTAATGAATAAACAACAACAAAAAAGAAACAAGCAAACACACAAAGGGTTTAAGTGAAAACGATTTTGTGCGATTAGGTGAGTTAATGTATGTACAAATACATATGTATGCATTTTTATGTATATATGTATGTATATATATATATATATATATCTGTATATATATATAATATGTAGATGGATGCAGGGGGTCTAACATATGCACATAAATTTCTATGGATTGTGCTGCGTGTGTTCGTGCTAAGTACAAACTTCAAAATATATATTTTTTATGTAAGTATGTACACTAATGTTTACGCGTACATTCCCGGCTTTTAAAATGTAATGTTCTGACGGTTGGGAGGATGATAACAAACTGACGTGTATGACCTCTTTTTATTCTTTTCAAATACATTTTTAAATCGCCAACTAAATTGGATACCGCAGTGGTACCAGTTCATTATTATCTGTGACCTGAAGCGTGAAATAAAGCACAAAACATACAAACATACATACGTATAATTATTTATCATACCATAACAACAACAACAAAAAAACTGAAAAATAACCGAAACTTTAAACAAAGTCAGTCAATCAGCAACAAGTTTGCTTGTATTAACATCTGTATAAACGTATGTATGTATATATGTATGTTTGTTTGAATGTATATATTTGTGTGCATTTATGCATTAAAACTGTGCCAACTGCTTGCTGCAGGCAGCAGAGGCAGCCGACGCCGCCATTGCTCATACCGCCAGAAGCTTCGTCTAAAGTTGTTGACGTTGCGCCAACCACATAGAATATCAACGAATAGGAAAAACTCCCGCAAAACCGATTTAAAACATTAGAACTTTCATCAAAACTAATTCAATATGTGTATGCTGTGAACGTTTTAGTACATATAACGAAGAAATAAAACAACAAACAAAAACAAAATCAAAACAACACTGGAGGACAGCTCAACCACAACTTTAGTGTTTGCCTCACCCGTTTGCTAGAGATGTGCTACAATTATGTGGTGTTACTTTCTCGTGAGAACTGCTCACAACTCACGTCGAGTCACCAAATGTTGCATGTGGCAAGAACAAATCCATACATGTTTCTATGCTGCATCGTTTCATTACAAAGAAAACCGTTGTTTTCTTCGTCTCAAAAAATAAGCGGAGCATTGTATGTAACAGCTCTTTAAAGCCATTCAATAAAACATATTTTACAAATGAAATTTGTTGATCATAGAGTATACATGGACAGATTTTATATTTTTTTAAGATCCAAAAGCTCAAAGCCACAATTGGGTCACTAATAAAAAGTCACTGATAATTTGAAGTCGTTGTTGTAGGCTTTATCATCTCTACCAACCATGCGGCGTTTACCAGCACTGTGTGAGCGGTGCTGAAAAATTGTGTGGCAGCACCGCAAAATACTAGCTGTTGTGCTGGGAAAAACAAATACACACAAGCCGTTATGTTTCTTATGGAGAAGTTACGCAAACCGGCTGATGCTGCTATTGCCGTTCTTCGCGTTTATTAACGTGTTAAGCTTTATTTTTCTTCTCTTTTTAATAAATGTAAACGACGCAATTGAAATTAAGGTTTCAATTGCTGCTCATCATTTATATGTATGTATGTATGTCTTTGTCAACCATCATTAAGAATTAAAAAAAAAATAAGGGGAGATCAAAAAGCCCGCTGACTGAGGGAATAGAGAAGATTTCAACATTTTTGTTTTGTTTAATTGTATGATTCATAAATTGGCATATGTATGTGTGTACATACGCACATATGTATGTATGTATGTATGTGTGTGTACCAAAGCTGCATCTCAATGATTAATGACCCAATTGACCTGAAATTTGGCGCATATGTACATATGTATGTATGTATGTACATAAAAATCACTCTCAGCTCTGTTTTTTAGCAAAGATTTTACCTTTCCACCTGATAAAGTACAAATATCTGCGCAACAGCGTATATGTGTACGTATGTACATATTGTATCTGAATATATACATATGTATACATACATATGTATATAAATAGGTCAGTTGAGAAAATATATGTATGATGATTTAAGGACTGTTTAGGTGGCGTGCAAAGTTATTGTGGGTTATCATAGAAAAACTTGGCATGGACATGGATGTCTATTTGTCAAAACAAAAAAAAAACAGAAATAATGATTGATCGATGAGTGTAAGCTGAGATCGAACATGCGTTAAAATATTAAAATATGTACATATGTATGTATGTATTTAATGCAAATTATTCACATGTTTTTTGTTTAGTATCAAACAACCAAAGTGCAGAACAATAAAACTCAATTAATACCCGATTCTAATATACTTGTACATGTATGCATAAATCAAATTTCCAGCTAATTATATAATGGAACTTACCTTTGGCGGTGGTTCATTAGTATTTGCAATTTGTGATTCCTCTCTCCCGGGACTGGTACGCTTCAGACCGCTGCTGGTAGAACTGCTGCTGCTGCTGCTGCCGGTACCTGCAATAAAATTGGATAAAGTATTTATATGTATATATGTATATATGTGTGTAAAGGGTTAGAGTAAAAGAAAATGTGACGTAGAAATTAAAAGAAAAATCGAATTATTGAAACCATATTTATATCATCACCAAAAAAGGTGTGGGCCCACTTTAAGAGGTTGGGCAAATTTTAATTGCAATTTCAATTATAAAACACAACAATCGCTTCTTTTAAATTATTATTCACGTTCTGTGTTTCTGCAGGAAATAATTTTTGGATATGGGCCGAGAACAGCAGCAGAAATACAAAAACCTTAATTTTCAGTAACACCGATTCAAAAATGTATGTGAACAAGCTGTTCACAATGTAATAAAAAGTTTAAGAGGATTTTTAAAAATACTCCTCGATTAAGTAAACTGTTAGGGCTACTGTCTCTTTGTCAATAACGAACATTTTCAGAGAAGAAATTTTAAGGAATTAGGGCTGTAAGCAAATAAAGCCTTATATTGAGTTTGGGCCAAAATCGAACATAAATAGTCATTACAAATTAAACTGCATTTCAAAATAATTAAAAGCAGTCTTTAGAAAATCAGCATGGCTTATTTAAGAAACGAAGAAATATCTTATTTTATTTATTTTGCTCTAGTGGGCTCACATGAACTGGATAAAACTTAGATTAAGTTTAAGGGCGGCGAAACAATATCATTGGCATTTAGACAATTTAGTCCATTATGTCGTCATATATAGTAGACCTTAAAAAGCCAAGTAATTTGATAATTCAATAAGACTAGTACAACCAATCATTGATCTAAAACAATATATCAAATATGATAAAGGCATCTGTTTAAGAGTTTAATTTGCAAGACGCCTGCCTCTGAGTTACTTTTAATCAAAAACATATATATTTTTACTTTAAAAAATGATGTAGAATGCGACATTTTTATCCAATCGGCATTTGATTTAAACTGTTTACTTGATAAGATAAGCACGAGCCCATTAAGTGGCAAATACTTACTGATTAGATAGCCTCTTTAGCGAAAACACATGTTTGCCTTTTTATTTATAAACATTTATGTATGTATGTCAAAGAATATAAAACAAGGGAATACGAGTAATGCGGGAGTCGGAATTGGATCGCTTTACTTACCTTTAGCATGGTGTGAGTGTGCGAACGCCTGATAGAATTGGGATAGGTAGGTGAGAATCGATAATCTGTCCGGAACTTCATAGGTGTCCATGTCGACGGCGTCGAGTAACGCTGGTATGCCCAAATATTTCTCAGCCGTGGTAAATGCCAACTCATTATTGTAGTACACATCTTTCTTATTGAGTTTCTCGAATTCGCTACAAATTTCATTAAAAAAAATATACATATATTTTATGAATTGTGAACATCTCTATGGAGGACAGTTGTGATTAAAATTATGTACATTTCATAAATGGTGTTGTTTTCGAATTCCTAAAGCACACGCCCGGAAGATAAATTTCAGGGCCAATTTTTTGTATTTTCTACTTCTTCTTTTTTTTTTTTGTTCTAAGCAAACAAATGATAAATTGTTGCTTCCACAAAGCCAAGTAAGCGTTCATTGTGATAAAACAACGCATACTTGTGCGTCCACAGATGTTTATGGACGTCGGCTATAGACCCTGGACGGTAAGTCGTTTTTGTTTTTATTGCATGTTTTATATGTGTCAGAGGCATAATGTTTTTGTTTTGTTGCATCATTCACTCATTAAGCTCAAAAATCAGAGCACCTGATTCCTCTTTATCACTGAAAAGTCGGTGACTCACTATATCGTTAAAGCGAAGATAAGAACTCAAAACAGTTGTAACAGAAGTACTCGTATATCCATAATTTGTGGCAACTGAACGGAAATTCTTGTCATTCATGTCGGAAATTGTATTCTGAAACGCAGAAATTATATATTATGCTCTAATGCTATTGTTTTTATATCGAAATTCGAAAAAATATTTAGCTATACGGAATTCAATCGCAAGTTTACAATTAAATAGCTTAGTTAGTTAGAAACATATTTTTATGATATAGCTATCTGAAGAATCCTTCTTCTAAACTTCACAGTCTAATTCGTAATTTGAAGATATTCCATAATAATATGCGCTTTCAGTTTTGAAAAACTAAATTAAATATCTCTTAAAGAAACATTTTTTCAGACAGGTACGACATATGATAAGGGGTCTGATTTGCCATCGCTATATGATTCTTATAGAACTCTTATTCTACACTTCCAAATGCGTGTACACATGTATGTACTATATATAAAATATTATATTTACATTAGATCCGGTCGGAAGTGGTGAATAATTGCACAAAAGGCGAGCCCATCACGCCACGATGTTGTCATATTGTCGATCTTAACGCCCGGATATCCTTCGGTCATACGTCGACACCATTGCTCCAAGGCCTTTGTGCCGCGACGTTCCGCCATTTTTGCTGAAAAGAACGAAATAAGAATGAAGATATTACTTTAAAAATTATACGTGATGGCTAAGAAACACTATAGCTTTTGATTATTGAATCACATCAATGTATGGATGATAACATCTATTCGGGAAATGACTTTATCATTTCCCCGCTTGGCATTTATTAAGCATTTCCGAACTGATAAAACTTGCTAACCAGGCTTATGGGGCTGATAATGGGCTTTACATCATGGCTGGCTCATAAAACAATGCATTATTGCTAAGAAAATATTGGTATGAGAGGGGGGCCTTCTGTATTTCTTGACCTCCTTATACAAGTATGTGGAGTGTTTTTCGCAACAAGATAAGAATGAACAGTTTATCAAAATAAAATATATATAAACTAATAATAGCTTAATACATGTGTATATCGAAGTGATTGATTTAGCTTCAAATGGGAGTTCAGAGTTTGTATTTTCCACAACACTCCTCATTCCTAGGTGACGTCTTTAGACCCTCTGGTATAAAAAAAAGAGATCTGCATATAGTATATATAACTATGCACTTCACTAGCTGCAATTAAAAAACCGCAACAGCCTTTCTTGTAGTGTATAGGTGTACATAATATATCTGGTAGTTTGTCCACTTCTTTAAAAGCGTGTTTATTGATGCATATAAACTACAGTTTTGTTCAATTACCGAAGCTCATAGCGAAAGTGTGGATGAATGGCCTCACTGTGTTAATTCGTACTCTCTCCCTCTCTCTCTCCCCCCCCCCCCATCTCACTCTTTCTCTTTCTCTCTCTTTTACGCTAAAGAGAAAGGAGGGTGTATTGCTTTAGTAATGGCATATGTTACACAGAGAATAAAAGGCCACAAAATATCAATTGGTGATCATAGATAAATTTTAGACACTATAAAAACAATAAACTCTTATTAAAACACATCTCTTATAAATTTTTTTGCAAAATATGGCCACAGTAGTTTTAACCCGAAGCCGTCTGGCCGTCCGTATGCACGTCGAGATCTTCTTCTTATGTAGAGTTATCTTATCCATACGCGGAGCAAGTTTATTATAAACCATATCTAGCTTTATTATTTTATATAGCTGCCATAGGATTACGCCTAGTAGGAAAACTTGTCTGTTTATTACCATTTTTTAGGCACATCTAATATTTGTGAGTTTTTTATGGTGGACAAAATTAATTTCAGAACGAACAACTTTATTGTTTTTTATAGTATTGTAACCAATACAGTGCTTTACCATAATCTGAATCAAAATCAGTTCACTTCATCAACAAAGCTTAATTGAGTTGGTTGTAACGCAGGAAAGGGAGTGTAAAAAGTATTCCAAAAAGTCGTACACACTTGATATTGTTTTCTAAACAAACATTTATTTGCAGCTGATTGCCGGAAAATGATGGAATATTTTTGTTTTTTTAACAGAACATTTGCCAATTAGATTGCAATGCTCCACCTCTGATCTTAAGTGGAATGAATATATGTAGTACTAGGAAAGTACAGTTATTTTTGTAGGTATTTTTTTTTATTCTGCTTCTTCTTGTAAAGTCTACGAATTACAATTCTCACCCAGAAATAAATTGAATAAATAAATATCTTAGTATTATGATTTTCCACCATAATGAAACATTTTTAGACTAGTTTTATGTCTTGCAATTCAATTTACAGTGAAAACTCCCTTAATGGACACTTTTTTTTAAAACATTCGATCGGTCCCTTGGGCGGACAAAAATTTTCACTGTATTTTAAAGCTGAGCTGAAAAGTGCTCCCCAAAATGGGTTAAATAAATATTATTATTACTCCATGCTATTAAAATCTTCGCTTTCATAATAATTTGCAGTCTTTTGATTTGTAAATTTTAAATAAAATTTATTGAAGTATAGAACTATCTTATGTGTTTTCCCCCCTAAAAATGCCAATTGGTGTTTTGTTCTTTGCTTGCCTTTTCCATTTTTTGTTTTAAGTGAAACAGATTGAGGGTAACCCCCAGTCGACTGCAGTGTATATTTTCGAGTCTGTTGTGGTAGAATTATCTCATTTGTTTGCCCCGAAAAAAAGGGCAATTGGTCACAGCAGTAGAGATGAACGTTAAGGAGGCTACTGATTCGTTTTCGACGTGCTTGGATTCTATAATTACTTCCGCGAAATGCACAAATCGGTAAGCATACATATACATATGTATACATACATAGAGATATACAAACATATGTATGTATATTTGTATTTAAATACATACATACATGGGTTGGGAGAAAGCTAAAAGTAACAGCCACAGTGATAGCCCCGGCGTCAAAACCGGCACACCTGCACCTCAAGTCAATGACAACAACAACAACAGCAAATACAACAAAACTAAACAAAACAAAGAAAACCCGCCAGTCAGAGTCAGTTCGCAACTGAGACATTCACCGATTGATTTGCTCAGACTCGGTCCCAATCCCGGCCCAGTAGTCTGGCCAGTTGTCGATGTCGATCGCTACTGTTGTTGTTGCAATCGTTGTTGCTGTTGCTGTTGTTGTTGTTGTTGTTGCCGTCAACTCTATGCTTTATAATATTACCGACCGACTACTAATGCATATACATATAGTAAGTGTTATCCACGCACTCCCATGCACAAAGAAAGATTCGAACAATCAGCCATCCATTCATCCAACCATCCATCGATGTACACCCATCAGGCATGATCATGTTCATTTGTATATTTTATTTATCGATTTTACGTTTTAACAATAGGAAGCACAGCTTTCAGTTAAAGTGAATGACAGGCAATATTTTCGCAGGGTATTCAGGCCTACAAAATTGAATTAAAAACTTGTCGTTGCTTTGAAATTATATAATAAACATACATTTAATTGAAGATGTTGAGCTAATTATGATAGTAATATTTTTGTATTATGATATTTCTGGTCCAAAATATGGTTATATCACGATCTTTGTCAGTTTTTTTTTTTTTTTAATCTTATTGCAAACTTTCTGAGATTGGTTTTTCAGAGACAACAAAGTTTGCTGAAAGAGCTGAGGAGCAGAGTATTCCCGTAGCGTCGAATGCCTACATTTTTAGTCACTAATTTAGACTTTACGGGAACCGACTATAAATGCAATTCTTTTTGCTTCTATTACGCGCAATTTATTTAGGCACAGCCGGCAGCGACTCATAAATAGCAAGAATTCCCTAAGATATCATTAAAAGCAACACAGTTTTTGTTACTATGATGGATTTTTGCAAGGATCTTTCCTACGGCAGCTATACAGAAAAATGAGCATATGTATGTTTTCCAGGTTTTGTTTCCCTAGCTGATATGCTTCAGAAGATCTCGACGTTCATACAGACGAACAATTGCATAGATAAAGAAATAAATCGACGCACATTTCTAAATCGATTTGGACTTGAATCATTCTACCACGCCTCCTTCTGCTAGTTGCATACATTTGGCAGGGCTTAGACTTTCTAGTAAGCTCTCTCCCCTTAGTTCGGAAACTAGCTAAGGACTATCAAGACTGTCTTAGCCTATGACTTAACATGACTTTATTAATTAAAACAAAAGTAGCCATTCCATAGGACCACTCTATCTATCGATAGCTTGAGCCAAATAATAACTTGCTACGCTTTATTAGGCTTATCGATAAGTTTCTTATTATTAGGCAATTTTTTCGGCTTCTCTTCAAACTCACGTCAACTCACAGGCTTGGCCACAAATCTTCGTTTAACAACAAAAAACTGTTTCTTTGTTAAATCAAGCGAGACTCTGACTTGAGTTTTGCAACAAAAGTTTTTCTTTTTGTTGTTATTGTTTATATATTTTGCTGTTTCATCGCTGCTGCTTTTTATTGCTGTCTGCCAGTTTTCACTTTCCATATATATTTTCATACCTCAAAAGCTAGCCTTTTTTTAAAAGGCAGACCGGCAGACCGACAGGCAGACAGACTGGCAGGCAGGCCGGCAGACAGGCAGTTTGGGTTCAAGAAAGGTTATTGCTTTGGTCATAACTGTATTTTTTTGTGACGAATTTTATTGTTTTTAACAATTTATATTGAGCAACTCTTTATGGCGGCAACCAGGCAGGTTTAAGCTCTAACCTAGAAAGTTTGGTTTATTGTTATGACAAACCCAAAAGCAGAGACTTTATAATCACAATTTTCCTCGACTGTTTCTTCAGAGTTGTTTCTAGAATCAGACTCGGTTTATGTCATGAAGTTCTATGTTTATGGTTTGTAAGCTAAATATATATTTAATGTATATTTAATAGCAAGTTTTTTGAAGTGTAATACGTTTTCCAAACTTACAAAGCCGAAGAAAGCGTTTTTTTAAATATTTTTCAGTTACTTCAGTGAAGTACATTTTATCTGAATGCCAAAACCTAATAGCTACCTATCCACCTAATCATTTCTGTGAATACCTCCGTTTTATTTAATTCATTATAATAAATCATATTATCTTTTAAGTAAAGCTTAAGGCTTCGAGACGCTGTAGCTAAGTACCTTAGCTTAACTATCACTTTAATTACTTATAAGCTGTATATAAATAAATATATTTAAGTTAACCAAACTTTGAATTCCAAACCCACCTCTTTGTTCATAGTGTGCTATTTTTTTTAGCGGCCAAGATATTAATTTCTTGCGTATGCTTTGTAAGTTAAAATACATATTTAATTTATGTTTTTCATCATTAATATATACTCGTATATTTAATCTTAACACATTCACTGTAACAACTGAATTTTTGCGACAGCTCAACAAAGCAAATTGGCCGTTAAAGACAACTAGAACTTGTTATTACAAGTATATCCGATCAAGAACACAAATTTGTTTGCACATTATTTGCACGTTTGACCGCATAGCTTAACAGTTTTTGGGTTTCGTTCAATATTACCTAAAATGTTTTGCACATACCTACATACACTGCGTAGACTGCAGCTTTAATATTATATTACTTAAAATAAATTATGGAAAACTATAAAATTGCGTATCTAAGTGGAGGAAATATAATTCTCGACCTAATACTTTTTAGAGTTTTTTGTTGTCCCTCAGCGTATTTATTTCAAGATGGAAAAGAACTTATTACAATGATTAGGGAAAGAGTAAGAGCCATGACATTTTGAGGAATTGTGTGCCAAGGTTTCACGAAATCACGAGATCCCAGCTCACGCACACCACTAAACAAACAATGTAACGGTCGACCGACAAATACGTTGTTTTTTTTATTATCAGCAAAGCAAATTGTAAACAAAAATAATAAAAATGGTACAGAGCTTTTTATTGCTTTAACCGATGCATACATACATATATTTATTCAAGCATAGCGCGCTTAACTTGGTAAAAAAATAAAATTTGTTCAAAAATCGTTTGTGTGCTAATGGGAAGCGCAAAGTTTCGAGCAACAACCAACGCGGTCTCATGTCTGCCTGCATGTGTACATGTGTGTGTCTGTTTGTGTGTATGTGAGTGTGTCTGTTAAGCAGCCAACTCGAATGCTAATTAGGTGAAGAAGAATAATAACGTTGATCCATCCAGTAACAGCAGCAGCGGCAGCAACAGACAACAATAAAGAACACTCAGCGATCAACGCTTATTCTACCACTCACACAAACATAGATGCACACAAACGGGCGTGAGTATGTGTGCGTGTTGGATACCCTGCAGTACTGAGACTTCAAACTTTCTTTGAATATTAGTGGAAAAGTAGTGGAAAGGGACAAGCGCAATGTAGAGAGGAATTGTTGCCCCTCATTTACTCTATTTTAAGCGAAATGAAGAATAAATTTGCCATCAAGCAAAAAAGCAAAAATCAAGCACACATAAAATATATTTGCATAAAGATAAAAATAAGGGAAATAAAACATAAAACGGAAATATTTTTAAAAATACATATCTAATTATACTTTAAGTCATTAAGCTTTATGTATATTTTGTCCCGCTTTATTGTTGTTGAACTTTTTATATTTCTCCATTTTGTTTAATCAAGTGGTAAAAGCCTTAGCTGCCTGTACTCTTAACATTAAGATGTCTTTACCTTACTTGTAAATTCATAATGTTTTTTTAAGAAAAGTGAATAATTTTAATTGAATATAGTAATACCAAAAAAATAAAAGATTTTATACAAAACAGGGGAGAATAAGAAAAATAATAAAATCTTCGGCATCGACTTAAGGAGACCCTGTGGAAAAAACCGCCATTGGCGAAATCCAATAACAAGTCTAACCAAAAACGCTTTTGAAATACATTTCTTAGGCTAACAAAGGAGCGACTACAATGGCGAAGAGGGGCTAACGCTCGTTGCTGCAGGGTACGGTGTACGTGCACACATTCATGCGTGTGAGTATATATATATATATATGTGTGTGTGTGTACATTCAAATGTGCCACACAAACTCGCTCGCTTTAAACTTACCAACAACAACAATCTTTCTCCGACGCGTCGGTCACTTCAAATTTATTTCCACTGGACGAGGGGCGGAGAGAGACTGGGATTTGCCTTTAAAACTGTTTTGCTGATGTGTCCGTTTTCACTAATTTATGTATGTATCCAATTTTTTGTTTAATATTTTATGCATTTACGTTCAACAGCGAAGCGCAATAATTGTTTTTAATATGCATACACACAGATAAACAATTTTACATGTCCATAAATGTTCATATGTAGGTTTTTCCGCTTACATGCGCGCACACACAAACAAACAATAGTATCTGTGTTCGTTACAGCTCTATGTAGGCATGCATCTATGTTATGTACGTATGTATGTGTGTATTAAGTTACTGTCACAAATCCGGAGCGGAGCAGCAGAAGCAATTAAGTGGCGAATAAAGCTGTATACATGGGTTTATGTTTCTGCAAAATCTTCGGTTGTCGTTTGTTATCAACAATGACTGAATATGATAGTAACAACGAAATCGTAATTTATTTACACTTGGTGTTTGAATCAGAAGAAAAAAAAGCACTGATTTGCATCGTACGTGTGGAAAATGTAAACAAAAAATAAATGCAATCGCGCGCGCGTACACACCACCCCACCTGTTAAAAGATGTGGAGTCAACTGAAATCCGTTGATGTGCGACTCCAGACGAGTGTTGGGTATTATCAGCTGCTGCGGTGAATACGAAGCTTGTTCGAAGTTTACGGTCGGCGTTCATGGTGGACTCACAGAGTCGGGTGGGTGTCTTTGCTAAAGTTTTAAATTCAAAAGAAATTCAAAAAATTGGATGACAACTGAAATAATTCGAAATTGTTTTGTTTAATATAATAATCTAACTTTGCCTAAGATTTTTTTACCAAAGCCTAGATACATATGTTAGTAATATGTTGTACTCAGTTTTATGTTTCAATCTATGTGTTTTTTTTATCATTTTATTTATATGCTGAATTATGGTAAAAGAATAATACATTTTTAATATACAACCTATACGTATTCCTCTATAGAAAATTAAAACACCACATTTTAGAATTACTTTTAAAACTATTAAGCTTTATCTATAACCTAGAAGATAAACAAAGTGTGTTAATGGGACGTACTACATACATATGAATATTCTTAATTTTATTATGCGAATCCCAATATTAAATTATCAAAGCAATTTAAAAAAGAAACACTCAATGTATACGTGTTTATTTGCTCATAAGAATTCGCGAATGCTTCACTTCTATATATTTCAAATTCGATATCAATTAAATACATAGAACACCAGTACTATCGGGCACAATTGCGCTTTAAACTCTTCAGAATGTTCATTTCAAAAAGAATGTAAACAAATAGCAGTGTCCACACAAAAGTTTCTTTTTTCTAAAAGGCAACACTTGCTTTATTTTATCGATAGACTCTACGGTTTCATGCTCATAATTTCCCGTTGGACTTTTCCCGATAATTTCCCATCCGATACCATGGGAGAAAGTAGAGATGAGCGATACTATATTATGGTGACACCGAACTGTTACACTTGACAACGTCAAATAAGCGTGACTATGAGTTTTGGGTCAATTAGCACAAATATCTAAATATACATAAGTAAACCAAATGAGTGCAGCAATGAACTAGTTTTCGATTAAATTAACTAAAATAAGTTTACATTTCATTACATTATATTTAACCACTATTACAATTAACAGTCAATTCAGTCAATTAATTCCATATTAGAGGGGTGTAAGATATCCAGTATTCAACTTTTACTACGAAATATGAATAGAACGTTAAATTTATCTTTTAGACTCAAAATTTAGCTTGAGACGTACACCTTGTAATTGTATTTTTTTATACATACGTATCTAATTCTGTATTCTACATACTGTATTGATTAAAAATTCTAAAATTTTTACCTATAGATTTCCGTTAAAATGATTGAATTACTTTAGTTTCATATACTAGGGAATAAATTCATGGTTACGTGCTACTATTATTCTAACCTTTGAGCTATTCTCAGAACTTTTGATCTTCGTCTCATTTCAATAGAAAATATGCAATCCCTATTAGTCAAAACCAGCGATAGCAAATATCGATTGTATCGAGTGGAAGTTTCACTATTGGCAATTTTCTAATTAAAAATTTGACGTTAAAATCGGTATTGGAACTCAACGAAACAGTGCTCATTAGTTGATGCTACATTTTGCAGAAAATAATAATAATAGTAGATTTTATTTTCATGTTTACTGTGCTCATATTGATAAGTATTGAGCATGTGTGGGGCTGGACTGTGACTGATTGTACCTGTTACTTTTGATATTTTATCTATAGTGGACTAGAGATTTGGCAATACTCGTGACAGGTTCATAAGTATTGCTCATCTCTACATTTTAGTGTGTTCGTTCTTTGTGGTGTTCGTTGGGAAATAATTCCATTTCTTACAACTTACTTTAGAATCAAACGTTTTGTGACGAGAAGTATTTAATTTAACGTGTTAAGTTACTAGAATATGTGAATTTCTGTAGGTGGATGCTACGTGAAACTAATGAGAAATGTAAACGAAAAATTGTAGCTCACCTACAAAGTGAACAAAAAATCTTTCTTGTACGTGCACTGTGCTGCTGCTGCTCGCTGCGCTGCCGCTACCGCTGCGTACACAAACACGTAGAGACGGCAACGATGTCGGCAATCTCAATTGTGAAAGTGTAAGTGAGATGGCAATGGCTACCAGAGGCTTTGTATACAACACCATAATACTGTGAGGTAGCGCGCGAGCGCTCTCGCAGCCGAGCTCGCCGACTGCGACATCGACGACAGCTATAGTCGCGACAGAAACAGCAGCAGCAACATAGAAATAAAAAAAAATTAGTCGTATTGTGTGCCTACATACATATGTACGTAGAGAAGAAGAAAGAAGAAGTGCGAAAAATTAAGAAAATAGAGAACTACAAAGTAAATACCGTATTTTAATATTAAACAAAATACAAATAATACGTAGCCATACGTACAAACGCACACACATAGATGTAATTGTGTTGCAGATTAACAAAAATAATGTTTTGTGTCTTCTTTTATTAGCATGTGTGAAATTAAAATTGTTCAAGAGCATAGAGTGTATCGTGACGGGGAAAATGCATAAAATAATGGAAAAGAAAACGGAAAGAAATTGTTAACGTGTGTTTCGGTAAAAATTAAATCAAATAAATGAAAAATGTGAATTGCGCGCAACTAAAATGCAAAATAATAAAATATTTTTTGCGAAACAACAAAAAATTTGTGCAGTTCTTAAAACTAATCAATACAATAAAATTTTCAATAGCCATAGCCTGATGTGCAACATATGAGCAACATCATAAATTAATCTTAAAAGACGGTGGCATCGAGTAATATTGTACAAGAGCGAGCGAAAGACGAAAAACGTGTGAAAGCAAAGAGTACAAAAATTGTGAAGTAGCAGCACGGAGAGGAGCAGAGCAGAGAAAAAGGCAGAAGCGGCAGCACTCCATCGATTTTTGCAAAAACAGGCGCCATCAAAAACACAGGCAGGCCGAGGAGAAGATTTAAATTGACTGCACCGCACACAAATCTTAGCACAGGGCTGACGTCCCAAACACCCAAATAGAACATCAACGATTGGACGGCTCATAACATATAGTTCAATAATACTAAGAGCAATATTTGGACCAACAAATCGAGCAATCGGAAGGCAGGCGGCGTGAAATCTCGTCAAATTTTTCGTCGTTGTCGTGCATAGTCGCCGCCATCTCAATACATCAATCCCCATTTATTACAAAACAGTTTATCACAACAGCACAGGCCAGCCAATGGAACGCGCATGGATCTCGACCTCGACCGTTCCTATTGCAGCCATAGCAGCAGTGGTAACAGTGGCAACAGCAGCAGCCCAACATCATTGAAAGCGGCACGTAAGCAAACCTATGCGTCATGGAGACCAGCACAACGGCAGCGAATTTAACGCAGGAATTGAAACCCTCTTCAGCCAGCAGTCTACAGGCTCAGCAGCAACAACAGTTGCCATTACAACAAAATTATACGGCCGTAAGTGAAGGATTAACAGCCTCAGGTAGAGCAACGCAGCAGCAGCAATTGGATAAGCATGAGGCAAACACATTGTTTACTGCTGCAGGAACCGCACCTGGTTTGACGGGGCAGGGGCAACAACCGCCGCCGACGACGACGTCGATGTCAATAATGATGACAACGACAACAAATAGCAGCACAGCAGTGACATTGGGTGAACTGAATTTGCCACCGCCGCCACCACAAATCCCAGTTGCTGGCCCAGCCGGTGGTGGTGTTACGTTGGGTAGCCTGTTGCCCGCACCGCCTGCATCTACAACAACAACAACACTTCCAATAGCAATTGGATGTCCAACAGTGGGAGCAGCGACAGCAGCAACGATAACAACGCACTCAATAAATAATGATGTGGCCACATCTGTTGCAGCAACCGCAGCATCAGCACCGCCAGCGTCACAAGCTCCAGTGCCAAACTCTTCAGCCACATCCGGTCTGATCGGTCCCAGTGCAAGTGATTTCGACTCCGATACAGAGCTGTCTGTACTGGCCTCTGCCGATCGACGTAGTTTGTCAACTGCGGGTGCTGTTGGTGCTGCCACAACGGGTGCTGATCCCGGCGCAACGCCAACCTGCAATATATCATCGGGAGCAAATGTGACCGGTGGGGCAGGAACGGCACTGTTAGCTTCCGCCTCAGCCGTAACCACAAATGGCCATAATAACAATAATGGCAGTGCCCAGCTCAGCCTGAATGCGAAGCAACAACGGCAACAAAAACGACGTCGGGAGCGGGCACAACGGCTCCAAGCTGAGCGCGACAGTCGCTGCAATGCGAGTGCGATGAATGCGAACATGATTGGAGGTGGTGTGCCTGGTGCTGGAGTGGGTATGGGCGCTGGTGGTACCTGTATAGCTGCCGCACCATCCTCCATGCATATGGGCAATATTGGAATGGGAGCGGCAATGCTATATCATGTGAACAGTGCCGGGAGCATGGGTGAAGATAGCAACAACTCAAATGGCAACTTCACCAGCAGCAGCAATGGCAGCAACAATCTGTTGCCACCCACAGATAGTATCGCCTCCTTATTGTTAAATCCGCCGCATTCACCGGAATGCAATTCGGGACTCATGGCCACGCCAAGTGATAGCGAGGGCGAGTCTCTTGATGAAGATCTCCTATCGACGTCATCGTCATCCACGTTACTGCTGCCACGTGACAAACCACCGCCTCGCCCGCCACCTCCGGTGCGACGGAAATTGCCGCGCTCGCCCGTCCTCGAGGAGGAGATCATCGACGGATTTGCCATATTGGAGTTTAAAACGTACGAGGATCTCGAGGTAAGTTCAACTCAAATAAACTATTTGCTTAAATTATAACAATATTATAATTTATTATTAAAATCGCTCTATAGTTCGCCATCAAGCTCGGGCAGAAGCGTAAAGAGAAACGCCTTTCGGCCCTCGAGGAGCTAACGTGCACGTACAGCATAGAGGAAATGAAAATGCCAAAGATCATAGATACCGGTCAGCCGCATCCGTTGCGTGGAACCAATCTTGGAGCTTTGTCCGTTGCCAGCAATAATAATCTAAAGGAGAGCAATCACCATCGTGTCGTTGGTATTGGCGTCACAGTTGTGGGCAACAACAGCAGCTCGAATATCAACAATTTGATGACCAATACAAGCAATGGAAACAACAACAGCAACAGTTACTTGTCTGGCACGGTCTCAATGGGCGCCACAGCCGATCCAGAAACTGTGGCGCATTGGCGGGCACAATATCAACAACAGCAACAGGAGCAGTTAAGCGGCAATGGCAGCAGCAATGCAAATCAAAATCCAATTAGCAATAGTTGTAACCACCACATGAACCAATCCAAGCAGACCAATTCCATAATACCCAACGGATCTGTCGATCCCAACACCAACAGCACAACAAACAACACCAATTGTGGCAACGGAAACGGCAATGGGAACAATAACAACAACAACAGTTTGCTAGAAAATGGCAGCGACACACACATGCTGGACATCAGCAGATCAACCAGCACCCATGAGCGTATGGATACCAGTGGCAGTGTTTCCGAATCCAATAGCTCAGTGCCGATGATGGTGGGCAACGATATGGATGTGAGCGTTGATTACAATGGTGATGGAAAGGGCACAAAATCAAATACTAAAGCACCAACAACAAATACACACAATCATTCAAGTGCTGGACTATCCTCATCAACGTCAGCACAATCGCCAAATATGAAAGTAAGTATACTTAAATCATAAGCCAACTTGATCTGTCACTATACCATATTGCTGTTTATCCACAGCAGAAGCTGCACAATATGGAAGTTAACGATGCCGCCACTACTGCAGCAGTGGGAGCAGCGACAACGCCAGGCAGCATACCGCTTGAAATCCAAGGCTTAACTCTCGGCTCAGCGCAGGTCGTTGGTGCCAACAACATAATGCTTCATCAGGATCACGAGCTTAAAGATCGCTTCAGTGATGTAAGTCGCATTAGCTAGAAGAAATCATCAAAATCTTATCACTAGTCATTGATCAATATATTGTGGGGTCTATCACTAAATAGCATACAAGATTTGATTTTTATTTAAGGGTTAAAGAATATAATCCGAGATTAAAACTTAGTCATCATGTATTAATTTTTCTGAAAAAAACTGAAATAATATCAAAACAATATCCATTTAGGTTTTGGAGAGTAGTTAACAGATGGGAAATTATGAACTTCATGTTTTTTTTTATTGAATATAAACATTTTATTTTACCTTTACTCGTCATCAAAATACCCAATTCCCATTATAACAATCTTTAATATCTTCCTAGTAAACATTAAAGAGTAATCTTTAAAACTCATCAGATAATTTTTCAGCATTCTGAATTAGTTTTTTGAAATGTAGAAACTTTCCAAAAAATTATTAATATCAGGACTGTTTCCATTTCCAATTCTAAGTCATTTCGGTGATAGCGTTTATGGAATTAATTACTATTCAAACGAGAAAGCTCTAATAATGTGATTTATTGTCATATATTTTAATTCCATTTATTCGCTAACATATATATTTCCTTTCCCTTAGGCGCCGAGTCGTTGCAGCAGCAATAGTAAAGGAATTAATATCGTAAGTGTCTATATAAATGAAAAACAATTCCAGAAAATACTAACAAATACCTTTCCCTTCTTGCAATTTTAGTGTGATAGTGGCAATGGGGAGAATAAGGTGAGTATTCAATAGTAATCATAAGTAATAGTCTAAAAAAAATTAAGAAATATTGTTACATTCGCGGGGGAGTCGCCCCTTTCATAAATGTATAGTAGGAGTTCGATTCTGTGAAAAAAGGTCAGATTCATTAAAACAAGATTTATAAGTCCTAATAATATTAGTGAGCGATTTTAGTGAAGCCAGTTAAGATAGAAATGTCGTTCCTTTATAAAAAAGCATTGCACTCATATTAATTCATTTATAACATTCTCAGACGTGTGCTCGATCTTGTGAAAAGGGATTGCTAGACACATAGGGTAGTTGGAAATATTTCTGGTCAATTTTAGTATAGCCTCTTGAAGTTTAGGACCACTCTGGCTATGTTTAAAACACCGCTGTTGCTCTACGATAAGATTTGCAATACAACTGAAAATGCAAGTCTCGCATGTTGCTCGCATATTGCTCTCTCGTTCTCTCTATCACTCCCTTTCTGTCGCCCTCGCGCACTCTCTTCTTCCACAACAATGCTTGTTCACATGCGCAGGACCAAAGCAGAGCACATTTTTCCTCCCACGCAGTATTCCGACTGCATATACACGTGCATACGAACATATTGAAGTGACCGACCGACCGACCGGTGGGGGTGATGGGAAGATATGTGGGTTTACGATACATGTAACTTCATTTCCGGCTTTTACCAAACACCCATTCAACCATTATATATGTATATGTATACATGTTTTTTAATTTATACGTTCACTTATTTCATCTTACAATGCTTAATGGTTTACAAAATTAATATATAATTTTTAGAAACAAATTTAGGTCTATCTCATGAATATTATTTGTTAAAGCACCCCATGACATGAAATATATATTGTGTGTGATAGTACAAATATGTTTAAGGACGTTTCTAGTCCCTGTAAAACCATTTACTAGTTTTATTTTTAAATTTGTTATGGACAAACAGACCTTTCAAATACAACAAATTAATCAATTATGATACATACTCGTATTATTCATTCGTGGCGAACTTTGAAGCATTCCTGTAACACACTCTCTTCCAGTAAAGCATTACTTAATACTCTGGACCACTGCTCATTAATTAACACTTCACATTCATCACGACAGCCACCTCCTGTACGTTTCTAAAACAAACCAATGCATTCTAATTTCCGGGCCATAATTACAATTTAACAAAGTTCTTTTGACTTTAAAACATTTTAAGTAGAAAACACGCGTTTCTTATTAATATAAATTGGTCCAAAAATTGGTCATAAGTATTACAAAACGGTCGTTCAAGAGTTTTGAAGACTATTTTGAAATGCAAACGTTTTATTCTTTTTGTTTTTCGCATTTCAAATAACTTTGGAGTTTGAAGTCGATAATCTCTTTTCAACATTTCTCAGTTTTAATTCATTGTATAACTAATATACATGTATGTATATTATAAACCAATTTAACAATAATTAGTCCATGTATTTTCTTTTCTATGAAATTCATAAAAAATGCTTAAATTTTTTTAAATAAAAAGAACCTCCTTATTCGTAACTTTTAAATATAGGGTACAAACTTTAAAAATTGTCGAATTCAATAGAATAGTGTGGAATCGAAATTGATAAATGTTTCCAAGTTCAAGAAAACGCTTGAGCTTTAAGGTTTTGAAAGCGGGTAGCAGAGCAGAAGTCATATTACCGCTCTAGGCAACAATTTTTTAAATAGAATACCCAGAATTTTCCGAACTTAAATTCGGAATTTCACTTTTTATAGATCGTTTCCATAGTTTTAGGATCAGTGAATGAATTCCTTAATTGAAAAATTATTTTCTTGTCTTCCAGAGTTCTGAAAAGTTGGTAGCTATAGTTTTTCCTTCAACACCAACACATGTTTCCAATGCCACGCCAAGTCCGACGACGCCGCGCAAGTCCTCCGACTATCCACAGCAGCAGGCCACGGGCGGAACTTTTGGACAACCCGTTGGCAGCGATCCTGTGCTCTCAACATCATCATTGAAGCCGCCATCGCCGGCGGTGGTTAGCGGCTCTGGCATTGTGACGAGCATGGGAGGACCCGCTGTTGTGGCTACCAGTGAGAGTAGTGTCGCTATAGCAACATCACCGAGCGCATCAATGGTGACGGCGCCAACGATAGCAGGTGGTAGCAGCAGCAACAGTGGCGTTGGCGGAATGCCCAACTTTGCAAGCGAAACGGAAAAATCCATGGGTCCTGCCACAGTCGCCAACGTGGGGCCAACGTCTGTCCATTCCGTGCTGGTCAGTGCGAACTTTGCAGCCGGTGCGGCCCCAGGAACACAGGTATTTGTAGCTGTTGAAGATAGAAAAGAAATGTTATTGAATGTGATTTGTTGTTGTGTTTTAGTTAACGACGGGTACTGGTGGTGAGACACAGCTTACAGCAGCAACGGTGCCAGCGCCTGGCGCTCATACATTAGCACCGGCGCCTGTCTGCGAACCAGGCACTCCCATCTTTACCACCAAGCTGTCACCCGGGCCGGGTCAAGGAGGACTGCTTGTTAGTGTGGGAAATGCGCCGCCGAATGCAACTGCGGTTTTGCGACCACCAGTTTCAATGATGGCGGGAGCTCCAGCACCAACGGCCGGCGCAGTGGGTCCTTTGATGACACCATTTGGCAACCGGCTCAGCGCACCGCTTTCCCTGCCTTCGACGACGTCTACTACCGGCATTTTGGGCGGCACACTCAAATCGAACGAATCAGTTCAGCAGCAGCAACAACCAGGCGGTGTCAACAATTCTGCGAACAGCAACGTCGAGGTCATGAAGTCTGTGGTTGCTGGCGGTGGACCCTCTGCGCCGGCGAATGCACAGTCTGTGGTGAATGGATTTTTGGGCGGTTTTCCGCCTGGCAGTGCTGTGACGACAAACATAAGCGTCGTTGGTCCGCCGACCCGCATCTCACCGCACTCAGCGGCAAAGCTTAGCCAAAACAGCGGTGCGCTTGTCTCCACATCTACGGCTGTTCCTACAAGCACAATGTCCATACCGGTTTCCTCCGCTGCCGTTTCTAATCTGAGCAAACTGTCCTTTAATGCAGGAACTGCAACAATTGGTGGTGGTGGTATTGGTGGCGGTGGTCCTCAAACAGTGGCTGTGGCCGCTGCTGCCGCCGTCGCCCATGGTTTGGTGTTTCCCGGCGCCCCACCACCGCCCATATCACATGTGGCAGCGGGCCTGCCCATGCTAATACAGGCACCGTATCGGCAACCCTATGGCAATTATCCATTGTATGCACCATACAGCAATATTGCGCATAGTCCGTACCTGCCACCGGTGGTAGCCTCTCCCAGTGCGTCACCATCGCCGCACCGTGGCACCGATAGTCGCGGCAATCGTGAATCGCCAGCAGCAGCATCGCAAAAGGTACCAAATAACTCACAACCACTGTCAGTGGGTGGTGGTTCAGTGGTTGGCGGCATGCGTCCCATCACTCCACTCTCCAACGCCGGCGGAACAAATGGCATCAACAATACAAATAGCAGCACCAGCATCAATCCAAATCTTGGCGGGACCAACACACCATCACAAACGACAGCAACAGCGGGAACGGCAACGAGCGCGGCTGCACCACTGCCGTTGCCGCCGCCCCCACACACAACTACCCATCCACTCAATCACACGCACTTGGCGCCACATCATATGTCCGTGCCATATGCGACCGGCAACTATGGAGGTGCACCTCCAATGGGACCCGCAGCGACCTCAGCAGCAAGCAGCACAGCACCACCAGCCGTTATCACATCCATAGCACCTGCGCCACAGCTTTTGCCCCCACCGCCGCCACATGTGCTCGCCCATGCTGGGCATGCCGGCCATTCCGGACATCCCGGACACTTATCACAGCCGAGTGTACCGATGTCGGCCGTCACACATCTGTTGAGTACTCATCCACAGTTTGTGGCACCACCATCAACACAGCATCAGCATCTTTTGCGTTGCGGCAATCTGCAAACTTCCGGAGTATCGGGTGGTAGCACCTATAGCGCCTCATCGCTTAGTGGAATTGTGCCAAGTTCAGCAACAGTGTCGGCAGTGTCGGGGCAACCAATTTCGTCTTCAGCTTCGTCGACATCCTCATCTGTGATCCAGAAGATTATATCACCCAAAAGCGAAAGCCCCATCGGCAAGGATCGTGACAGCAGTTACAGGTGAATATTTAAAAGTACGCTTAGTTCTACATAGACTAATAAAATTGTTTAATATTTTGCAGCATTGCGGCAATACGTTCGACCGGCACCTCGGGAACGTTACAAGTGGGACCGCAAGGCATTGCTTTGGGTCCCACATTTGGCGGCTTAGTGCCGTCTAGTCCTTATGGCACGGTTGCTGTTTCAATGCAATCAACATCGACACTGCAGTCGTCCTCGGTACTCGCCGGACCCGGCATGGGTGGTGGTTATCCACCAAAGACGGCGCTCTGGTTGAAGTAAGTTGAAAAATGAAAAGCCACACGCAGGTCCAGTGTAGTGTTAATGCCAGACTTCTTTCCATTTACAGCGCTCCAGGTATGCCAACATCGCAGGCCATCACAAGCACGGCGCACGCGCCCTCGGTGAACAGCAACAGCGTTATTGGTGGCGGTGGCGGTGCACGACCAACTCCACCACCTTCGCTAAATGTGAACACATCTGCGACAGTGACAAATGCAAATTCGCCGCATGCCATGCATTCCACGGCGGGCAGCGGAGGGCCGCCGTATTTTGCCACACCACTGGCGCCTTCCCTGGCCGGCAACTCAACACTAACCGGGGGTGTGGTGGCCATCAGTTCGGGTGCGCCTTCGATTAATACTTCAACGGCGGTGCCGGCCATAATGACAACGGCTACAACAACAACGTCAGCCAGCTCTGTGAACACATCCCAATCACCGGCAGCGTCAGCAGTGGCCGCCATCACCCCAACGCCACATCCCTTCTCCGCAGAATCTCTCTTTCAGCCAAACAAGAGTACGTGTGAGGCCTATGGGCGTATTTCACTTTTCTATAATGGCATTTATTTTTAATTTTATAGACGATCAGGCTGATTTATTGCGTCGGGAGCTGGACAGTCGCTTCCTGGATCGTTCTGGCTTGGCTGCGCCCCCACCACCCAATCCGCCATCGACATATTTACGTCAAGAGCTGCATCATCACCAGCACACGCATTTGCACCAACACCAACAGCTGTTGCCATCAGCCGCCGCTATGTCCACAACACTGCCGCCCGCACCGCCAACGCCGGCTCCAATATTCCCGCCACCGCTCTTCAAAGACATTCCCAAAATGGCCGCTGTCGATCCGCAGTTCTATCGCTCCAGCATCGGATTGCCTGGCTATACGGGCTACAATCCAGCGGGCCTACTGCATCCAGGCCTGGGCGGTCCAACTCCGTTTATGCCACCCAACCATTTAACATCATTTGCACCCAAGGTAAGTGTAGGGGTGGCTTCGTTTTATAGCTCCTCGTACCCTAATCTTCCGAACTAGAGCTGTGCGTGTGAGAAAAATAGCGTCACGATTCACTAGCACATTCACGAAATTTTATTCATGTACCCCCAAGTCTGAAAGCCACATGTACATATATAACAGGCAACAGGAGGAGTGGATGATATAGATATGATGCAGCATGAGTAGACGAATCGATATAGATATTCCCATCCATATGTTTGCGTTTGTTTTTCTGTAGAGCTCTTCTAAACCAAAATAGCTACGGACACCAATATTGCCATAAAGATTTGTCTTATCTATAAGCAGATCAAGTTTATCACTTACACTTAGTAAAATACTTTTTTAACTTATTAAGATATCTTTACCAAATTTGCTTCTTTGTTCTTCAACACTGACCAGTTTTCCATGTTTTAACAATTAAAAGGGATAACTATCGCGGGCCAAGACTTCTTAACATTGGGGCTCCTGGAAAATTAACTATTCGGCCAGATGAGCATAAATTCTCCCTCCGTATGCATACAAATTATAGCATGTCCAATTACTTATATATTGTGAAAGTCCCACCCAACTGTAGATGTCTTCTTTAGTAAAAAATGTATCCTACCAGTCCATTTCGTTTAATGATCGAAAAACTTAGAGAAAACTTAGAGCTCAAGCCAAAGCTCTAGTTCAATAGTTCATTTTGAAGTTGACCGGCGTTGGAACCAGTTCGGACCGGACCGAGTTAGTTTGTCAGAGTTTTGTTTAAAAATATTCTAATCTGTTATTTTCAGAAAATGGATTAAGTATTTAAGAAGCATTTGCCTTATTATCAATTCAAAGTTTAATTAAAACTAACACATGTTTTAAGAAAGACTTTTGCCCAAAGGTGGGGCTAGTTGTGGAATATTGTATTTTAATGGCTATTTACTAAATCTTAGAAAGAACATTTCTCAAAATTAGGGCTATCTTACTTGTAAGTTATCTTTAAAAAAGAAAATAGTTTGTCAAAATGTTCTGAAGCTTTCATTTTATAACTTTGTCATCGTCAATGGGGTGACATCTTCACGAATTGCCGGGTAATTTTGCCAGTCATCACGTTCACTAAACTCACGCAGGCAATCACGCACAGCTCTACTGCGAACTTATCATGCATATGTATATCTAACTTTTCTCCTCTTCACAATCACCAAAACGTTCATTTCATATCATCTTCTACTACCCACACAACCTAAACAATACACAGTCGCTACCACCACAAACACCACAATCACAACCACAATCATCATCGATACCCACTTCAACAACATCGAACATAGACCCATCCAAAAATCCCAGGTCAATGGTATGTTCACCTCCTTAAACTTACACCAATAGTCCATTAGTCGGACGAAATCTCAGGAAATATCTAATTCCGGTTATTCTATTTATATTTCTTATAGAAAACTGGACGTTGGAATGCGATGCACGTGCGCATTGCGTGGGAGATTTATTATCACCAGAACAAACAGAATACCGAGAAGCCGTTGGTAGCTGGTGGTGGTCTAAGCGGTTCCACACTTGGTGGTAACGCTGGCATCAATCCAGGCAATCCTTGCGGCTCTATCGGTGTGGGCAACGCTGGTGGCGGAGGTGGTAGTGGTGCTAGCACACCGGCGAGCAGCGTCTCCGCCCCTCCGACCTCAATAAGCGGCGGTGTGGTTTCCAGCAGCGGTCCAATACCACCACCGCCGACATTGGCCACTGCATCGGCAATGGGTATAAAAGCATCACCGAGTCTGACGCTTAGTTCAGCGGCACCTCATATGTTGCACAGAGCGGGGGAACTGCCACCGGGATATGCGAGCGCGCTACCCGGAAGATCGCCCTTCGAAACATCGCCGCTGGCCTCGAGCTTCATTGGCGCCCCACCCAGTCATATTGGTAAGATGAGATGGCACCAGCAGATGGCCACCCCACAGAATGTGATTTCAATTGGATATATTGACTGTATTCCAGGCACCGCAGTTTCCCCCTTCGGCCGCTACGTAGCACCGTTCCCGTTCACCACCGGCATCGCGCATTTCGGTCGTGAAATGCCTTTAGGCGGACCCTTGGATCCGTGGCGGTAAGTCCAGTAGAACCATCACAACCAGTGATTTAAGCAGGGACTTACACTTTCTTTATAATTCACATTCTCAGAGCCAGCGCCATGCCACGTAGTGTCGCATATCATCCGGTATCCGCGCCCAGTGGTTGGCAATTAAAAGCGGATCCAGCACTGGATAATGCCCGACGGGAGGCCGAGGAGCGTGAACGCGAACGTGAGTTGCGCGAGCGCGAGCAACGAGAACGCGACCGGCAAAGACGCGAGCGTGAGGAACGTGAGCGCAAGGAGAAGGAGGAGAAACTAAAGCGGGAGCAGCAGGAGCGTGAAAGGGAACGGGAACGAGAGCGCAAAGAACGCGAGCGACGCGACATGGAGCAGCGGGAGCGTATGCTGCAACAGCAGCGCATCAATGAAAATAACAAGCAAGCTGCGGCGGCGGCAGCAGCAGCGGCAGCCGCAGCGGCTTCTTCGGGACCGTCACGAGATCGTTCGCCTCATCGAAGCGTCGGGGAACTCAACACGGAGATACGAATCAAAGAGGAGCATCCGCGCACCAAAGAGGAACAGGATGTAATGATGATGCGTGCCTCCGCGGCTGTCGGTGACCCGCGTTATCATCCCTCGCTAGCTGCAGCGCAGGCTAATGCCGCAGCAGCGGCGGCGGCCGCGCACCACCATGCCAGTTTTATGGCTGCTGGTGGTCGACACGGACCGCCGCATGGACTACCCCCGCCTCCGTCGCACCTGTCACGCACAATGATGGCGCCCTCGATGGGTGTTGGCAGCCCGCTTACTCATTTTGCACCGCCCGGTCCGCCCGGCTGGGGCATAGATCCATATCGGGATCCCTACACACCAATCCTGCGCTACAATACCATGAACCCCATCATGGAGGCAGCTCTGCGACATGAGGTGGAGGAGCGTCAGAAAGCGATGAACAGCATGTATGCCGTACAGTCGGCGGCTCATTTGCGTGGCAAGGAGCCAAGCCCCATACCCCCGCCCTCGGTCGGTCCACTCGGTCCGCCACCACAGCATCATCGCATGCAACCGACTCCGAATATGGGCGGTGCCCCTGGTGGACAGGCGCCCGCACAGCCCCCCTCTTCGCAAGTCCAAATGCCCACGGGCATTGTGACGAGTAAAGGGCCGGGACCGCCTCCCTCAATGGGCATGCCCGTCCAACATGTGATCGCGGTGGACTCCATGGGTCATCCAACAGTGACCACGAAAAAGGAGCCCGACCACTCTGTGGGCATTGTGAACAGTGGGCAGGGTGTTGGCCTAACCACTGTACCTGCTGGAGTTATGGGCATGTCCCCGGCTCCTTCCGTGGCGCCTAGTCGATGATAAATCCATGCCCAGCAGCCGTAGCAGCAGCAATATTTAATATTTAAATAGCCAATTAAATTGTGAAATTTTAAAAATTTCAAGCACTTTTAGCACCATTCTCTCCCTTATCCCTCCTCACCACACCTCACCTAACTTCACCACACCAAACCACACCTCTCCCCTGTCCACAACAATGTTTGTCAATGAGAAAACACCAAGAGAATAAGCGAAACGCTTTTTGTAAAGTAGAAACACGAAACAATACCGAACTTGAAAATTGTATGTATTTTTATGTAACAAGGTTAAAAACAAAAACAAAACAAATCTCGATATAAAAACGCATGTATGTTAAAAAGCAAAACAAAAAACAAAAATGAAAACAAAAAGAATGCAAAAAAGCATCAGAACGAAGGAGAGGAAGATAAAAGATGAATCGCTCTATTCTATTACTGACTTTCTATGCAATCCTATGTACTGAGCCGCAACGCTGGTGACACGCTGCTTCCCTCTTACGTCTTGGCCGCAGCGGCAGACGGAACATAACACAACTACTTTAACTTATATATATGCATATATAAAACAAAAAACAAAACAAAACCAACTAATACTTACTAGTATGAATTAGAAATTTAGGCTCGAGTATATATATATATATGTATATATATATACATATATATATATATTATATATAAAAGTATATATATATTTAGTGCATTTGTATTATTTGTATAATGTGAAATTGAGAGAGGCAAGAAGACGTGTTGAAGAGATACTATAATTAGATGTATATACACACTTACATACATACATACATATACATGCAAACAATCTCATACATATATGTATGGATGTCATCGGTGCCCATTACATGGAATGATCAGTGCACCTGATATATAGCCACATACACATATATGTGACATTAAAGCACAAATATGTGCACATATGTATGGTGCACATGATTGGAAAAATATGATTGATTTCATGGGGTGCTTTTGGCACAGGTTGGGAGGAAAAAATAAAATAATAGAATCATTTCTAATGACTAAAACGCAAATGTTTTATTCCTCACTCCTTGCTTCTCGATCCGAGAATATGTCAACCAATTGGTTATGCAAGCACGAAGGTACAAAAGTTTTGGTCACGACTGCGAGCAGTTGGAATTGAAATCCACCGAAGACCACATAAGTCAGGACGGTGGTAGCGGTAGCTGTTTGACGCCTGATGGGAGCACTTGTCGCACATTTATATTAATGCGGGAATCGTTCAGATAGTGCATATATGGTAGCCAAAAGCTGTCATCACGCACCAAACGATATAAGGACATATCACATACATTTGAATTATCCTCAAAGTCACGGCGCAATTTTTTTCGCTCTGGTTTCATTAGCTTCTCGTCGGCATCATCAGCGGGCAAGTTATTCCAAGGTTCCTCTTGGGTCTTCATAACACGCGGTACCGCATGATAGCAAAGACGCGACTGCTGAGACATAATCAGCACATCGCCGCTGCGCAAATACAAGGCACTGGGACGTTCCTCTCGTGTTGTGCCACCAATTAGGAAGACCGCAGTCTGACCAAAGCTACAGTTCAAAAAGTGGTAAAGAAAAAATATACAAAAAACTTAGAATGAAACGCATGCCTGCCATACCTGAAAGAAAACAGTGGCGCCGTCTGATTCGGCTCGGAGTGATCTGTGTGTCCAGATAAGGTGGTACCTATTGGGTAGAAGTTAACGATGGCCGCTTGCGCCTCAAAGTCTGCAAAGCCCAGAACTGTCGCGATGTACTGGCACAAATTGCTCAGATCTTGCGGAAAGGGTGTGTGCATTGTCTCGCTATACACCTTTGTATCCCAATCGTGATGATAGCCCAGGGTGGCCCATCGCATCGAAATCTTGAGACGCCGCGCCTCATCCTTATCGTCACATTGCTGCAATGCATTCCACCAATCCTTAATGGCATCGCTCGCAAACAGATTCTCATTTAAGTTAATTCTATTTGGAGCTCGTGGATAGTCCCGCAGGCTGCGTGCTATCCAATATCGTTGGCCATGCACAGTAAACGGATTACGTATAACTAATATGCCGGGATGGGATTTTAGTGCATAGCAACGCCAGCTCTGCGGTGGTTGCAGGCCTATGGGCGGGAAACTAAGATGCAAGCCCGGAACATTGTCCTGCAATTCTACCAACTACATACAAATGTACATACATTTGTATAGGTTTGTGTGTGATAGAAGTAACAGTAGCATTTGTTACTCACGGTGCTCTCATGATTTGTTTTAGACGGCTCTTCAAAATCGATTACGCCATTTAGGTCTGGTGGAGGCCATTTCGCTTTATAATACTTAAAGGCTTCCTTAAACATATGGACGCATGGATGTGTTTAATAATATTTAGTTAATAATTTTTCATAATTCCAATCTTAACAGTCTGGCAACGCAAGTGATCCGGGGCACATGTGGGCAGCAGTCGAGCAGTCTGGCAGCCTCATAAAAATATACATGCGTTTAGTTTTTAGTTTGACTGTTGTTTTTAAGATTTTTATATAAATATATTTATATACAAGTAAACAAATGTATTTGATGGCTCTACTTGTGGATTAGATTTAGTTTTGGCAATCAGTTCGATCTACACACTTACATATATGGCAAACGTTACGAAAAACAACAAAAAAGCGGCACATGAGCCAATGGAATCTAAAACAACCACAGTTTTAGGCGACGATGACAAGATCCTTGGTGTTGTGGATAGTTTCACGACATGCCTTGATGCCGTTGAGAGAGACCTGGACCGAGCACTACAGGAACGGAACAAGCCGATGCTGACGTTAGATGAAATGATCAAGCTGGACACATATATAGCGTATGTGAACAGCACCTTGGTCTGGATGCATGCAAAAATGCAAGGCGCCGATGTAACTAATGTAAGCGGATCTATATAACATTAAAGCCTTAACCAATATAACCATGTATGTACCCACAGCATCCCATACAGAATGATCTGAATCGAGCCAAAAAGATGCTTGCACGAAATAAAGAAATCGATGACGCCCTCGCCGCACCACGTCTGGAAATGCAGGCAACTAAACGCTTTATTGCTGCCGGTATTCATACGCGATTTGTCAATATGGATGGCGTTATGGTCACTGAAGAAATGTACAAACGCAAACAGGCGGAAAAACAGACAAACAAATCTTAAGACACACACACACACATACAAAAGCTTACGATCACTAACAAAATTAAGTTCAGTGATTTACAAATAAGGGAGACTGTTAACAATAAAAATCTATTTTGCCTGCAAAACAGCGGGCAGTGACGTATAACTTGTGACGTATAACTTGTGACGTAGTTGCTAATGACGTATAAATAGAAATAAATTAAATAAGAAATTGCAGCAAAGCCAGCCGGCCTGCCAGCTAGCCGGCCATCGTATCTAGACGACGATACAAAAGTAGAGAAACTTTGGCACGACGCCCGCATGACCTCTAGAAACAAGCAAAGGTCATTGTCTGACTGATAAGTACTGCAACTAAGCCAGCCCCGACCCCCCCCGGGAAGAAAAGTTGCATACATACATATATATGTATGTATGTTTTTGGAGACAAATATTGTCACATGTGTAGACATACATATACATACATACATAGTATATGTATAAAAGTTTTGGTCGCCTTTTATGGAGGAGGGTCAACAATATTTTTTGGGGGTCACCTTCAGGCAAAAATTTGTACCTACATACATATGTTTATGGAATATAGCTGATGATACTATTTTGATGAATTTTGATTTGTTTCTAAAAACACAAATGGTCAAATTTTCGTTACAACTACACAATAAGTGAAATTTTCTTTATTGAACAACAATTAACGCATATGTATGTATGTATTATTTTCTTTGCAATTTAATAGAGTAAATAGCGCTGGCTACAAAAAAAAAAAAAAAAAACAATTTGAGGAAAAAACACATATTTTTTGTATTCGAGATTATTACTGTTGCCAACTGGCCATGCCGAACCCAGCCGGACAGGGCGATGAGGTCCATTTCTGTATCTCTGCCGTGCTGACTGGTGCTACAAAATCTGTGTTTTTGTTATGCAACTACGAGGGTTGGCGCTCTTTGCTTTTGCGTTGGGCGGCTTATCACTGATAAGCATTATAATTTAACATTAATTATAATTTAAATTCAATTTTGGTAATGTTTAATTTGTTGTTTGTGTTTTTTTTTATATTTTACTTTTATAGTATGTAGATTATAATTTATGTGACTGTTGTTTTGCGTCTCATCAAACAGGAGAGAGGTTCTGGTTGTTACTTGATGCTGTGTAAGTAAATACATATATGAATATATATATAGATAGATAGAGTGGTAGATATAGATAGAGAAGGAATATGTATTCTATGCAGCATGGTATATATAATTAAATATATACGCGAATTTTCGCCCAGCGTTTAATGCTCCATTTCTCCATCTCTAATTATTAAATGCTACAGCTCCTGTTTGTGCGTGTTCTCTCATACGAGTTGATTAGGTTGATTAAATTTAATCCTTGCTCTGCATGTACTTGATCAAGTCGATGACGCGGTTGGAGTAGCCGAACTCGTTGTCGTACCAGGAAATCAACTTGACGAACTTATCGTTGAGCGAGATGCCAGCCTTGGCGTCGAAGACCGACGAATGGGTGTCGCTAAGGAAATCGGTGGAGACGACTTCCTCATCGGTGTAACCCAAAATTCCCTTGAGGGGGCCATTGGCAGCTTCCTGGACCTTGGCCTTAATTTCATCATAGGAGGCACCCTTGCCCAAGCGGACAGTCAAATCGACAACCGACACATTGGGGGTGGGCACACGGAAAGCCATACCGGTAAGTTTGCCATTCAGAGCTGGAATAACTTTGCCGACAGCCTTGGCAGCGCCAGTGGAGGCTGGGATGATGTTCTGGGCAGCGCCACGACCATCACGCCACAATTTGCCAGAGGGGCCATCGACGGTCTTCTGGGTAGCTGTGGTGGCATGCACAGTGGTCATCAGACCCTCAACAATCTCAAAGTTATCGTTGATAACCTTAGCCAAGGGGGCCAAGCAGTTGGTGGTGCAGGAGGCGTTGGATACAACCTTCATGTCGGGGCTGTAGGCTTCCAAGTTGACGCCGCAAACGAACATTGGGGCATCAGCAGAGGGCGCCGAGATAATAACCTTCTTGGCACCGCCCTTCAAATGGGTGGACGCCTTCTCGATGGTGGTGAACACACCAGTCGATTCCACAATGTATTCAGCACCAGCGCTGGCCCAGTTAATGTTAGTGGGGTCGCGCTCACTGAACACGGTGATCTTTTGGCCGTTAACAACCAGGAAACCGCCCTCAGCGGCAACGGTGCCCTTGAAACGTCCATGGGTGGAGTCGAACTTGAACAAGTAAACCATGTAGTTCACATCGATGAAGGGATCGTTGACGGCGACCACCTTGGCGCCCTTGTCGATGGCAGCGCGCAGCACCAGGCGGCCGATACGACCAAATCCGTTAATACCGATTTTCGACATGTTTGTTGGTTGTTGTTGTTGCTCTTTAGCTTTGATTGCACTTTTACTTTCTGGAGAAAAAAAAATATATATATATATGAGTATATATATATATATATATATAAATGGAGAAATTAGAAAGGTGATTAGCTCAAGTTGCCGTTATATTGGAAAGTCACTACCGTTCAGTTCGCTCGCAAGGAATCGACTGCGTTGGCTACGCGGAATTGAGCGATGAAAAAAGCGGCGAGAAAATTTTCAAAGTCAGATGAAGGACGTTTACGTCAAGCCCACCGCATGAAAGCTTTCCATTCGTGCAAATTGTCATCAGTGTTGGGGGCAACCCAGCGAACATTGCCGAAGCGGCTTTACTGAAAAACATGGAAAGCCGGCTTTTTATAAAGCAACTGAAAAACCTTCCAAATTTCGAAATACAAAATTAAATATATTTTTAAATATATGCCCTGCATATTAATGGCAAAGGGTATATAATCGGCTAAAAGTGTTATTAAGAACCAAATTTTCCTTTTGAAAAATGTGATTCGAATTTGAGATCAAAATTCCAAGTATTACAGAAGCTCTAACAAAACGTGTTTAGTTGGGAAGTTCCAAAAATATATGTACATATATGTTACACTTGACCTTTTCCGGAGTTAGAAGAGCATACTCGGTATTCGGGAATAGCAAGAACGATTGGTCTTGTCAAGCAGCTCTAACATTTTTATATTTTCTATTGATTGTTACAAAATCCAATTACAAAAACAAAAGCGATGTAACAACTGTGAACATTAGCTTGTTCAAAAATGCATTAAAATTTTATTTATACAACGCCCACGCATATTGCCAAGGAAAATGTTTGCTGGGCAGTTTTAGTTTTGCCGACTGCTTTATTTTGTCTCGCTCATACACACAAGAAAGTACCGCGCCATGAGGGTATAGCCATCTACATAATACACAAATACATATATGTGTATGTGTGTATACACATAAATAATGTAGATGTGTATGTATGTGTGCATAAAAGCTTTTGTGAAGTTCACTGAGCCCCCATAGTCTGTGGGTTCAATAAATGCCTCTTTTCATCATTTTGCTAGAAATTTGCTCACAGCTGTGAGTCAAGGGGTGGACTACGTGCTCTTTTCGAGTCCGGATGTTAATTTCAATGGGCTCCTTAAAGATGTCATAATACTAATGCTGGAAATTTCATTTCACTTTAAACATATGTACATATGTACAAACATACGACAAACAGCTGCGAGCTTTTCAATTCGCTATAACCTAAAGTTAAATCACTACTGAAAGGTTTGGGCACACGAAAAAGAGGCGTGTCTGTCCCTATTGGGTATCTACATATGTAGGTATGTAAGTACATCATTATGTACATATGTATGTGTAATCAGCATACTTTGGTATGTATGTATGTATGTACAGATTTAACTAAAATGCCGGCTTTTTCGTTTTACCTAGAACCTCAAAAAACACTAGCCCATGATATTTGTATACCATATGTAGAGCGCTTTTTTGTTTAAGAATATTTTTGGTAAGAAATCTCTTAGGGAACATTTTTGTTTTTCAGAATAGAAATTAAATTGTACTGAGAAGATAGAATTTAATAATAAGTATAAGTAAGTATAAGTAAGTATAAGTATTTTATAATAAGTATTTGGGATATTTATAGCAAGCGAATCAAACTGTTTTTTTTTTTGACGTTAATATCTATTGGACTATTTATTATAAAGAATGAATAAAATTTTTCGTATAAAATTCTATCCGTTCTGATCACTAAGCCAACTCAATCCAAAAAAAAAAAAAAAGTTTAAAAAACTTTATTGAAAGAAAATGGGCTGCTCGCTTTTTATTTATGGTAATAAATTGTCTTCAAAATTTTTGATTTTTTATTTATTATGTATTTTCATTTTCTTTTATTTAATTTTGTATATTATTTTTATTCACTTCATTATTTTAATATGCTATCAAGAAATATCTGATACAAATATCTTAAAAAGATTTTTAGAGTATAATTTTGAGGAACTTATATCACAGATTTTGATAACAGAACTGTCGTAGCATATAATTTTACTCTGGGCACGAGGTATTCCTCCCCTCCATGTACTCATGTGTTTTGTTGTTGTAGAACAGTCACCTTCAAAAAGAACTTCTTAGTCGGTGCTTGAGCTTCGCTTCAGCCTACACAAAGCTTTCATGTACGGTAATAGAATATGGTACGCCTGGCGGTTATGCAAGGTTTTTATTTATTTCCGTTCATGATATCATGTTTGTATGTATTTTGTATTTTATTAAGAATGAAAGCTTTGTGTTGTGAGAATCCGAGTAATGCAAAGCTCGGATTTAACTAAAGAATTAATTAACAATTCTGATATCAATTAATGATGTGAACAACAATTTCTTGCTTTGTTCAAGTAAATATCTCAATTTCTGTTGAAGCAGAATGTGTTCTTATGAAAACTATAATTTTTAAAAATGTTGGCATAAAATGATTCATCTTTTTTGTAATTTACACTTTCTGGTCGTTGGCTAATATGAGAGATATACTTGTATATATATGTATATATTGTACAAGTAGTATATTTTACAAATCAGATTGCAGCCATAAGCTATTTGCTAAAATATTAAGCATTGTCAGGATTTATTGATAAAATTTTGGGCATAGTGTTGAGATAATGGAAAAGTGATGTTACGCAAAAATTGAAAAGTCTCAAAAACTAAATATTTGCTCAACAATTAGGTTTCCAGCGGTAATATTTGCCATTTGGACCAAATGAAAATCTTAAGTTTACATCCCATTAATCAAATTTTCCAGACAAAAGGTGATTGCTAAAAAATCAAGGATTCTTATGTATTTAAAGGTAATGCCAGTTAATGACAATATTGTGGGCCAGGACCATCGAGAAGAGGAGGGAATTCTCAAGTGGGATTCTTAAGAGCTGAAAAATGTTTCACATTAGAACATTTGTTGAGAATTTAATTGCATAATGATGTGTATTTATATGTACGAGTATATACGATGCGTTAAGGCTCTTTTTTGTAATTTTCTTAATGTCAGCAAACAGTTTCACCAGAGACTGCCCCTCTTGCAGATATTCAATCTGGTTGGGGTATTGCAGACGTAAAAAGAATTTCATTACTCAATACGATCTCAGCATAAACAATTGTATTGCTTGCTTTGTATAGTATATTCAGCGGCATTTATTAAAAAAAAAACGGATAATTGTTTTCAATTAAAAATGAAATTTGAATGAATAATCCATTAAAACTCGATGTTTTCGTTACTTTTTGAAAAGTTTTAATAAAATCAAAAAAGAAAAAAGGTTTTCTCGGCTCACATAAATATTCGTATATACATAAGTGTAGGATCAATTATTTTTGATAGGTTTGTTGTATACTGATTTGTATTAACCAAATTAGAGTAGAGAATGGTGAGGTGTTGGGTATTCAGATTTTGTTAACAGGTTTAAGGCCCAATATGGCGAAGCACTGCCTCAATACGGCAGCTGTTGCTTCACACATCAGAATTCGGCTGTGATTAACTTTGAGGATTTTGCCGGACTTGTCCTTTTCGATGCAGTAGCAGTTGTCGTAGAATTCGGTGAAAACTGTGCAGACCTCATAGCAGAACTCACACAGGAAATGCAAAAGCAGGTCCTTTGCGCATTTTATGAGTATGTCGTTTAACTTAAGCAGAGTTTTCGCCAATTTCCACTCCTTCTCGTGTTCCAGGGTAATATTAAATGTGTCCAGCACTTTGTTTAAATCACTGAAGTCCGCGCCAGAGTTTCGGGCAATCGAACAAATGCGGGTATATGCATATAAAAGATAGACCGCAGTGTTACCGCGATCTTCGAGCATTTTGTCAAACGAGAAAACATAATCGCTAATACGATTGTGGCACAAGTCCGTGTATTTGATGCATCCATATGCTACCGATTCCTGGGCAGCACGCAGTTCCTCTGGTGATAGAACTTGGTCGCGGCCTCGTTCGCGCAACTGGTCCATTGAGCGTTTTAGGCCCTCATCAAGCAAATCGGAGAGTTTTACGGTATCGCCAGAGCGAGTTTTAAACTTCTTACCATCTTCACCAAGAACCAATCCGAAATTAACGTGATCAACACGATGAGAATCCGGATCCAGAATACCACTACGTTTCGCAGCTTTAAATATTGCTTTAAAATGCGTACTCTGGCCAGAATCTACAACATATATAATCCAGTCAACCTTTTCTTCTTCAATGCGGTGACGAATGGCTGCCATATCGGAGGTGTCATACGTAAATCCTCCATCAGACTTTACAATAGTAAGCGGTATGCCTGTTTTAGTATCGTCTGGCCACATAATTTCGCGACCCTCGTCCAGTTCTAGTAAGTTGTTATTGCGTAGAAATTCCACCACCGATAACATACGCGACTGATAGAACGATTCGCCACGTTCAGTGATTTTTACATCCAAACGATCGTAGATCGATTGGAATTCTATGCGTGAGACATCACAAATTTGTTGCCAAGCCTTGATTGAGTTGGGTTCGCCGCTTTGCAAGGTGACAACACGGTTGTAGGCGCGCTTTTTAAACTCCTCGTCTTCATCGAAGCTGCAAAAGTAAATGTAATTAAATGATTACACCATGTCGTGTAAATAAATATACAAGACTTACCGTTTCTTGGACTCTTTGTAGAAGGCCTGTAGGTCTCCGATTGGAGGGCTCTCGTTGAGAAAGTTCGGAAAACAGTCTTCTAAATGGGCAATCAACATGCCAAACTGCGTGCCCCAATCACCCAAATGGTTAATACGAAGCACATCGTGCTCTAAAAATTCCAACAGTCTACTAATGGATTCGCCAATTATAGTCGATCTTAAATGGCCAACGTGCATCTGCTTGGCAATATTTGGGGAGGAGAAGTCAATTAGGATCCGTTTCTTAGGCACCCTTGGTGGTTTGACGCCTTTCCGCAACAGATTACTCAAAGCACCAACAGCATAATCTCTAGAAAAATTAAATATATACATATAAGTATAATAAACTGTATATACTAGGAATTGAATTTCACTTACTTGTTAAGGAAAACATTTACAAAGCCAGCACCGGCCACCTCAAGTTTGTCAATGAGTGGAGATGATGGACAGTGTTTTTGTATCTCAGTGGCAATCTCACGTGGCGGTTTGTTAATGCCGGCCTCTTTAAACTTCTTTGCCAGGCCCATGGCATTATTACACTGGTAGTCTCCGAATTTTGCAGATGCATTGCCCACAGGTGCAACAACAGCGGCGGTATCACTGTATTGTGGATATGCCTTCGCAATAGCTATTGCGAAGAGTTTTTCCAAATGCTCCGTTATGGAAATTATTTCATCAGAGTTGACTGCAACATCGTCACCAGTTCCTTTCGTTTCCTCACCAATTGACTGCAAATCTTGTTCTATTAATATACTTTATATACCGTAGTGGAATGGACAGTTCTAACCTGCTTTAGTATTGCTAGCCGGTGTTTCAGTTTCGTGTTTTCGATTTGTAATTTGGTCAGCTCGTCGTCACTTAAATTCTCTAAAAGAGCGTTATCTACTTTCCTTGTGCTTTGAATTTGAGCATTCAGTTCCCCTGTTACACGCTCCTATTGAAGCAGCATACGAATTATTTCTCCCCGAATATCATGTATAGGCATTGAAATTACTTACTAATTCCCTGAGTTTTAATAACTCTGCATTAAATGCGGACCCAGACATCTCTCAGCTTGAATCAAAAACCTTCTGCCACATGGAGTATTTTACAGTGTGTGCACAAGAATTTACTAAAATAATGCAGTGTTTACATATGCATACATGCACACTATTTATACTTTTCGATACTTGCGCTGATAGTGAATATCGATATGAATACATTAATCGAATAGTATTTGCAAAAAAATCCATTAGAGCTGCAAAATAATCGATGTTGGCAGCATCGATCTTTTACGATTAATCGCGATTTTTTCAAAAATAAAATCGATTAATCGTTAAGGAAGAAAAATTAAATTTTATTTTTAATAAGATCAATTTTATTCATTTAGCCATTGGTTTTTGTTTGTAAACAGCAACTGGTCTACAATAAACGGTTTTAAAGCGGCGCGTCTGTCAGAGAGGATGCATCCCGCCTTACTGAACATGCGTTCAGACGCAGTGGAGCATGCTGGAATGCACAAATACTTAAAGATGCAATTTTGAAAGTGTTGCATTTCATGCACATGTGTCTGAAATTTGCAAAAATATAATTAGCAGTTAAGTTTTTTAGATGCCACAAGTATTACCTTCCAGTATTCCAATGGTGGTGTGCCCTGCAACTCGTGAGGTTTTTCTAAGTATTGTCTCACTAATATTATACCATCTGCTTGCGGGGTTCTTGATTGTTTTTGTGCTATTTTGTCCTGCACAAATGCATAAATTTGCGATGTTTTAGTGCTTGGATAATCAGGATGTGTTGGTGGCTCTTCGATGTCGGGAGTCGGATTTTCGTATGAACTACAAGCTGCAATTTCATTTTGCAACAAAAAACCTGCTGCGTCGGCGGTGGAAGAACAACCGAACCCTTCTTTTTTAAATCTTGGTTCAAAAATCGTTGCAAGTTGAGCTACGCTTCGATTTTCAAAAGGTGCAAGGCGACGATTAACTCCATCTATCAAAGAGTTGTAGGTTTTTATTCCTTCCGCTGTCTTAAGTGCCAGTTTTGCATTGTGTAAGCGATGGTATAGATCAACTGTAGTCGGAATTATTTCGGAAATTGTAACTATGCTGCTCGAAGAGACCCGGGTGGTTGCAGTGTCAAAGGGCATAAACAAGCAAACTAAGTCCTTCATTATATTTATGTCATCCGCAGTCAATGGATGAGGTGCTTTTAAAGTACTAAGAAGCACAGAAGAAATGTTACTGTTTAATTTTATAATTCTTTCCATCATCTTGAATGAGCTGTTTCATCTCGTGGGTACTTCCTGTATTAGGCTAAGGGGGTTTTCATCATTTTGAGCGGCTTTTAATTTTGCATATGCAATAGAACTGCTTTTAAAAAAGGTGACAATCCGCTTGCCAATACATCCTGAATTACAAGGTTTGGGTTAAGCATGGCAAATGCCTTTTCTTCAGAATTTCACAAGCTTTTATCATATTTGCTGCATTGTCCGTAACAATAGTAGAAGTTTTATATAAAATATTCCAATCCAACAGTACTACACGCAAAGAGTCAGCTATGTTATTACTTGTGTGATCGGTATCAATATCAAGTTTGTTCGTTGATAAAACAGCTTCTCTTAATACAAAGTTCTTGTCTATGAAATGGCAAGTAACTGTGACATAAAATTCATTCGCCCGCGATGTCCAACTATCCGTTGTCACGGCACAGTATTCTACGTTATTGAGAATCAGAACAAGTTTTTCTTTCATTTCGTTGTACATATTTTGTAGATGCACGTTTCTCAAAGTTGTCCTACTGGGCAATATATACCTTGGATTAAGGTAATAAACGAAATCACGAAATCCACGATCTTCAACAATGCGAAAGGGTTGCATATCGATGGCAATCATGCGGGTTAATGCTTTGTCAAGCTCCTTTTTATGCGCGGAATTGTTTTCATAATAATTGTTTGAACTGAAGAAAGTTTTTATGGTCGCCACAGGCTTCGACTCATGGGACAAAGTCGTATGAGCCCGCAATAGATGATTAAACAAGATTGTTGTGTTTCCACCTGTTCTATAATCCAAACCACAAGTTTTGCAGTTTGCAGAGGTTCCCCCTGGCAGCCTTGTAAAAAAATTCCAAATGTCGGACTTTTGCCTTCCCTTACGCTTGCCACTGTGCTCCACGGACTCGTCAACTTCCTTGATATTACCTAAAAACCAAAATTAAATAAAAAATGTAAATAGTTGTGCCGCTAAAGGGTTTACATACAAAAATATATCAATGTAAATAGTACACATACAATAATGCAATAATTAATTAAAACTAAGCTGCGTTTATGTGCACAGAAAACAAAAATCATGCGTAACAATCATATTTATTTTGCACATATGTATATACAAAAATGTGTGCAGTTTTGCGCATAAAATATACGTGTACATACATACATACTTGTACATACATACATATGTCACATGTCGGAGTGCCCCTCACTGCTTAACTAAATGAGGCATAAATTCTTACCTGATTTCAAAAATTTATCCATTTATCCGTTTCCCTCCTCTTCTCCAAGCCACCAACACACCAATATAATCAAAAATATAAAAGAAAATGTAATGTTTTGATTTATTTGGCAATTATTAATTTTACTTTTACCGCTTAGCCACTCAGCGTCACCTTGAAACAAATGTGTTCATTTAAATTTACACGATTAATCGATTCTCAACAAATAAAATCGATGCTTAACAAAAATGCTAAACATCGATTAAATCGATTCTGCATCGATTCATTTTGCAGCTCTAAAATCCATATATATTGTCCAATTTTAGAGAATACCATACGCATCACCATTGCCGTATGCAACCCTGTGATTGCCAACAACTGCTCGATATGCGGGGTTAAACAATAAAGAGAAATAAAAGGAAATTTATTTTTAGAAGAATTTAGTTAATATCAGAGAACGAAAATAAAAACTAAAAGTGACCGGATGGAAATTAGAATACATTTATAAAGCAAATTTCAATTGTGATTCGGCTAACTCGCTCCACGTATATATGTGTGTGTGCCCGTGTCTGTTTGTGCGTGTATGCCTGGTGTAATACAAACGCCGCCGCTCCCAGAAAACAGAGCTGCTGCTGCCACAGCCACTTCCACTACACAATAGTGTGGGCAACAAAGGTTGGTGGTCTGTGGGAGTAATTATTGTCAAAAGAGCACGACGGAGGTACAACCGAAGATATCGAGGTAAGCCAATAAACTGAATGCAAAAACAGCATCGGGATCAAAAGGTAGACACAATATAAAAATACATAAGAATACAACAATTCCCATATACATATGTATATGTGAACATAAAAATGCACATACATACAATATCAATGACAAGTGGGCTGCTGGTGCTTCCAAACCATAACCATAAACCGCCTTCTGGCCCTGTCCCGGCTACAACAACTATACCGTGTGGCAGTGGGGCGGCCGGTCCGCTCGACATTGGTCACTTGATGAGGCTCTCCGTGTTCGTGTTAGCCAACACCAGCAACAACAACACATTTAAAGTGTGAACGTCAAAAACGGATCCTTATAAGGAGTGCTTTCTATGCTTTAAACATTTAGCCAGTTGTTTGGGTGCAGTTTCAACCGTTGGCGGTTTAGCATGTGGTCAATAGAAAACTTCTAGGAATTAAAATATACACACATGTACATATTATATACTCGTATAGTACATGTACATCAGTGTATAGATTTAAAAAGTTCTAAATTAATTTTACCCATTATACACACATGAATACAAACAATGCACATATATACATATGTCACGACTGTTAATTGCGTTTATACGACGCAGAATATTGCAATTAACAATTCCTGAATAAACAAAGGAAAAGTGGAAAGGTTCTAAAACTGCGATTGCTATTGTTTAACCAAAAACAAAATGAACAAAGTGTTAAAGATCAAAAAATGTTGCTTTGGCTGCGACGCATTTCTAGAAGTGGCTCTTCAACTGGTGAGCCCATACATTATTATTATTATCACAAACAAACCTTCCACAAAACTATTGTTCTTACAAACCCCCTTCGAGTTTAAGTGATTATGATCTGATTTGCAATTAGTCCGGCATGGCGTCGAATGTCAATAATGCTCTGAGCTTTGAATACGAAATGTGTCTTTTCCGAGAAACTGTGTCTGTTCTAAAAGACTTTGCATTCTCAGAAACAATTGAAACAATGTCCTGTAAGGGAAAATGATTGGTTTTTATTTTTAAAGCTTTTCATTTATTATAATTACTTTTAGAATAGAAATGGTTTATGTATGCGTCTATTGCATATTTTAGCTTGCAAGGACTTTTTTATAAACAATAATAATCAGCTTGTGTTAATCCAACTTACTTACATCATTTGCGCTGTCCAAAAGATTTATTGGATATGCATACTAATGTATGTATAGTAATAAACAATTTGAATCATATTTTAAAGTTTTTGGTTTTTAATTGAAATAGTTTGTTTTTGTAATTTTAAAAAGCACGTTTCAATTCTAGTACATTTTTTAATTTAAAGTTTTTGGTTTTTAATTGAAATAGTTTGTTTTTGTAATTTTAAAAAGCACGTTTCAATTCTAGTACATTTTTTTAGGATAATTTTGGTTTTAAGTACTTGTTAGGACGTTGCGATAGTAATATTAAGGCTAACCCTTAATGAACTATATCTTTAGTGCTATATTATAAAATAGTTACCAGGCTAAAAATGTTGTATTAGTTATCCAATCCCTGTAAAATATTCTATAGTTTGGTTGGAAAGTTTACTTTGTTAACTTTAAAATTCTGAGAGAGTTTTAATTACAAAAACAGACTCTAACGAAGACTCTCTACTGATCATTTTTATGGCCTTCTTCAGAGTGTTAATAAAGTAATTTCATAACATAGACTGACCATAACAACTTGTACAGGAGCATTGGTCTATAAACAATAAGTCTTAAAATAAGATTTGGTGAAGATGTTCCGACATTAATGTATTTAATTATTTATTTCAGATCTGGCTGCGATTAGCCAAAAAACCATTGTGGGCCAAGTGAATCTCAAGTGGCTTTAAATTCCATTGCCATTTCACCAAATGAATGCAATGGATAGTACCAGCGCCACTGGTCGACGGCGAAATAATACGCGCGTCAATGCTGAGGATAATGCTCTCGATCTAATAACAAAAGAGGTGAGTCCAAAACATCCGAAACAATGCTGGAAATGTATTTTGAAATAGGACATTCATTTTGGAGCGATTCGGATAGTTTTTCATTAGTTTTGAGCTGGCTACCAAACAACTTTATAACATTCTTATCTTATAAAACCGGACCATGGATGACAGCATTTGAAAAAAAATTAGATTTGCGGGCGGTAATTCAAAAATCAGTCTTCAACAGAGAGTACCGTTAACTGCTGACCGGACAGCGGACAAACTTTTTTTTAAACGGGAGGAGGAAGATATTCGTTCTATTGGCCGAAGTGAACGAGCAGCTAATGGGATTTCTCTCTACTATGAGTATACCCATGAATGAAGTTGAATGGTTAAGTTAGTGATTTCAATAGGTACGATATTTAAAGAATGATCTAGCAACGAATAACGGTTAGCAAAATGTTCGAAAAGAACGAATGATGTAGAAACCTAGAATGTAGATTTGGATCGTCTGCGAAAGAGAACGAATGATCCAGAAATGTAGCACAGTTTCAATAGCTTGGAATGAAGAATGAATTGGATCGTCTTTAATTAAAGTTGAATGATTTAGTGAGTGATTTGTGACCGATCAACGATCTCGATGGTATTTGTAAGCCAAGACAGTCCTGGGAAAGGTGTGACAGCTACAAACATACACAAATTTCAAATGAAAAAATGTTGGATCATAACGTTCGTCGCAAACTTGAAGATACGAAAGAAACTGCGATAAATGTTTGTGTTCATTCGGTCCCGGTCCCATAACTAACGAACTTTGCGGCTTTTCAACTGTTGCTGTGTGTTAGTGTGTGTGTATGTGTGTGTGTGTGAGAGAGTGTGTGTTATCGTGTGTGGTTTGGTTTGTGTGTGTGTGTGTGTGTGTGCATAACATACCTACACATGCAGTCGTAGAAATGTACATATTTGTGTGTGCCGGTTTTGACGAGCCGGGCTAGTGTGTGTGTTTGTGGACTGCGGCGAGCTGCTAAAAAGCTTGAGCTGCGAGTAGCAAGCAGCGGCGGTGGCATTGGCAGCGTCGACAGTCAACGGTCGCATGAGTAAGCGAGCGGTTATACACACGTATTTACATAATGACATCGGCCCAATAGAGAGTCTGGAGTTTTATATTAGTGGAACCTAAAGAGCGGCCTTAACTCCAAAACCTATCTACATATACATACATACCACATAACTCGATCATTAAGAAGAGTGGTGAAGGACAGAGATCTCCAGCACTATGCCGAGAAATAAAAAGTCAACGACGGCAACGGGAACGGGAACAACGCCAACAACACGTTCGATACAAAAACTTTTGAAAAATTCCAAAACTGCGCCAGAGGAAAATAATAATACCAAGAAGGAGCAGCAGGAATTGCCAACACCATTGGATTCCAATCAGGCAACGACATCAGCGTTAACGTCAACGCCAACGTCGACGCAAAGACAAACAGACGGCGGCAGCGATGAAGTCATCGAAGAGTTTGATTTTAGCTCTAACGACCTAAAAGCTCTTGAAGACAGCGACGAAGCGACGTCGTTTGTGGAAGAAAACGTTGAGAGCGGACAAGTTAACGCCGTTGACGATGTCGATGCGAACGCAGCAACAGCAACTGATAACAAAAATAAAAAGCCAAACAAAAAGCAACAAATAGAGCCAAGTCCCCCAAAGAAAAATAATAATAATAATAATGTCGATGAAAACGACAGCAGAACGAAAAAAAAAACTGAAACTGAAATTAAAGCTGCAGTTGAAGCCGAAGCTGAAGAAGGGGAACTGTTATCGTTTGATAACAATAACAAAGAAATTGCAACAATTGCCATTTCCGCTCCTAGCCCCCCCAGTAATGATATCAGCAACTCAGCGCAATCAACAAAAACTACGCAGTGTCCACCTAATTTGGTCTTAAGTGACGACGCGCCAACTGAAGATACCTATTGTCCGATCACACCGCGTTGCATTGTCGATGATAACCAGTCGAGTGACAAAGACGACGTCGACGAGTCCGAAGATGAGCTTCTGGTGCAGTTTCTCGGTGAAGTGTATCCCATTGTAAGCGGACTTTTTCAGCTACCGTTACAGCTACTAATAAGAATAGGCATTCAAGAAGAGAATGGTAAACCCGAAGAGAAGAAATAGATGGCAATCACTTATAAAAATACAGATGGGGAATTCTCTTAGGAGAGCATAGGCGATAGAGAGGTCCAGAAGGATAAGAGGAAAAGAGATGATAAAGCTGATTGACTGCAAAATGTAATAATTCAGATATGGAATAGGTGGTGTAAAATTGGGCTCAGAGATGTCCAAAAAGGTGCATTAGAAAGTAATCGTACAGATAGAAAGTAATGGATGCCAGGGAGAGGTGTACTACACTCTAAGAAGACAACATCTCCATCTTTTTGTAAAAATGGAACACAACATTTTCATTAGCTTTCTAAAAGGAATACATATAAGTAGATCTTTTAGAAGATACTGGGCAGCACAAAGAGAAGAAAGGCTTTTCCCATACTTTTCTGAAATAGTGCATATCTAAAATTCGCCAAACTTGCTTCAGAAATTATCTTAGAAGAGAAAGGATGGTATAGAGAGGGGCCCAGGAAGCTAAAGCTTTAGAAACGAAACATGATTTCACCTACTTATGAAATAAAAGCGTAAAACAATGACTATTCTCTCAGAAGAGAATGGGCGGCTCAGAGAGGGGCACAAAAAGCTATGCCTTGAGAGGACAAGAGCCACCCCACTTTTTTGGAGGTTAGAGGAGCGACAAATTTCTTTAAAATGTAATTTCTATTAATACAGATAAGAGTCGTCGCGGTATAGAGTTGGGCTATAAAAGGGTACACTCTAAGAAATCTAGAATATTTATATAGGCTATGACCTATTTTCTGATATCTACTATCGTTGGCTCTATTTTTATGTTGCAGGCCGAGGCGCGGTTGGCGGCACGACGGCAGGCGCGGGCGGAGGCGCGTGAAATACGGATGCGGGAATTGGAGCGCCAACAGAAAGAACAGGAACAGAATGCCGATCGTGTATTTGACATGCAAAGCGGTAGTGGGAATGCCAGTAGTATTGGCGACTCGCACTTCGCAAATCCCGCACGACTCGTCCATGGGCTCTTAAACGTGACACGCGCCACAACGTCGCGTCGCAGCAGCGAAGACTCGCTCGAGGAAGAGGGCCGAAGTCTGCGAGACATTAGGCATGAGCTTAAAGTAGGTATTAGAAATGAATTATTATTGTGGTTCCTTTCTAAATACATATGTACATTACGTTCCATTACATTGCAGGATGTTGAGGAGCGCTTCCGGAAAGCGATGATCACAAATGCCCAACTCGACAACGATCGTGCATCACAAACATATGAGGTGAAGCTGCTAAAGGATAAAATTGAGAGCATGCAGGAGGCATTCGCACAGCTGCAGCGTGAATTCAAAGAGAAGACGCGCGAGTGCAATGCATTTAAGCGTAATCTGGACAGGAGCACACTTGAGCTGAAGCTCGTGCAGGGGCAGTTGAATGAGCGTGACGCTCTTATAGCAGAACAGGGTCTTGTTATTGTAGTCATTGAGAATGCCGACGGTAGTGATGCCAAGCGAGCTCTAGTCAGTGTTGAGAATGCAAACATATTGGCTTCGGTCCAGGGGTCTCTAGGTAAGCAGAGGAGGGAGCAGAGGAACTACCGATTAGCGAACAAGCCATGCTAATTACAATTCAATTACAATTTCCAGATGTAAGACTCAAAAAGTTCAATGAGGAGAAGCAACAGTTGGTCGCTGAAGTTCAAAAGCTCCACGAACAGTTGGAGTCATTTAAAACAGAAGGCAAGATGGGTCGGGGCAGCTCATCCAATGGACCCTTCAGTTACGATGATGATTATGAGGCTCAAAGTAAGCGAAACAAACCATAATTAAAACTTTTTCCCTCTTAATAACTAACTCTTCTCTCCGCTTTTTAGGGGAAGCAAATAAGATCATATCAGACTATAAGTATAAACTGCAAAAGGCTGAACAGGAAGTCGCAAGTCTGCAGGCGAGCTTAGCACGTTCAGAGACACAAGTCATACGCTACAAGAGCACGGCAGAGGCGGCCGAGAAAGCGGAAGCGGAACTAAAAGTTGAGCGCCGCAAACTGCAACGAGAGGTGTGTTGATTTTATGCCTCAAAAGAAAAGAGAAGTTATCAATTCTTGCCATCGTAGCTTCTACTTATGTTTTTTTTTTTTTTTTTAGCAGCTTTAAATAAACATAGCTATTTTCTTTTTCTTTGTATTATTTTGTAATGTAATACTATATATATATATATATATATTATACAGACCTTGTTAGTGGCGCATTTCTGGGACGAATGTCACTGTCAGTAGATCGAGCGATTTGAATCAATATATACATAATAGCTGTAAGCGAATATATGTAGCACCGAAATGGGGTCAATTGTTATAATTTTCTGTTTTAAAGTCCACTAATTTTTTAAATATGCTATTTCCTCTACCCCCACATGACTGGGCTGTGATAAAATATAACTAATAAAGCTCAAGATTCCCAATCTAACAAACTGATCAGCAATTACAATTGTGTGTGTATGAATGTCGAAATGTTTATATATTTATTATAATTTTATTTTTATATATTACCACCCTTTGCCTATTTCTTGTATCTGGATATATATAATGTTAATTATTAAATGCAATCGAGGAAAGTGAAAGAACTTTATTGTTAGCGATATCTCACATCACATTACGACTATCTATCTGCAATATTGATAAGACTTATTAGTCATTAGTTTCTTTATTAGACACACACACACACACACAACTCTATATATACCGCCGATCACATGAATAGGCTCACTTGGGGGAGGAAAAATTAGTTAATTCTTTTTTATTGTTAACAGCAGCTAGTGGGAAAGTTTATTTACATTTCTTTTGGAATATAGATGAGGAAAAGAGAGAGAGACAAAGAACCCAATTTTATTGACATATTTTAAAGAAGTGACAGAGAGAGAGAGAGAGAGAGGGACAAAAAGTAGGGAAAGATGCAGTTATGAGATGTTGTGCATGAAAAGTTTTGGCTGCGCATTGTTTTTGTTTGTTGTTTGCTACATCTTTGAAGTTAATTTATGAATAACAATAATTATATGCTTAACTATTTTATAAAAATAATTATAATTATTAATATTCTTAACAGCATCGGGAAACTTTGGAGCGGCTGGAGGAGGCGGAAACAGCAAATAATCATTTATTGAAACGTTTGGATAAATTGAAGAATGCAAAGAGCGCAATTCTGAAGGACTTATGACCTACAATAGGCAATAATATTGTGACAGCAACAACAAAACCATCAATAGCGACAACAACAACAACAGCATCGAAAATGACACTTCAGCAACCACGCGCACTCGCCATGAGAACAACATGTGATGGTCGAGGGGAGAATGGGCACCACGACGAGGTCAACAATAAAGGCAGCTGCTCCTAAGGACATCAAACAATCGGATGCCACTGGACGATGAACTATAAAAACAACAACAAAGGAACACACAACCAGACTACTCGAAAGCCAATCATACTCTCTTTATATACATACATATACGCAGACTTAGCTTTGCTTAAAACAATTTCCATCAGAAAGTCGCCGCGCACTAAGTGCAATAAAGCCGCTGGCCAATTTGGAAAGCGATTTTTGGGACATTCGACGAATCGATGTTATCTTGTTAGCCATGTTATTATACATACATATGTATATGTGTATATTTTTTTGTTTGCCTAAGAAAGGGATTTAATTAATGGCCTTGCTGGGTTGCATGCATTGTCTGTGTGTTTGTTTAAAGAGTTAAACGTTTTTTTTTTTTTTTTCAATTTTTTTTTTGTCATTCAAAATGTTGTGCGGCCGAATGAACAAACAAACAATCCAATAATCAATCTATTCAGTACTAACAGTTACTTCAGTTACTAACATGTGTATGTTATTATTATAATTTATTTAAAATTGCCCACACCATACATATAGTATGCCATTGAGTACTTAAAGACAGACCGCGCGTTTTAACAAATAGTGAACGTAATTACAAACATACATATGTACATACAACATATGTACACCAGTTAGTATGCTATATTTATTATTATGATAAACAATTCGTTGCCTGTCTGCCGTCGTGTCGCTCAGCATGTTGGAGAGCTTTTTAGTTTAAAACTGTTGTTATACATACATAATAACCTTAATACAAACGCATGTATGTATGTATATATTTATGTATGTAAACACAATTGGTAGCTAACAATCTGGAATATCTCAAACGAAGCAAAAGAAAAAAAAACTAAAACAAAATACACAGTTCTTTTATCAACTTATTCGCTTCCATTTTATTTATATATATATATATATATATATATATATACATATATATATTTGTACAGTCTCTCTATGTCTTAGCTGCCTTTAATGATGTACATAGTATGTATGTGCACAGATCTACATACATACCTACATATACATATGTGTGTACGTATGCATCGAATATACAAATCCACACAATGTTGCACCAATGCCAGCGATCGTGTGAAAAAAGCCGTCTCCTCGCGCACCTCTCCCATATTAATTTACCTTAGCTGCTTAGAAAATGAGATTAAATATTTAACATTAATTTTAATATGGTTCTACCTAAATTAAATGTATTTAATATTAAATGCAATTAAATAAAAAAACATACTAAAAATGAATTAAATAAATTATTAAATTAATTACAAAATCCCAATTTCTTATTAAATTAGCGAATCTCGCAGATTCCTAATTTTGTGTAACTTAATAAAAAAAAAACTATATTAGAAGAAATTTATTTATCTGTCTCCTGTTTGTATAACTCACTCTGTTTTACCAATTATGGAAAACTTATATAGAAATTTAAAGCTGGAATGATTTCCCAATTTCAACTGCTCTTTACAAAGAGAACAAATCTTACAATATCGAAGTGCTTCTATTTATTTTCTATATACATATGTAGCTCTTTCCTACCAGACATTCTAAAAAAAATAAAATAAGAATTACGACATAAGAACCCTGGAATGAAGACTTTGCAGTTTCAACATTTCCCTGCCTTAATTGTCGGATTTCTACCAATTATGGCAAACTTATATATTCTTTTATATAAGCTTAATATAGAAAATTACTGCAGAAGAACTCCTAGAGTGACGATATTCTTAAACTAATAGCTTAATAGGAAATTAAAAACATTTAGCTAATTCGAATCCACAACATTTTATCAAATTCAGACACGACAACAACAAATTTCGCAGTGCTAATAACAAGATGGCATCAGATTTAAATTGCTATTTAATACTGATAGCCTGAAGAAAGCTACGGACTGCAGTCGGCAGCAACAGATTTCTAAAGCCATACTAAAGATTTGGAGCTCAAAAAATAAACCTTTAAAAACTGTTGCTCGAAATCAAAAATTTACCTTTCAATTTCTGAAGCCTTATACATATGTATGTATGTATATTAGAAACATATAAAAAAGATTGGAACTACATACATACATATGTGCATAATTATATCCTTACAAGCCTATTTTTGTCTTAGCGAACTCAGTTAAAATTCGACTTTCTTTTTATTGCTTATATGGAAAAGCTTCTTGAAACGATAGATTCATTTCGGTGAAGGGCTAGACATCATTTTTGAAAAGTTACCATTTGTGGCCAAAAAATTGTATAAAAATGTATGACGGATTTGGGTACTACCGTGCCATCTTTTGAAGGCTACAATTTCTGTTGACTGGCCCTTTCTGCAGTTTTCCCGTTATGTAGAAATGAATTTGAGGGAAAGAGAGAGAGAGAGAGAGAGAAAAAAAAAACAAGTGGCAGCACTTAGTGGTCACAGCTGTGCGATAAACAGTGAAGTATCGAAATTGTTACTCAAATTTCGCCCACACCAAACAGCCGTATGAAAATTGTTGTATATAGCATTTAAAGGATGCAGGATTGATAGCAGATTAATTGAGTATCCAAGTGGCTGAGTGGCTTTATAAAGTTGGCATAATACAAGCAAGTGGTAATGGAGCTGGTAACTGGAGACGGTGAAGGAGACATGGAGAATTTGTATCAACGCGCAAACGAGAGAATCGAATTGGCGGAAGGGCTTAAAATGGCAATGATGGAGTATAAAGAGGTGCCTGGCCACTCGATAATAGAACGAAAAATACAGCAGGAGATTAAGTTTTTGCAAAAGGTGTGCTTAAATCCCCAATTCATTTATAGGCGTTTTATATAACTTTCTATATCAACAGGCGATATCCAATAAGACCCTTAAGGAGAACAATCTGATAAGCAGCAATTTAGTGCATTACGATTTCCTGATAAAGACATTACGCCTGCAACGTGGGGTCGTCCACATTGATTGTGCATTTCCACTCAACTCACGCGACAATCCATTGCGTGTGGATATCGTGTGTAATAATGGCTTGAAGTGGGTGAAGGTGATTGCAAGGAACTGTAAGTCGATCGAAGATGCGGCAAAAGGATGTGCCAGTTTTGGGGCTCGCAGTGTTTTAGATCAGGCGGGCGACTATTTAGAAGCCAGCGAGCTACATTTATGCATGTTTCAGCGTCCAAAGGTATTTACGTGATCTATTCATTCATTTAATGTGTAACTGAAAGCCGCCCTCTATTCAATAACAGATCGTCTTCTACTTTTCCAACATAATTCATAGCTCTTTGCACAAGGAGCTTATGGAAATGGGTGTGCAGACTGCATCTATTACCGACACACCAGACAAAGATTTGGACGAACTTTATAACCTGCCGAATGAATTGAATTTGGACGTGACTACCATGCTGGCATACGTCAGCGCTGTCACTAATGGTCGTGCCAATTGGGTTTACAAGGAGCCTCTGCTAACCGAACAGGCCCAAAAGGAGCGCGATTCGCCACTGAAGCCTGTCCTCGAGAAGATGTTTGAGGGAAAGAATCTGCTTTGCTGCCAACAAGCTTTCAATGCATTCCAAAGCATTTTAACGCTGCTGGCCGGACCCACAGAGCTGCAACGCGCCGAACAGTTCCTGAAACGCGTTCAGGTGTGTCCAGATGTCGAAGAGGTCCCGGCAGAGCTTTCCAGCATACGATTTACGGCGAAGGTAAACGAACGCAGTCTGAAGATCTTCAGCTTTGGCATGGAACGCAAAATCTTTACAGTTACTTCGAACAAGGCATTTGTACGATCGGCCAAGATGCAGGTGTTATATTTAAATAGTTTTATTTTATCTTTTAAAGTGCATCTGTACTTATATACTATATGCGAGCTATTCTCATTTCCAGGGAATCGATGTGCCCGTGTTCTTGCATGCATCCCGAGCCCTCACTGAAAACAAAGAGGCTACTGGCACGCCGCTCTAAGCGCACCCCGCACTCGACTTGACTTGTGATGTAATACTTAAGACTATTTATTCCACATACATTATATATTGATATTCACGTGTATATATACGTATACGTATATACGTGTAAACGGTTTTTTTTTGTTTTTTTTTCAACCTACGGTTGGTTGTCAATGTAAACTGATTGCAGCAGAGTAAAGTAACTCATTGATGTGCTAAGTATCTAAATATAACAAAAAAAAAGGAGATAAAAAAAAGGAAAAATATATTTTTCTTTTTGCATATCCTTCCGCTGAGAGGGCTCACACATACCGCCGTAAAACTTTGCAGTGACAATGTTGAGAACTTAAAGGCGGTTATTTTCACCGGTCGCTGGCTCCGGAGTATCATGATCTGTAGATTGGTGCGAAACTCTTTGTCGGTAGGCGCATGGGATCGAGAATATTTCATGTTCCCGCTTTCCCAATTGCAGGCGTACAGATGCATGGCCGTTTCTGTGGACTTTTCCAATAAGTATAAAAACATGGGTAAAGTGTTTAAAATTTGGAAAATAGTGGGCATTACAAAAAATCAGTAGTTTAGTAAAGATTGCGTTTTAGATTTAAAAAATTTCACTTAGTGGGATTTTTGAACCGATCGTTTCTAGGAAAGCTGTATAAATTAATGAGGCTATATAAAATTCGTGGAAATATTGGTCTGTTAACGTAAATAACAAGTCTATATGGTTCAAAAGATCACCTCGTTCAGACAGGCAGATTCTTATACCTATAACAAACCGAGTTCATAACTTACATGCTGGATGAGAGTGTCGCCATTGCCACAGAGAATGTAGAGCTGTGATATCGACGAGGATATATAGACAACGAACTTAACATAGTCGCCGATGAACATATTCTTTCCCTATTTGGGAACACACTGTATACATAAAATATTCAAAACAATAGAAGACCCACAACACTTACAGTAACAAGTTGAAAGCCGACCATGCAAATCAGCAAGGACGATATCATAAGATTGACCAACAATATAGGATTAAAGAATTCTTCCAGGAGGCGGGAGAAGCTGCAATAGTAAACAAAAGCTTAAAGCCTACATATTTTGCTTTCTTAGCCAAAGTTTGCACCTTAGGAGTCTCTCGTGCTGCCTTGCTATGCTCTGAAGCCTCAGAACGTATTTGCGCTGCACCTCATCTGGATTTCCCCTCAAATTGGACGCTGCTATGAGGCCATCGATGCGTTCGTGCAGTAGTCGAAATTGGCCGCAGGTGTACGTGATGAAGAATCCGAGAATAGAGTCCTCAGCAAAGAGGGTGGTGACCACACAAATGCCCGCGTATGAGGTAAAAAAATAGGTGAGCACATAGTGCAGCCAGCTTTTGTACGGATCGTAGAAGAATTGCATTTTATATGGGAACGGCTTCTCGGATGCATCCAGACCCAAAATCAGGAACAGCTCCACCAACGGTAGCACACAATACATGAGTATGAGGCAAGCCAGTAGGGCTGTCATTATCCGAAATGTGTTCATATGTTTGCGGCACTCGCCTGCTATTTGTGGGTGCGCATCACTATTTTTGGAGAATATTAAGATAATAAGGGATAGGACCATTCATTTCCCATAAAAAAATCATTTACAAAGCTTTACTCAGAAGTACACAAAAATTATTAAAGGTCGCTATTTTCTTCAAGGATAACTTAATTGAAAAATATGAATGAAATTGAATAAAATATATTTTAACCAAAGGACCTTTTTTTTTTACGAGCTTTAAAATGAAGTTAAATCAATATCTATACATCAGGGAATTTAATGAAATCACGGCGATTTGGACAGTGTCATTGCTCTTACTCTGATATCCAAATGGTGTCCACGAATCGTTCGATAAGATTCCGGAATTGGGACTGATTTAAGCGCATGTGAAGCAAACGTACAAAATTCAAAGCACCCATAAATGTGGTACAACAGTTCTCGGTGGTCATCATGATGTCGCCAAAGTTGTTCACCAAGAAGGCGGTTTGGAAACAGATCGTAATACACACCGACACTATCACATACCATGCCCACACAGTGTAGGCGAAGCCCAACGGCTGGTAGATTCGCAATCCATCAGTCAGGGGCCAGGACCCATTCAGTTTAAGCCAAATGCACTGAAATGGAATGCGAAAATTTGGATCTCGAGGCGATTGTGGACTAAACATAGCTCTACCCTTAACTGTAAAGCTCTTCTCTTCGAAAGACGTCTTTTAAGGAAAACCGAATTGTGGCTCCCAATTAAAATTATGTGCACTTCAAAGAGCATTTTGCATGAGTTGTCGCTAGTAGAGACCTTTGATGTCCCTTTGTTTATATTCACTAAATAGCCATAAATGGAGCTGGGCGGTGAGTTGAATACTCGAGAAGTAATTTGTCCATAATGAGCAGTTAAGCTATAATTATTTGTAATTGCTGGCTTCCCTGTTTATAGCTAAACAATCCATTTAATCCATTAAATATATGTACATTCCACCCTCCTGTTAAGGAAACCACATTTGTTTGTCGTTATTAAACAAATATTTGAGTAACTGAAAAACAAAGGCATACGATTGACAGGAATTTTTCCTAATAAATTACCAACATTTGTCGTTTTTTCCAAAAATATTTAGTAGATGAGAGAATTAGCTTTTTAATTTATCTTGAAAAATCAAACGTCTCTGGTAAGTTTAAGAAACTCTTCGAATTAATAGAAAAGGAATAAAAAGAAATGAAATTTTAACGAAATAAAATACAAGTCAATAAAAATATTTGTATTTAAATTACTTGAAAAGAAACAGCAAAAGTAATATGGTTTAATATATTTATTATATCACAAAAAAGCAAAATTACATTTTCTTAAAATAAGTATAATAGAAACAGAAATTTTATTAGATAAGTGCCGATGCGGTGGGAAAGCATAGTGAAGCCTGTTCAAATAACAATTTCAGGATATCTTAAAAAAATTCTGAATGAACATTGATTGAGAAACATTAGTACGGACAAATATCATCTCTTTTAATGCTATAATTGTTATCTGAGCACAAACCAATGGCTTGAATTAATTATATACATATGTACCAGGTCTCTTCATAAGAAAATTCTTGAGGAAACACTTTTTTACATTCTTCTTTTATCGATATTTATCGCAAGCCTTAATCTCACGAAAACTGCCGAAGCAAAAAGATATCGAAAGCATTTGAATTTTAACAACGGAAATAATCGAGAAATAAGAATTCAGCATCAGGTGGTTTATTTTGATTTAAAACAATTCTTTTTAAACATATTATTCATTGAATAAATGTGTTTAATAAATATCATATATCGAACGCATTTGGCAAAACGTCTGTAGACACGGAAGTTACCGCAGAATCGGAATTGAGCAAAAAGTTGTATCACATTAAATATGTGTATTAGGCCGCAGTTCTAAATACAAATGTCGTAGCCCAAAGTAGACTTAAAAATTATCCTATATCGAAAGCAATTTGTAGAAAGCTCAAGTTCTGTTAATAACAAAGAAAAGCAAAGAATGTAAATCAAGCATCCAGTGGTTTGTTTTTGATTCAAAGCCCTAGGCATTATCACTTCAAATGTATTCCACACTTCCGTTGAATAAATAAGCGATATGGCCAGCAAGAAAGAACAATAAGAAGAAGACCAACGAAGAGAATCGTAGAATGGTAATTGTTTTTGATTAAGAACCCAAATATTTATCACATCAACTATATGAACAGCTCACAGTTTTTGAGTGGTAAAGTCGCAGCCCTCCGTTGAATAAATAGGTTCAATTAATACATGTATGTTTGCATAAAGTTTCGTTTAATAACGTTTCGCTTTTCTTTTTTGTTTTTATGCTTTTCTATTTTCCTGTAAAATAATAATATAGTAAGTAAGATAGACGGCCTTTACTCCGAGACCTACGATATGTAGGTGTCTTGCTCAGTTGAAACATTTACTAATAATAATAATAATAATACTATGCATTGCAATGTTTTGTTTTTTTTTTTTTGTTTTTTTTTAAATGTAGATGTATTTAAATTCTTTAACAACGAAATTATCTACAGCTTTGATTTGCATATTTTTTACTTTATCGATTAATTTAATTAATTAATTAATAAAATAAGATCAAAATTAGAGTTTCATTTATATTAAAATTCCATACACATTCCCTCCCAAAAAACATTCATAAATTGAAAAGTGTTGAATATCTGTATCTTTATATCTCCGTATCTCTCTGTCGGCGTTAAACAACGGGCAAGTAACTTAAGTTATATGCTATGGTTTAGAGTATTAAGCAGACGGAGAAAGGTGATTTCTACTGGGATATTGGTATTAGAAGTAGGATCGGATCGAGTTGGTTTGGGTTTTATGCTTAATACTCGATGGTTGGATGAGCGGATGATCTTTTCTTTTTTTTTTTTTTGATTGGCCATTGTTATCATATGGATTGAAACTATATTTTTGTTTGTACGAGATGCTTATTATGCGCGCCCCTTCCCCTCCATTCTCCTACTTCTTCATTTCGTGTGTGTGTGTGTGTGTGTGTGGCACAACAATCGACCAACTTTAAACGAAAACTAACAAGTGTCAATTAAGCTGTGGCTAACAGTGAGTTCGTAGGACGCCCCTCGAAGTGCGCCTGCTGCTGCTGATGGACAGCTGTCCATATTTGTCCATATTTTTTGATAGTAGGTAGTAGGCGTGCCCCTATTGGTCCTACAGCTATACAAAGGATTGCAATAATCGGCATTTATACACATACATTCATACACAATAAAGCGAATGCTTTGAAAAAAGCACGTTCGCACATACATATTTACATTTATAATATATATCATATATAATATATCATTGCACAAGATACATTTTAATCGCGCCATCATTAGATGTGCGCTAGGGGAAGGGCGAGGGCTTGTTATTACTTAAATCTGTCATTAATTTTACTTTTGATAGCACCGGCTATATATATTTATATTATTTTGTTTGTGTTTTTCATCTCATCTGTAAATTTATATTCCTTTTTTTTTGCCGAATTACGTTCTGTATTTCTGTAGGATCTATTGTGCCCTATCCATAAAAGGTTTTTCAATGAAAGCCAAGCTACTTATTTACGAGTAGTTGTGTTCGGTTGGCTGTTGGTTGCTGCTCTTATTGCTGTTGTTGGTTGCTTTCATCATTAAATACGATTACAATACATTAATTCTGCTTCAATGTAGATGTAAACTTACAATTTGAGTTCAAAAATATTATCGGGTTACATTTTTTTTTGGTATTACAATATGCTTTCATTGTTATGCGTTCATTTAACAAATCAAAAAAAAAAAAAACAACGGAAAAGAAATCATCGAATGCGCGCTCGCCACAAACACACAGAATCCAACCGTTCCATCAGCCGTATCTATATATATATATAATATACATATACTATATATAGTTATATATTTCTGCATAGAATTTGTTGCTGTTGTTGTTGTGTGTAAGATTAAGGCGCAGTTAAACAAACAACACCCAATAGATTATTTCCTTTTTGCTGCTATATATCGGCTTGTTGTTAAAGTTAAGTGTAAGTATAGCTAGGCGCCTATTTAGTTACAAAATACAGCATGTCGTTGAACAGCAACGCCCGGAGCCGCCTTTGCTCTTCTGCCTTTGATCTGCAATGAGAGTCACAAACAAAAACAATACAATATACATTTATATAGACCACTATATTGGGGAGCACCTTGAGAATTGGGTTCTGGCAAATTATCACGCGGCACTAAATGCATAACAGTCGTTTTGCCCAATGGAAGTCCCAGTGCACCCAAAGTTACATTGCAATGCAGAAAGCGGCCCTGATAGATTAATCGTAAGATTTCGGCCTTTGAGACAGATTCGTGTTCCCAATCTGAAATGAAAAATAACGCATATTTAATTATTGGTACAAGTTTTTGTATACGTTAGGTTAACAGGTTAGAAGAAATCATCTCCGACCCCATAAAGTGTGAATATTTTTAATCAGCATGATATTTTTTGTCTGTCTGTATGAACGCCTGGATTTCGTAAACGCCTGTGCCAACATGATCCAAACTTGGTATGTGCATTCTACATTATGCCTTGTACGTACATGTACTTCTTTCCTTTTCTTCAATACTGTCTACAATTCCAAAGCTACAAATGCTGGTCACTCCTTTCAACATAGTCAGTTGTTTTTACAATCGATAACAACATTTTGCGGAATTCGAAGCAAAAGTGAAGTTAACGAAGAATTGATGGAGTTTTGGATAGTTTGTTATGTGTTCGTACTTTAATTTTATGTGAAGACTACATTGCGTAATCGTTTGTACTTTATAAACTATCAATCTAACTCAAATTTTCCCCATATGCGGGTTGAAATTGCATGAACCAGCAAAGGCAACAAATTGTCCAATTGTCAGGAGTATGTGCTGATAAATCAGCCACTCATTGTAGCTATATAGAATAAAGTTATTTTTGTAGATTATCAAAATGTGTTGCTTACCTTCTGGCCAGTTATCGAATACTGTTTGTGCGATATCACCCGCTGAATCCGATGGATTAAATAGGAATTCTTTTGTTTTGCCACTAACAAGTATTAAACGTAAGTTGATCTGGAAAAGGTGAAAAAGAACGCATCATTCTATTATTGTTAGCGATTGGAACAATTAGCAATCATTGTGCATTCTACAGAGATTTGCAGCTTTCAGGATTTTTCAGAACGCACGGGAAAACTGTATTATTGTTGTTATTTGTTTTGTTTTTTTTATGCAAAAAGGGTCGCAGATTATTTCACAAGAACATTAAATCCAATGTGTGGAATGCATGAAGATATTGTTATAATGCTGCAATCTTTTTTACTGCCCATAAAAGCAGAACAGCTGCTCCACTTTATCGACTTGCGTAATGTCTCATTAATTTTTGATCATTTTATTTACACAACCCACAACTGGAACTGTAAATACTTTACTTTGCTTGAGCCTCGATTACTTGTTATTTAAATGTATGTGCATTGTTTTGTTTTCACAGACTTTAAGGGATTACGGCACGATATGAGGAGACCTCTTCTCACAACATGATAAACGAATGAGGGTTGGATTGTATTATACATACATGAGTGCTAACAGCTTCTTAACTCTTTTCAGATTATATATACATATATATATATATATATATATATGATTAGAATTGTTATCTGGACACAAACTAAAATATAATCATCTTGCAGCCAAGTAGAAATAATAAACAATTGTCTAATGATTTTTGATTTTCATCGATTTTTTGAGATATCTCTGTTAGAGCTTTATTTAACAGTAAAATAGAATCAGATGAGAGATCAACAATTTAAAATTACGTTAACTATTAAAAATCTAGTATCATCTCACATTCAATGGTATATAATAAAACAAAGATAACAATGCTTAGCACTCTCTATAAATCGCTTATGAAAACCACAATAAGACTCGCGAAATTAAATTGAGAGAAAGAAAAATAGAAATACATGTGAATATTCTTTAATATAATACACACAAGATAACAGAAAATGTTCAGGTGATGGATAGACACGAGGTTATCTATAAAACTAATTGTACAGCCTAATCTTCCCGATTGTAACACATTACAGTTGACAGAAAAGTTCAGATTAAGGGTTAAAAATAGGGTTATCTGTAAAACTAATTGTTTAGCTCGAACTTAAATCGTTTATAATCACAACTAATTAAAATAACTTGACATATTGTAAGTGTTTAATGAACTCAATTCGCTTGCGAGTATAAATTGAATAAAACAATTTCAATAATAAATTGTAGGCTCTAGCTTATTGGATAGTATGTTTTTAGCTTAACCAAAAAAAAAATCACCAACATTAATAGAATACATATTTTGAACAAAAAGCGACAGATGTGTAATATGTTATTATTTGTTATATGTACAAGCATATCGGTTCGATAATATCCCATGCTTATTTGGATAAAAATATGATAAAAAATGGGTAGATAGATAGTTTTTTAACCATATTTCTGTCTCGTTACTTTATATGTAAGCTAAAGAATTAGATTTGGGAAATAGTGGCTTATGTTCAAATGGTGGGAGGGGGAGGCGTGGCAATGCCTACAATGCTTTTAGATATTTTAACTTGTAAATAAAACAATTAAGTTATATATTTGAATAACCCTTTATAGACAAAGTGTATAAGCAATCTTCTTCGTTATTCTATCTTTTTAAAATGGTAAAAAATTTTCAACAAATACATATATGAATTAAACTAGTTTTGATTCAAAAACAATAAGCCTTAAATAATAAGCTTGGGATTACAAACGATTTTCTTTCTCCTAAAATGTTTAAAATATATAACAAAAATCTGTGAAAATATTGTGTTTACCACATAAGTTTTATTTGAGGAGCTACTATGGAAAATATCCCACTAATTGAACAAATGCTACAAATAGCAATAGTATAGATTTTTAGTGACATTTTATAGCCATGAATTAACGATATTTGGGCTCATCACCTCACTTTTAAGGTGAGTGAAAAAGAAACGAAGGTCGACACGGTGGAGGGAAAGGGAAACAGCGTTAGTTGACAGTTTTATCTAATGGAAAGGGACATATCTATTGTTTGTTTTTGTTCTATTTTAACGACCTTGAGATAATGTTGAAGATAATGCAACAGCTTCTACTTTACTAGTCGCGTTTCGTTTCAGTGACACATAACATAGATAGATAACATTTAACGCCCATGGATTAATCTAAATGTTAATAAACTATCGCTAATAGAATAAAATAATATACAAATTTGACTTTTTGGAATGCGTAATACTGGGGATAGTGCCAGTACTGTTTAGATGTTTAGATATACTTGTAGTGTCGTAAAAGTTAAGCATTATATAGTACTAAATATCCTCACCTACACATACGCGTATGTGTGAAGAACATGTTGTATGGGTAGCATAAAATAATAATTATATATATGTATATAATCGTGCTGGTGCACTGATTTCAAATGAAATGGAAAGTTGTGGTTAAAAATGAAGCCACACACACACACACACACACACACAGACAGACAACTGGCATACTAATTAGAAATAGCCATATAGACTAAATAGTAAATAAAAAGACTGCTAATCAATGAAGGTAGATGAGCTCATTCCCTATATATACATATGTACATATACATATCTATCTATCTATCTATCTATGTATGTATGTATGTAAGTGTTTCTCTCACGCTTACGAAAAGTATTGTTATTCTGCAACTAAATAAAAGGCATGTACTTGTATGTATGCATTTATGTATTGGTACTTTATGTGTATAATTCGCGCAGACAAATTAGTTGAGATGCCCTTGCAGTTGTGGCTTGCTGGGGCATAATCAAAGATTGAATGCAACCATATAGCGAGCGAAGGTCAAAGGGAAAAAAAATTTGTATATGTGTGGGCGATTGGGACAGCCTTGACCTAAAAATCCAACAACAGTAACCCAAAGGCGGCGGCGGCGGCATTGATAATAATATTCGACAAGCGGGGGGGAACTGAAGCAGTATGCGTTGAAGGCCAGGATTCGAACAGGACCAACAAATGGATTTACTGACAAATGTGAGTGCTTTTGGTTGATAAGTGAGAATTCGAAATGTCACAGAGCAATAAAAACATTTGTTATAAGAGCGATTCTATGTCCAATATATATACATACAAACATTCATACCTATGTATGTATGTATGTATGTATTTATATAGTATATAGTATATATATATATATATATTTATATAGTATATATATATATAGTATATAGTATGCATGTGGAGAGGAGAGGAGTGTTTGAGAATCGACTCTAGCGCGCCGAGGTCGTCCAATGCGCAAAATGGTGAGTGTGTTTTGAAAAGATAAAAATCAATAAAGCGACGGTCGCTGCAGATGCAGTTGCCGCGGTTGCTGCAACCAATGCGCGCTAGGCTAGACTAAGCTAAGCTAAGCTATGGGAATTAACTGACCTTATCGGACGGTATAGTCCGCGACATCTTCTGCGTAATCACTGGTGCTAGGAGGCCCCCACTGGTAACGCCAGCGCTTCCGTTGGCTTTGGCATTTGACGTCGAGGCAACCGCCATCGCCATCGCCAATGACGACGATGAGCCCGCTGAAGCAGCCGAGGTCGTTGAGGACGACGATAATGATGCCTGCACCGGCTTCTGTTCACCCAGGCGTCGCATCATGGCTGATGACGACGAGAATGGTGTTGTATTGGATCGCGCCAAGGCCTGCTGAAGCTGCGATTGACGCTGTTCCGCCTGCTGGTGATGATGTTGTTGTTGTTGTTGGTGTTGTTGTTGATTTTGATGATGATGGTGAACGGCCGCTACAGTGGCAGCGACGCCCGTGGATGATGTCGAGGATGAGGGCGTGAGCAGTGCATGGGTTGTGGCCGTGATTGTGGTGATGTTTTTGGCCACTGGTTTCGGTGGCGAGACAGCGGCAGCGGCAAACGAAGCTGTGGACGAGGCCGACGAGGTGCTCGAGGATGCTGAGCGTGTACGCTTCACAGCCGGCTGCTGCATCAACGGCGGTGGCGGTGGCTTTGGTGCTCCACCAGTACAAGCCACAATCGCTGTGGTGGTGTGTTGATGTTGCTGATGGTAGCGCTGCTCTGGCGAAGCTGAAGCAGTTGGTGTTGTTGGCGTGTCAATGGACGATGTCGACGACATGCTTCTGCTTCTCCTGACTGCTGCGATTGCTACTTCTGCTGCTGCTGCTGCGCCTGCTAATGTTTTCGTTCAATTTCTTTCTGACCTTAGCCGAGCAACGAGCACGGTAATTTATTGGTGGAGTGCAGCGCACATTTGAACAACAAATATTCAAATTATACCGAATTACACACACGTAACATAACGTAATGGCAAGTGTTGCACAAGAGGGGGGTGCGCAGCACAGCTGATTTGATTTGCGCTTTTCGCAGGTGTAGCTGCTGCTGCTGCTGCTTCTGCTGGCGTTCTTATTAGAAATTTGGGTGCCTTTGTTTATTATTATTATTATTTTTTTTTAGCTAAAGCTGCCGACCGACCAACCGACCAGCAGACCGACCGACCGACCGACCGACCAACCGACCCTCAAACAATGTAATGATTGTATGTATGAGTGTGTGTGTGTGTATTTTTACCACCTTCGATATACACATTCATATACGGACATACATACACACATACATATGTATATGCTCGCGCACACGCACAAATAACTCGATGCTTGCTTTTGCTTGGAATGATTTTTATTGGTGACGTAGGGAGAAAAAAACTTTATTTTCGCCTATATTTTTGGTCAACTATTTCCAAAATCACAAATACGCATTAAAATCGTTAGCAAGGTTTATGCATCAAGCGAGTTTCAAGTTTTCTCTTGCACCGTCACAACTAACACACAAACAAACATTAAAAAAAGTAAATATGTACATCTGTATATATTATGGTACATATACGTGCGCTCACGCACACACCAATTACGAAAACGGGCAAAAAGCAACTGCGCTGCTGCGACGTGAGAATGTAATAAACACTATCGAGTGTATTGTTTTTATAAAAAGGTATCGATGCCTTACGATTTATTTACTTTCGATATTAGGACTCACTTTGTTACATTTTTAAAAATTGATCTCAAATTTGTAAACTGCGCAACTAACTTTTCAAGCTAAATTTTAAGAGCATTTCGAAATGTTTGTTAAATGTTTTTAGTTGGTATAAACACTTTCTACACTATATACTCGTTGAATGAGAGGCATCGATAAATAATGAAGACAGCTGATTATGTTTGCTTGCCAAAATCTTAATAAATCAAATACGAATATAGAATTTTTGCTTTCATATTCAATAATAAAAAAGATGTGGGAGTATTGGACAAATTGTTGCGACGGATGCTATTTTATTTTTTGATATAGTCTCGTAAAAACTTATCGTTAGCCGCAGGCGCCAATTTCGAACTTGATATATGTACATTTATCGCCTTCAAATGAGCCTTTTAAAAAACATTACTTGTTCAACTATTTTATTTTTTTTGTTACATATTAACAGCTATTTATTGCTACAATAAATATTAAGATAAACAATAAATCACATCAGGTTTCACGTAGTACGTCCAGTTCCTCGGGAATGGCATAGAGGCGGATTTGCTTCTCGACCATCACATCCTGCAGGTGCCCCAGCTCCTGAGGCACATAGGTGGCGCCATCCATATACAGGGCTTTGTCCCATGGACATTCGTCCAAAGCGACGAGAAGGCACTGCTTGCTGGTCTCGAAAGAGGTATGCTTATCGGATAGACATCGTAGGTAACAGCGCCAGTACAGCGAGTTTCGGCGAAGAATCTCATACTGATCTGACTCGGCCTTGGATCGATGCGTATTCGTGGGCAAAAACGTTTCAAACATACTACGAATGCGATTGCGAACCACATTTTTCAGGTTCTGGCTCTGCTGATAATCGTCCGCGTTGTCTTCGACAGCCAGCAAAAAACGACAGCGTGCCGCTAAAATCATGAACATTAGGGATAGAATGCCGGCCTTTGTCTGGATGAGCCGCCCGCGCAACTTATACCAGGGCAGCGTTCCCAACGTTGACCAGCGCTGGAGGAAGGCGAGATTGCGCGGAAACTCTGACAATGCCTGCTCGAGGAAGCTCACCAGGTACCTGCCGGATGTATTCAACGAGCTTACCAGCGAAATCGATCCTAGAGTCGGAAGCGGTAGTTGCAATACGATCAACTCTGTCTCCAGTAGTTGTTCACGTAAAAAGCAGTTCCATTCGTCCGCATTCGATTTGGTAGGAAAACTGTAGATTATGCTTTGAATCATCTCGCAAGCTTCCTTACGACGGCCCAACATGCATAGCATCAGGCAGCGCGCACGAACCAGTAGCAGAAATCTATTCGTCGCGAAATAATCCTGTAACGACATAGTGGGGGGCAATGCTTTGATGACATTCAGCTCCTCAGTCAGCTGTTTTAAATTGTGCTCCAACGCGTATTCCCGCTGTAATGCCGCCAAGTCCTTGTTGATTGTGGCATGACGTTCCATGGCCAGGCAGGTTAACACATAGAGTGCTTCTTCACGTTTATTGCGTGCGAACAGCATTTCGGCGTACACCACATAGGCATGCATGAGATCTGCGTCCTTAAAACTAGCATCGTAGTCACACTGTGAGATAATAATGTTCTCGAAAATACGAAAGGGGCACTCGTCAGTCATATCTGGGTCCAGCAGTTCAAACTCAAACATGCCCAGTTCCGTGTAGAAACGCATCAGACGTCTGTTGTGCGGATGGCGTAACAACTGTCGTATACGTAAGCGGGCGTCGTGAAGCATCTGCTCCCCAAGCTTGTTATTCAACTTGTGCAGCACAATTCGCATACGCTCAAAACGGAACCACAAGATAATGAAAATGCGGCGGCTTTTCTCGTCGTCCGGTTTGGTAAAGGCTTCGGCACATTTGAGGAGCAACGAACTGATGCACTGCGAATACAGTTCGTTGCCAATGGAGTGGGGCATGAAGGTGGGACTGACGCTCATTTCCTTGGCCAGGCTGAGCATCGTGTTGGTGAAGTCATCGTCGCGATTTAATGGAAAGACGTAGGTTGGTCGATCGCCCAAGTTGGCCAACATCATCTCGATGGCGTCTGAATCACCGATCTGTTCGATGCGCGCGCACAAACGCTCGGCCAGACAATTGGTGCGTATAAATGGCATCTTCATAAGCTGGACAATGAGCAGTAGGAGATGTAGCTTATTGTGCTCCGACTTAAGCGGATAGATATAGTGACAGACATCGTCGTTATATATGCAGCGTTGCGGATCAAGATTCGTAATGTGCTGACTATCGTCTGAAAGTGCCGATTGCGGATATGGTAGAAAGTTGAAGGCCTGACGCAGACGCTCGATGCGCGTCCAAATCTCAGGCATTGGCATGCCCGACGTCAGCACCAGTTCCTCAAATTCGATGAGAGGGCGCTCATCGTTGGGTGTAGCTTCCAGGCAATTGACATTTAGGCCCGGCACATTCAGCTCTATGGCGAGCTTCATTAACGCAAAAACGTGACCAGTGTTCGACGATTGACGCAGAAAAAGGATACAATTGTGGAACAACTTTAGCATGACGGCATCCGTATCAACGATCAATTGATTCGACCCAGATGGCTGGTCTGCCAGCCCTAAATGCATGCGACGCATGCTCCTCTCATAGATATATAACACGTCCGGCACATTGCAGCGCGCCATAGTGCCCTGTGTGGTCATTATTAACGATGTCCACAATGTGTAGGCAAACGGATCCTTCTCTAGAAGTTTTTCTATTTTAATGGCCACCTAAAAACAAAGCTAGATTGAATTTGGGCCATTTTTACAAAACGTTAAAGACTCACCTCGCTAGCTGGATATGTTACATTCGCGGTTTCTACGTACAGGTGCAGAAGTACCTCATTGGAAGCATTGTGGCTCAAGGCAGTTTCCAGCATATGCAGCTGACCCTCCGCGAGTGTCAAGCGATTTAATTTGTCGGGATTACGGCCAAGTAGCTCGTAGAGCTCGACCCAGAGCTTCAAACTGTGTGGTTCATTTGCGACAATTTCTCGTACTTTCTTGATGCGTTCACGCAATCGTGAAGTCTCCTCTTCCGTGTTCTGTAAAGGCTGTTCCGGCTGGAAGATACGTCTCCAGGAGAAAACACGCCTGCGTCCGGCCCCATCCGGCCTGTACTTACGCTCCGGATCATTTAGTCGGCGCAATATGACCTTGTAGCGCGGCCTCAAAAGCTTCGGCAAGTCGCTAATATTAAAAATTCCCTTACTTTTATCCACGTAGAAATCGTCGGTGCTGTCGAACTCCAATTCCGGCAATTTATAAAGGGATGAGCTGCTGGGACAGTCCTCGATCTTATCACTGTTACTGTCATTGGACGAGGAGTCTGAAATGTTGTAGGTAAGGCATTCATTGCCCGCCGATATTGGAAATGGAGTGGCCCTGGGCTGCACGTTTGGCACATCGTAACTGGCATTGCGCTGCCAATCTCCACCAGCGTCATTATCTTCACTGTCGTCTCTCTTCCTTTTGTCTGAACCGGCACTGGCTGTTTTTTGTCCTTTGCAGTCGTATGCGGGAAACAACGACATTTTCTATAAAAACTTTTTCTACAGGTATAGCTCAGTTAAGCAATTAATTCCAAATTGTGAATACCGGACAACATTTGACAATGACTACACGACGACTCTTTCCGGTATTCTGAGTTTAAAGACAAATTTATTATTGTTTATAGTAGCAAGGAATCGATGAATTTCATCATCGATAACTGGGAGCAGTGCTGATAAATACCAAGCCTACCGATACCAAGTATTCAGCAATTAGTAGGAATCTAATTAGAATACATGAATATATATATACAGCACTGTTTACATATGTGTCTAGGTATGTACATATTTATGCACCTTAGTGCTGTGATTAATAGGAATTAAAAGAAAAATATCAAATTATTGGGTTTATTATTGATATTTAGATACATATACATGTAAATAAACTTGCAGAAGGCGAGGTATATTCATACGTAACGTGCAGGGCCTACCAGCTTTAGGCGAGCCCAGGAATAAAGCAAGTAGCTAACACTGGCGAAATGTTTACTAGCTGCTTTCGCATATCGCCAAACAGAAACCAAAACAGTTCTAGATGTGTAGCGCTTGAAAGAGCATGACATAGAATTTAAAGTTTCTGTACGGATGTGCACGTGAACTTACGTGTGTACGTAAGTTAGTACGAGACGCGTAACCAAATCCACCAAACTACTTCAATTATACAATATATCTAGATACATATGTATTTGTAAGTATGGAGATTATGATGACCCAGGAAGCAGCAGTTTCAGCACCCTTCAGATAGTTTCTGTACCAGTACAAAACGAACAAATGAAATAAAAATCATATCTGGCTATGTCATGGTAACGTAATCGTTATTACCATAATACCAGACAGTGACAAGCAAAAAAAAAAAAAAAACAAAAACAAAAAACTAGAACATAAGATTCATGCGTCAGAGTAGCACGCGTTTCAGTTCAATTTCTGCTTTGTACTCCCGCTACCCACAGATTTTCCTTGGAAACAGCTGATCATATGCTCGCGGTTGTTATGAAATGATGTATGCATGTGTGTATGTACATATGTACGTGCTTTGGAGTGTTTTTTCCCTCGGTTTTTTTTTTGCAAATATAAATGCGCAATCATGAGGTAAATGTTTCGTTTCAATTGAAAAACAAAGCTTTGGAAGGGCCATACGTCGGGTTTCATGTAATACAATGGGATTTTTTATCGATTTTAAAGGAAAGAAAAATTACACTGAGGCTTACCTGGCGTATACGTAATTTGCATTTATTTTTATGCAATGGCTTTAAAGTCCGGAACTGTGTTTGATTTATATTTGAAAACCAATGTTGTTTTATTTATATAAAAGTTCAATAACAATTTTAAGCTGTACGAAATTGGTTTCCTTTTATATATATTATGTAAGCAATTATTTTGTTGTTTTTATTCGTAACATTCTTCATTCATGTTAGCAAATCAGAACGTTTTATAAAATGTTGTAGCATTTTCTGTAAAACAATTTGCAAAACGATTCAAAAATGTCTGACTTTCTTGCGTAATTATTAGAAATCTTTTCCAATCAGTTTAGCAAAATAGAACGCTGTATACAATATGTGGCATAATGTGAGATTCTTAGTTTATTTAAATGATTTTCTTTTGTTTGAAAATAAAGAAAACAAATTAGAATTTGGTCAAAACGTAACCGCTTTTTAGAGAAGCACTAAATATGAAGTATGAACAATTGGTGAAATCGAAATTGCGTTGCAAATTCTTTTATTTTTGGTCTATAAACTCCTAGCTTTTCTAGTAAATGTCAAGTTTGTTTAAGTTTGTCAAAATTTGTAAATTGAACTGGAACCGGAACTGTTTTACGTTTGATTTAAATAACTGATGTTAACTTAAAATATTCTTCTACTCTCCATCTACGTAATTCACGACAATTCGCGTGCTGATTGTTTGCCAGTCTGACCATGCCACAAATGTATAGAGTAAGAAATTTGTAGCTTTTATGGTAAAACTATTTGCTTAAAATTTGCAAAAAGCTAAATTTGTACGCGATATAAAAAAGACACCCGTTTACAGATATATACTATATGTATCGATTTGAACCGACACCGGAACTGATTTTTGTTTGCATTCAAATATCTGATGTTAATATGAAATATTTGTCATTTACGCTCTCCGAGACCAAAACAAAAGTATGGTCAAGCATACAATTTGTCTAAATAAAGATAAATGCAGCCACAGATTTGTAACAAATGCTCGATTGCTCGTTGCATGCAACGACAAGGTCATGGGTGGTGTGAATACATATCTATATACATACATATATATGCTATGTGTGTGTGTGTGTGTATATGTGCGTGTGGGGAAATGCATTAGGCGCGTTAAACGACCTCGCACAGAGGCGGAAAAGCTTTGGCCGACATGTGCATGTCTCGTCTCAGTTGCATGCCGTGCGAGAATTGCTCTTCAAATTTTCTAAATTAGAAAATATTGTCAATGCCTTTTATTGTACAGCTTTTCAGTTTTCTTTTGGTTTTCGCGGCATAAAGTTGCATGAAACTGACAAATAGTAACAATTTTTATTTAAAGTGAATATTTTGCTAAATATTTTGGAACCCAAACATATGAAAACATATCAATGTATGTATGTAGTCTTAGATTTAAAATACATATGTACATACATACACACATGCATAGAACCATCTTAAATATTAGATGGTGACGTTTTCTAAAGATTTATAATAACAAATACCCGACCGAGACGTGCAAGTTCAAAGTTCTGTCTGTGCCGCCGATAATTAAAGTGTATTACTCAACGTTGATGTGCTGAGATAATGTCAATTTTTAGAAATATTCGCTATAGTCGCAAACACTCGACTATGCGAATACCAATTATTATAGGTCTTTTATAACCTGTACCTGAACCGACCTACATACTAGAAAGTCTAAGCGTCAAATGTATGCAACAGGCAGAAGGAGGCCCAAGTTACATGATTAGAATGGGGAGACGAATCGAAGTATATATGTCTAACTGTCCGTCTGTCCGCCTGTTTGTCTGTATGAACACCAACAACTTATGAGCCATAACAGCTAGGGACACCAAACTTGGTATTTAGACTTGTCCTGCCCATACGTTAAGCAAATTTATTTAAAATCTTATATGTATAGCCTCATTTTTGTATAGCCGTCATAGGACCGATCATTATAAAATACCATCTTAGTAAGCTTGTTTGATTTTGAAAATATCGAAAACTAGTTTAAAATTTATAAGTATTATTTTAGTGCCTCGCTATAAGTTGAAGTTACATCGAAATCGGTCAGCTATATCATCTAGTACCTGCCACCGATATTTGCAGAAATGAATTAATGAAGCAAATTTGGTATTTATTTGATTCCAATTGTCTCCCACCATAATCTAGACTTGTCTTAAAATCGTTTCGCTATATCATATAACTGCCTTAAGAAAGGGTTGAATGTCTGTAGGGGAGAGAAGGCTGGGTACAGGGTATTCAAAAGTCGGTCTACACGATTTGAACGCTCTACTCAATTTAAAGATACACTCCTTAAGCTGAGCAGGGACAGTTCTGAAGGAGCGACCCTCAGCAACTATTGATTATATGAAATTATTGAAACTCAAGGTTGAATTATTGAATGGGTTTGGTTTGATAATGCCCCTAAGGGCTGCTGCTGCTGCTGCTGCTGTTCCTGCACGTGGCTTCAATGATTAGCAATCTGTTTTAATAGTATTTGCTACGGAATTGCTGTGAGTAATATAAGTTGATTCGAAATGGTACCGGCCAGTGTGAGATTGCTGCAATCATCGCTGGCTCGATGGCAGCAAGGCGTCCAAAAAATACACCCCATGACCAGGGGTGTGTTAACTTATGCCGTTATGTGGCCCACGGGCAGTTTGATACAGCAAACAATGGAGGGACGAAATCTGAGTAAGTACAGCCACCTCTGCCCCAACTGACAGCTCTCAATAACTCTCTCCCTCTCTCCCCCGCTGCAGGGACCTATGACTGGGCACGTGCCATGCGCTTCAGTATTTTTGGGGCTCTCTATGTAGCCCCCACGCTCTATGGCTGGGTACGTTTGAGTAGCGTCATGTGGCCACAGACGAACCTGCGCATTGGTGTGATCAAGGTGAGTGAAAATCGGATCTCACGTAACATTACAATTCCTCTCCATTGCTCACAGTTTAAAGGGAAATGACAGCTTTGGGAAGCATTGTGAAAAACGCTATTTCTTATTGTAATAAAATATTTGTTAAAATATGTAGTAGGATAAGTATGTACATAAGAACCCTGGCAACCCTATCAGCTGTTTTCCCGATCTCGCTGTACCCTGTAGCTCGAGCAATTCGCTCGAGCTCAATCTCTGACGAGTCACCGAATAAAGAAGACGTCTTTTGTAATTGTGCAGTGTTGTGTTCTCTACTACGTTTTGCCTTCCACAAATATTTGAGTAATTTAGTTTTGTTCCCTTTGGAGTTAGCCATTCATTTTTCATTGTTTGAATTCCACAAATGTTGGCGAACTCTAAGAGTCCATTCAACTGCATAAAGTAATCAGAGAATTAGTATCTAAGCTTTAAATAGTGAGCAATAGCTTTCTTTATCCATTCATAAAATAATTACTTAACGTCTGGTTAGTATTGTAGGCCATGGTTGAACAAATCTCATATGGACCTTTCGCATGCGCCAGTTTTTTCTTTGGGATGAGCTTGCTGGAGCGTAAAACATTCACAGAGGCCATAGAAGAGGTCAAGGAGAAATTCGCTCCCACCTATAAGGTATGTGCTAGAATCAGGCAAATACATATATGTATATTTGATCATTGCTTTAAAATTTGGTCAAACGCCACAGGTGGGTATTTGTGTTTGGCCCTTTTTGCAGACAATAAACTTTTCCGTAGTGCCGGAACATAATCGGGTCGTCTTTGTCAGCATTTGCAGTCTGATCTGGACCTGCTTTCTGGCTTATATGAAGACAAAGGAGATGGAACATGCCATCCAGATCGAAGCGGAAACGAACGATTAATTGTGAAATTTGATACAAATTTCTACAAAATGCTGTGTACAAATTTTAGACAAATTACAATACTTAGGTCAATAAAGTGCATTTCAATATTATGTGTTAACATAACAAACCCAAAAACCCATCTTAAAGTATTGCCGTGGCCCATTGGTGGGTAATAATAATGCTTTTTGTGTGTTTATTTCAGTGGACGTTATAAATACCATCTCTAAATGGGAGTGATAGTTAAAGATTGTCTTCATAGATTTGACTGTAGGAAAGTACTTCAAATATGAAAGATAATCTCAAATATGTCTGGGATAACAATATCTTTTAAAACTTTCAGTTGAAAATGTTTTTCAACAGCTAAATTAAAGATAACAATATTCTTTAAAATATTTTTGAAATAGCTGCATAGTATGTAAAAGAATTATTTCTTTATTATATTCTGTTGTGTTTTATGTATCCAGATATTAAGTGTTAACTGGGAATGTTTCTTCAATATATGTTTAAAATAGTTTAAGATAGTTTTCAATACTATACGTACAAGATACCGAAATTCCTTTAGCTCTAGCTTGTTATTAACAACGCAATAGTGTCGATTATATGGTATGTTTCTTTGAAAGCTCTATAAGATCATCTTTCGATATTCAATTAACTATATAGAATATGTTTTGTATTTTAGTGAATGATGTTAATGACTTCATTTCTAACTAGGAATTGTAGTAAAATATAAGTAAACAAAATTAAACAAGTTAAATGAGACAGTGCTAGCCGTTAATGGTCTAATTTCACGATATCTAAATCATCTTTTGTGATGTAATCTCATATTCAAAAGTATTTTTTTCTTACAAAGTTTTTAATAAGATTAATTGTATATATTAAATTTTAGATTAAGTAGGTTGGAAGACAATTTAATTTGCTTAGTAAGATATATAATATAAAATGAATATTATCTTTTATAACATTAATATACATATGAGTTAAATATCGGCTATTGATAACAAATCAGGGCTTTCATCGAGGCGAGAAGCTGGATATTTTTTTTAGCATTAAAATAGAACCGTTTTTGCTTTTTCTTTCATTTAAGCCCAGTCGTCTCTCTGGCTTAATTCATCCTACGCGCTATTGTTTGAAAAGACATGTAAGATTTTGAAACAATTTTCTGATTTTTAATATTATTTTATTAAAACGAAACTCAGCACACTGGCGTGTAGTATGTATGTACATGGATTTCAATTTAGAATTATAATGACACGAAGCTTTAATATGAAATACCTATTCGTTTATAAATTTGAACAGAATGCTGTGGCAGAACTTCAAAACATTGCTCACCAAGTACCCAGTGGTGCGTGGAATGGTGTCCTATAGTCTGATTTGGCCCACCAGCAGTCTCATACAGCAGACCTTCGAGGGAAAGCATTGGAGTATGAACGAGATGTCGTATTTCTAATATCTGATTAATAGATTACTTATGCTTCTTGGTCTTCCATTGCAGCGGACTACGATTGGTGGCGAGTGCTCCGCTTCAGCATGTACGGTGGCCTCTTTGTCGCCCCCACTCTCTACGGATGGGTTAAGGTAGCTCCATTAATTCAATTCCCATTTCCGAATTCTAAGCTTCGCATGTTGCAGATATCGTCCGCCATGTGGCCACAGACTTCCCTGCGGACTGGGGTTATGAAAGCGGCTGTGGAGTCCATATCCTATACGCCCGCTGCCATGACCTGCTTCTTCTTCATCATGAGCTTGTTGGAACTGAAGACTGTGGAAGAGGCAGCCGCCGAAGTAAGAAAGAAGTTCCTGCCCACCTACAAGGTATATGCGCTAAATATCTAAATATCGTCCACTTGGCTCATAGAACTTTGCTGTCTGCCCCACAGGTGGGCTTATCTGTTTGGCCCCTGGTGGCAACAATTAACTTCTCCCTCATACCCGAGCGTAATCGCGTGCCTTTCATTAGTGCCTGCAGCTTATGTTGGACCTGTTTCCTCGCCTATATGAAGCACTTGGAGGCCCATGAAGTCGATGAAATACATCAACAATTAAGTTAACCGGACTCCTCAAGTAATCGCAATCGCCCCAATCATCATTCATAAATAAAGGCATATTTCAACCATCATCCGACTTGGCTGCCCCATCACGAGGCAAAATTCTTACCACCTATCTAAGAGTTAAACCTTTTAAGTGAGCAGTATAAGAATTTTATGACGAAATTATTTTTTTTTTATATATACTATATAATGACCCTGAATAAACAAACCTATAGGTGAACTATGATAATTAATAATATAGCGAATTAAAATAATATTAATATACTGAAACTGTATTACTTCGTCACTAGCAGGGAAACGCCATTAGAGTCTTGCAGGACATATGTTTGCTGTGGCAAAATGAATAGGAACTCCAAAAATAAAGAATAGCTTTATTTTTGTGCAGATTGCGAACGCAATTGTTTGAATGGACATTCAGTTGAAAGAAAAATTAATGAATATATGCAAATGCTTATGATAGACCAGCCTTCATTCAAATGCTAGTGCTAGATTAGTAATAGAGAACATAGTATGTTTGCATTTCAATTGTTTGAGTTCACTTTTTTTGTTCCACACTGAACGAATGGCCGTCCATTTGCAGAAAACAACTTTTTATTAATTTAAAACTATATACTATGAGGCCGTCATGCATCGTCTAGTATGTTTTAGTAGTTTTTATTCAATTTGTTAAATGAATCAATATTCATTTGCCTACAAAAACGTGTTCAGCTCTTCAGGAGCATCATTCATTATCATGGAATTCCTGAAAAATTTCTGCTTGTGCAGTCCTCTAGTATATTTGAATAACACTTTATTATACAGTGGATATGCCACTTAATCTTTAAAGTTTCTGTTAAGATTTTGGCACTGCTTGCTATTCCTGATCATTGCTTGCAGCCACAACAAAGCAGTATTCAGTGTGTCATTGCCGTTTTTAGTAACAAGCAGTGAAAAGCAGTTTCTTTGGAAGCTTTAAACGTTATACAAAAATTAACAAATGAAATATTAGTAAAAACAATTTTTGAAGTTCTGAGTTAAGATGTATAGGAGAAGCAGAGTCACAAAGCGATTTAAAGTGTTGTCACAAGCACTGGAAAGCAGGTTTTTAAATCATTTTTTTGAGTGGATCAGTAACGATCTCAAAAGGAACAGCGCAACAAAGCAGTGTTTAAAGTGTTGTAAGAAGCAGTGCTACGGAGTATACGAGAAAACTACAAACTTTGTTTTAAAACAAAGACAATTTAATGTTAACAAATGTAAAAAAAGAACATATTTATATATATATATATATATACATTTCTTAATAAGTACTTCTTAGAGTGCATTGAGAGTTGATAGCGTATATATATTTTTTTGGGTTGGGAGGGGGTGTGGTGTAAGTCGCCCCATTTCCTTAATCAGCTTATTTATATCAGTTTTATACGAGTATGTCGTTATCGGAATAATACATCACAGCTCAATATTAAATAAAAAAAAAATATATATATATATATATATTTATTAGATTAGGTTTAGGTTCAACGTTTAAAATAGGTCTTTTGCACATTTGGGATTGATTCGTGATCCGATTTCTTAATTAACATAATTGAGCAAAGATAAAAAATGTCATGTTTCCTAATTACTTACAAGTATATCCTAAAGAGCAGATCAGATAACATGTAGTAGAAACTGTTGGCTATGCTGTTAATATTTCGGTCCATGACAGATACCATCTCACGGTAAGTAAATCGGAGTTAGTGAGATATGTATATCGGCTGATTATTTTATTAAACTGCAAGCAACATTATCAAATTTTCCATGGGTGAACGACAGCCAAAGTTTGCAATTGATTTGACTGATATAGTCAAACGATCAAATGACTAAGTGGTATATATACAGATGTAGATGTATGTAGGTACTTACATATGTGCATATATATAGCGGTCTCAGATGATACTTTATGGTACAAAGTCAAGCTCGGCAATTTGATGAACAATTTAAGATAATTAAATTGTTTACGAGTTAATTCAATCACTGAAAATAATATAATTAGCGTACACATGACAAAAACTCTCTAAGCAGAGAGTATACAATTAGGAAGCCTTGCATTCCTGGTATTGCCAATTCCCGTTACCGATAGGACCCCTCATATGCATTATTTTTGCACATGTTCGTGCGAATGTCTGTATATGTCTGTGCGTCTTTCTCGCTCTTTGTGTGTGTGTGTGCATTAACTCGTCCATACAATGTATCTATCATCTCTGGACAGATGGCCGACAATTCTGTCTGTCTGGTTGCCCGCCGCTTTCTTTATTATCATTTCTCTTGTGTTTGTACTCATAATTCTGAGCCGTATATTCGTTTATTCTCAATCACAAACACACACACGCACACGTATATATGTGCAATACAGAAACATATATTTACATATGTGTGTGTTTATGAAAGTTCCTATCTGCTTTAGGGTGGCTTTAGTCTAGGGCTCTACGCAAAGTAAAAGTTTTCAAAGGCTTACAAATGAAATGCCATTTAACATTAATATTTTAATACACATGTTTAGCATTAATATTATTTAGTTTTCACAAATTTCATATTTTGCGATCGGTTAATTGTAGAAAATGTGTGTAAGTATAATGAATTTCCTAAAATAAATTGTTTATGTTATTCATTTTATTAATGTATGCTACAGGAATCCCAACATGTTATCGCAAATGCCAATACCCTTAGCAAGAAGCCCAAATAACTTTTCTTAAAACTAATTTTAATTTGAATTCAGGTCAGATTTACGAGTGCTCCGAGTTTTTTTAAAACTATGTTTTTGTTCTCTTACGTCACACTCAATCGAAGCTGCGTAGTTTTTCTTCGCAACATATTTATATGCGTCGCAGAATTTGTTAGTTCGATACTTGTGTGAGTATGTTGCGGGAGTATGTTGCTAAGCCAGCAGCTGTTTCTGCGGCTGCGACTTTAAAGATTTGCAACATTTTCTGCGGCTGCGATGACCTAACAGGGCGTATACGTGATATTTACGGGAATGTAAAAACAATAATTTTTTTTGTTTGTTTTTATATTATTTGAATAATATTATACGCCAATTTTTTTTATAATTCTTGTAGAATTTTGGATACAGGGCGTATTAGTAATATTTTAAATATTGCAAATTGACAGCTTTGTCTTGCACGTTTTGACTGGAAATGTGATGTTTAGCCTTTTATTATAACTGTATTATAACGTTTTTATTATATATTTTTATAATCTTTTTAAAATGTATGAAATAAAAAAACATATTACTCATACGTAGCGTTGTCATTTCCTACTTTAAAAATAGGGCTTCAGAGAGTATGGGTAATATTTAAGTATTTTATATTGCCACCACAGCTAATCTTAATATAAATCTAAAACAAAATGTCGGAATGTCTGTCCCCTAACCCCTATCCCATTCGAACTCATCAAAAAATTTGGATTCTAAAAAAGCACGACCAGCCTAATTAACAAACATATATACTCTTGTTCGTATGTTTGCGAACATTCTCATACATACTACATGGCGTAGTATCTGATAAAGTCGTGCCAAGTTCAATCCGTCGCCATGCCATCGCTGTAGACAAAACAGTGAGTTAGCGTGCTTGGAGCAACCATCGGCGGCCGTAGCAGCGGGTGTATACTCGTAGTGTATGAAAGCTCCACTGAGAGACAGTTTGAGGTTGGTTATTGGTCGTAGTCGGAGTCGTAGTCGTAGTCGTCGTCATTGCGGCGTCATCGAGTCGTCTTTGTGTCGTCGTGAGCGCCATTATGTGAGCGCGCACTTGCGCTCTCGTGTCCGCCTGGTTCACTTTACATGGGTGTAGAGCCATATAGGGGCCATTGATAGAGAAATTTATTTCATACATTACATTACTTTGCAGCGCCTGTTTTAATAACTTTAAAAGAACATTATTGCAGCATTTAAATGCGATTTGTCTATATCAAAAAATAAAACAAAACAAAAAAAGAAAATTATAAAATAAAGATCAAATATAACTTATCTAATAACTTAATATACAGAGCAAATATATTTCACATCTAATGACTGCTAAGCAAATCACAATTCTCTTTACTTTTTAAAAGCTTAAAATAATCAAAACATTTCTGTTCTGAAAGAATAAATACTTCTAATATTAATTAATCTTAGACAAATACATTTTAATAGCAAATAAGTTGAGCCTAACAAAAGATGATTCCAAAAATTAAATATTTATTTTAAAATGTATTGAATTCTTCCAATATTTTATTTTTATTTATATATTTTATTACAAAAATGTGCCAGCAAATACAAGATGCAATGTATTTATCGCTTACAATACAATTTAGTTGTGTTTCTTCTGAGAGGGGGGAGGGATGGTGGAGGACTGTAGTTCCCCCCCTTGGTATGCCCATGTGGCTTTGGCTTAGGTTTCGTATTCGGTTTTGTGTATACTGCCCAGCAGAGCAGCCGTCGATATTGACGACGAAGAGATTCTCTCTCTCGCTCTCGCGCGTCGCTCGGAGGTTTTTCCTCTTTCGTTAGCTGCTTGGTTGGCTGATTAGTTGAGTTTGTGATTTCAGTATAATTAATTTTTGTAGCGGTTCCGTCGGACGTGCAACGTGCGTCAGCCGTTCGCTCGCCCGTGAATTATTTCTAACTTTTTGGCGTCGTTGCCATCGCCATCGCCATCGACATTGCCATCGGAGCTCTCGGTTCGTCTTTTGCCTTTGCCGTTGCCATTTTGTCTGTGACTTAGGCCTGGGTCCGGGTGCGGGCTTCTTTCCGTTCCGTTTGCAATTTCATTTCGGTTAACCGCCAGTGGCCGTCAGTGTGAGTGACGCCAATTCGCAGCGGCGATAATACAAATTAAAATATTATAAAAAAAAAGATTATAATATAATAAATTTTTAAAAAATAAAACCTGCTCAACATTTTTAAACGAAAAGCAAAATAATAAGCATACACATACATATGTATGTGTATATATGTATTTATGTACGTATGTCTGTGTATACTGGAACCCGTACTCCTACATACCCGCTATCCGTACATAAGTGCGAGCACAGACATACAGAGATGCTTATGTACATACATATGTATGTATGTACGCATGTATGTATGCACGAAAATAAAAACTTGTTAAATGTGTGATTGTGTGTGTGTTTTTGTTTTGTTTTTTCTTGTTGCTTTTGCTGCGTCCGAGCACGGAAAAAATCAGCAGCCCAAAAATTGTGACAAGTTTGTGTGCCGTTGTGTGTAGGCATAACAAATACATACATAAGTATATGTACATG